ACTGATTTTGAATTGAATTTGAAAAAGGAAGTTGTATTGAATCGATTTGCAAAAATACGTCATAATAAAAAAATTATTGTACGTTTCGTTTGAGAATGATTGATGAAGATAAGAAGGAAGTATATAAAGTGTAAATATATATATGCCAGAATAGAGCCAGACACATCAATAAATTGGTGATGGTATCACAATATAGCAATATAAAATGTCCTTTTTATACTTTTTTTTACAAATTCATCCTTTACGTTCTTTTTTTGTTATTGGGTCGTGTTACCCGTTTTGAAAATTTCCTTCACTTTCCGTTAATAATCCAATAAGTGATCAAAGCAAAACTAAAAAAAAAGAAAGAAAACTGATTTTAGATCAAATATTTCTCAAGTTTCATACGAACTTTAGCCTTCTCGACGGGGTTTTAATGCTGCTATTAAAAAAGCATGGGTCAACGAACAATAGCCCTTCAAACACTGCGAAGATAAATTTCTTCCTATTATATCTACCTTCGGACATGATGCACACAATACGCGTCAAAATGCAGTAAACTCGATAATCAATATTGAATGAAAATAAATTTTTTTTTCCTTCATTATATACCGACATGATGAAATTCAAGAGAATACTTTTCAATGCCCTGTAAATTTTAACGTGAAATCCAATAGTTTGCTATAAAAAAAAGAAGATGTAGTCGTACTTTAAATTTATGACTAATTTAAAAAATTTAATCATTCAACTATTTTTTTTCATTGTTTAAAGTAAGATTTTAAAAAAATGTTTTTTTTATACAGAACACATTTTGTAATTATTAATGGAATTTAAAATTATTTTTTCACATTATGTAATGAGCAGAAAAAAAAATTTGATCATTAGAGAAAGGTAAATTATGCATTTTGAGTCCCTCTAATTATGCGCTTAAATTGTGCACAATTATGTGGAATTATGCGCTTAAATTGTGTACAATTATGCGGAATTATGCGACTAAAAAGATGAATTCTGCGTTAATTATGCGATAAAATGAGCATGATTATGCAAAATTATGCAATTAAAAAGAATTCTGCTTCAATTATGCGCTAAAAAATGTTCATTTTACAAAATTATGTTGCATTTGAAAAAAATTTTTGATTTGGAACAGTTACTGGTTATTTTTCGAAACCAATTTCCCGAAAGTCTAAAATCCCAAATACCTTTTTCCCGAATCTAATTTCCCAAAGATTTATGTACCCAAAATTTTTTTTTGTTTTTTATTAAAAAATGGATATATGTTCGACTCCAAGTAAGAATTTAGTTTTTTTGGAGTAAGTAAACCAATTGCAATAAAATTCAGGAATTTTAATCTACACATAAAAAGAAATGTTTCCACCACACTTAGTTCAGCAAAAAAAAAAACGAAAAAATTGTTTATATTATGTTTATACAAATTTTTATAAACAAAACAGGTATTAAATAATAATTAAATAACTCTTGAACGACCAAACGAAATTGAATGAGGCAAACACTAAACAAATCTTTGCTGTGGTTTCTTTAAGATTCCGAAAAAAATTTTAACAACGGAAACATCTTTATACAAAATAACAAAAGTAACGATTTTTGGGAGAATTTAATTAATTGTTCAGAAAATCTGCCTTATGAAAATGAACCCCTTCACTGAATTTGGCGTCTATAGATGCAAAAATAATTCGTGCCACTAAAGAAAAATGATTTAAATAAATATAATATGAACGTCAATGACGACTATTCAATATCAATATTGCTTAATTTGGGTCATTTTCCTAATTTATAAATTAAAATTCGGGATTTCTTCGGTGAAAATTGTGATTTTAAACATTGATTCTAAGAGTTAAAAATTTTTAAACTTGTTTCGCTATAATTGAAGGCCTCCATAGAATAAAGAGACGCCTTAATTAAATTCTACGCGTGGTTGAAAGGGATAATACCAGTCAAGTAGCAGTAAGCGGCTCAAGACTTGTCACTGCTACCCGACTGGTAATATCCCTTCCAAGCCTCGCGTTGGTCCCCTTATTCTATGGAGCCCTTCAATTATAGAGAAACAAGGTTAAAATTTTTTAAGTCTTAGAATCAATGTTTAAAGTCACAATTTTCACCGAAAAAATCACAAATTTTAATTTACAAATCAGGAAAATGACCCAAATTAAGCAATATTGATAATTTTGGGGGTCTTCGGGTCGCTGATAACGAATCTACAGTCAGATTTCAAAAATACAAAATGGCGGATTCAATATGGTGGCTAAATTAAAATAATTTATGCCTTAAACAATATGTTTCAAGTCTAGTGGCTATAAAGTCTAATATTTATTTCTCAAGTCTTTTGTCTAAAAGTTATAAGTCTTAAGTCTACCTTTAAGGTTAACATCTAAGGACAAACGAATTTCAACGTTTCGCTATAAAGTTTTCGGCCCTAAACCACAAACCTTAAGAACACAAAAAAATTCATTAGATTCGGAAAATTCTCTTTTAATAATAAAACAGAAATAAATAGAAACAAGTAAGAATTATATTTATTATAATAATGTATAACAATAGTACATATTATTACGAAAATGATTAAAAGTATTAGTATTAGAGAAGAATTTCGATAAATTAATAAAAATTTTTTATCCTTTTACGAAATATTTTATTATTACGTTGGTCATTCGTAGGCATCCTGTGTCACACGTATAATAATAAATATATCTCGAGTTGCTGAAATCCCTCTCTTTTGGGAAAAACCCAATATTTATAAACTATTTGGTAGGAATGTAGGCGATAGATTTGTGGCATGGCGTGGAGTTTCAAAACGATCCAACTTTTTTGTTAAGCAAAGTTGACCCATTTTTATAAACCGATAGGTTGAAAAAATTATCTCTCTTCCTTAAAACGCAAAACGGCATTATTATTTAATGAGTTTTTTACTAATGGAAAAATTTGGAGGAGAAAAAAATTTTAATTTAAATTCTATTTTTTTGCAAAAATTATAAAATATGTTTAGAAAGATTTGTTTAATTTTTAAAAATTATTTTCCATGTTGAATCAAGTATATTTATCTTTCTTATTTGCATTATACGATATGATTGTAATCGTATTGGCTAAAACACTTAGATACCAAATATAGGAATTAAATCATTTTTCAAAATTCGCCTGCCATATTGGATCCGCCATCTTTAATTAATCATCTTTTTAATTTTTGAGTTGTAGTCCAGTCAAATTAGCATTTTTAGACTTTTTATCTCAGAACCGCAATTTTGTTTGCTTAAACCCTTCACTTTAGGGTCAAAATAAAGTGCCTAAAGTTTCTTTAAGTCTTCGGAAATGTAACACTTTCTAAACAGTTTTCACCAATAGAAAACTGCGTTTTCCATGCATGTGTTATGAAAAGTAAAATGCGATACGACTTTGGAAAGATGAACATTTCCAAGTGGGATATTTTCAGCACTTGCCTGCATCTCGTGTGGCGCCTCACTCGACTACGGCTCGTGCTGAAACTGTCCCCACTCGGAAATGTTCATCTTTTCAAACTCTTTAGGCACTTTATTTTCATCCCAAAATGAAGGGTTTATGCCAACAAATTGCGGTCCTGAAATAAAACGTAATACGCCTTCTTTATCGACTAATTTGACTGGACTATTTATTAGTGGTACTTGACCGGTGGAGTCAAAACGAGGTGTGAGTTTGTGGTACTTGACCAGTGGAGTGAAAAGGTTAAAGTTTCCTCTAGTGTTTGACCAGATGGAGTGAAAATATGAGGAGTTTTGTGAGAGGAAAATGCCTACCGATGAGGAGTTACAGATGAGGTGACGATCGCCGAGGGGTATACTGTATTTCACCTGTTGAGGGAAGTGCGATAGAAAATGAGAAAGGAATATGTATGGTGAGCTTAAAGTTCAATGAAAAGCATTTTTCACTCAGAGAAAAAGTTTATTTCACTTAACCAAACTGTTTAATTAACCTATTTTATTTGTCACGATAAAACAATTTTGTTGATTTAAATAAGAATTTGGTTCATTTTAATAAATACGTAAAATTTGTTTGGTTATTCGAAAGAAATTTTTTATTTGAAGTTGTTTGTTTCATTTAACCAAATTTGTGTTTTGAATAGAGAATATTGTTTAGTTAAGTACAATTTGTTCGACACAACAGACACACAAATTTGTTTGATTCAACCAAATCATTTTATTTGAGTCAAACAAAAATATTTGCTTGTCTCAAAAAGTACGTGTGAATTTAAAAATGGCGACCTCACTGGTCTACAGTCCGCGTTCGCGTCAAATTTATTAGTTAAATCGGTAAATAAAAGAAACAAAATTATAAGTGTCGGTTAAATAAATGCATTGTGTTCATTGTAAGACTTACTGCATATTTAATGTGTACCAGTGAGAAGAATATTTACAAAAAGGTTTTTTGAAGTTGGTTGTTTGGAATAAACTTTTTTCTGCGAGTGCATGTATAAAAATCATATAATATGTTTAATGGAATATTTGAAATGTTTTTTATAATTAAGTAATTTTGTTTATATGAAGAAATATATAATATTTTACTTAATTATTGTTATTTATTTTCCTCCAATAATGTTTGAGTTTCCTAATTTATAATATTTTCTAGTATATACATATTATTGGTTAACTTATGATTTATCATGTATAATTTTAAAATATCAATAATTATATAATAAATTATAAACTAACCAATAATATGTACTAAAAAATATAAATATTAAATTAGGAAATTCAAATATTATTAGAGGAAAATAAGTAACAAAATTAAGTAAACAAAAATATTTATTGAAATGAACCAAATACGTTTACTAAAACTATTTATTTGAATCAAACAAATCTTTTCTCTTAAAATAAACAAATTTTTTAGTTATATTAAATAAAAAATTTTGGTTAAGTGTAATAACCATTTGGTTAATACAAATAAACGTATTGGAAGAAATTATTTGGTTGAATCAAACAAACGTTTGGTTGATTCAACCAAAATTTGGTTGTTTCGAACAAATTTTTTTCTGAGTGTTCTTTTGACGAACAACAAAATATATTCTATAAACCCCCAGTATAACTTATCCCCTTACAAGGTTTCTCCTTTCTTTTTTTGTTACCGGAGATGGTTATTGTTGTGGTTCCGAGGGCTTTATCGACGGTTGGCTGTGGCAGTTGCCCAAGTCTGCTGGTTTGAAGCGAGTCCTATAGTTGTCTGTTCGGTGAGGGAGATCTGGCGATCGGGGACCTGGGGTAGAGTTCCAGCACGTCTTCGTCGCTACTGCTATCGTTGAAAGTCAAGTTGGAGGCCAACTTCGAGAGGGGAGAGATCCCTTGTGGTTCGGGGGCCCTGAGCGTGGTTCCGCCCTGAAGGTTCGCTTCGGTTCGGTCTTCGTCTTTGGTGATAACCTTAATGTCCGTAACCGGGAGCCAAGCTACCAGGGGCCGGTGTTCTTCGCTGTCCTCAGTCGTCGCTACCTGGGGCTTGTTAGTCGTCCGTCGTTGCTCAACAACCGCAGTTTGGCCTTGTGTCTGCTTTCTCCTTAGATAGGCCAAATAGAATTCGGGCGGACCTTCCCTGACGGCTCTTTGGCGAGCGAGAAATTCTTGGCGGCGGGTACGGCTGCGTTCCTTACGGTAAGCAAGTTCTTGGGCCGTTCTTGGTCGGCCCATCTGCAGGAAATCAACATTTTAGTATTCAATTGAACCACTGGCGACCAAAAGGGCTTACGCAAGGTTTTCGTTGGCCCCTCGAGTAGCGGAGACTCGCTGAACACGGGGCCAACAAAAGTCACGCGTGAGCTCTTTTGGCCGCCGGCGGTTCAATTGACAAACAAGCAATCGGAGGAGGGAATAGGAGATGGAGATTTATAGGTGAGACCGCGAAGAATCGTGGTCGGGTAGTAGGAAGTGAAACCGCGAGGTAAGAAATAGGAACGGGAGAATTCGCGAGGAGGTAGTAGGGTGGTAAAGCCGCGAATAATCGCGAGGTAATAGTGAGGAGTGGGGAGAGTCCGCGAGAAATCGCAAGGTAGTAGCGAGGAGTGGGGAGAGTTCGCGAGGGTGGTGGTGGGGGTAAGGCCGCGAAAAATCGCAAGGTAGTAGTGAGAAGTGGGGAGAGTTCGCGAGAGTCGCGAGGATGGTGGTGGGGGTAAGGCCGCGAGAAATCGCAAGGTAGTAGTGAGGAGTGGGGAGAGTTCGCGAGAGTCGCGAGGATGGTGGTATGAGTAAGGCTAAGGCGGTTTCCTTGAGAAATAGCGAAGACAGTGAAGAAAGATGTACTTAAGCGGACAAGTAAGGATGTCAACTCGAGTGTAGTGAAATGAAGGAGAGGTGGTGTCTGGCTGAAATGAGTAGTACTTACTTCGGTCGGCTGGAATTTCTCACACTTCAGTTTATTCTATGTTGAAACTTGACGCTTTATGTTTGTGGTTTGTTTTCGGGAAGATCGAGGAGATTCGACTGAGAGCGATGGCCTAGACGCAGCCCCTTTTATATGCGACGGACGACATTCTGCCCCTATGGAAGGGGCAATATTTCGTCTTACCAACACGGGGCATGTCTGACTGATCGCTTCCATATCCCCTTACATTATTTTCTCCCTTATAGTTACAAAATTTATGCTAACAATAATTATAACGATGATAATGACAACAACAAAAGTTATATGAACTGGATGACATTTTAAATTAATGAATATTATTCTAACAACAATAATAATATTCTCACTAGTATTATAACAATTACTGTCGACGATTTTATATTTGCTACTTTCCTTAAACAATAGTAAAACTATGAAATCATTTATATTTATATTTTAAATGTTTATAATAAATGAAAAGTTAGATTACCTATAATAAATAATTAGCATTGACACTAATTATTACGGCAACTTTTATTGTCCATTCCGTGTTTGTAACATTTCCTTGTTTAAAAAAATTTTTGTTTAACCTTACAGAAGAGAAAAAGAATTTCTTTTTTTCAAAAAAAAAAAAAGAAAGATGGTTTGATTGAAAGATTGTAAAAGAGAGATTGTTGATACATTAGACATGATTATTGTGCAGCGTTGAAAATTAAGGTCTAAAATGAGAAATAGTTCTCCTCCCCTCTGAGCAAAAGGATATCCCAGAGATATCCTAGAGATATCTCGCGGGATATTGAGATATCCCAGGGAGATCCCTGGGATATTTGTGACATCTCAGAGATATCCCTGGGATATCCAAATTTCCATCCCATGGGAGACTCGCGCGGGATATCCTAATATTCTTCACACGGGATATGCCACGTGAGAAATAGTAATATGTTAAAAAATAATTAGAGCTTTAAAGAGTTGAAAAACCATTATTAAATTATAACTAGAATGAGAAAAAAATTATTTCAAAAATAAAAGATCATTTGACTAATATCAAAGTTATTTTTTTGTGATTTAATAAACATTAGTTGAAATCAATAAAATGTCTTTTTAACGCTAAACATTTATTGTGTGTGGGTTTAAACTAATTTTTGGTCAATTCATTTTGTCTATTACTGATAAATATTTACAAGAAACTAAAAAAATGTGAAAGTTAAACATATTAAACAGCAACACTTATAATCACACACTGCAAAACACACGCTTCTAATCTAATGACGCGACGCCATTGTCGCCATGACACTCAATAGCTGGGAAGGTCAACGCCTGCGCGTGTAAGATTATATGAGTACATACATATAAAATTTTATTTCTTCTTGTTTAAAGGGGAAAATATACTGGATTTTCAGTAATTAATCTAGTAATTTATGCAGTATTTGTTTAGAATGTAGTTAGAATAAATATTTGAATAATTTAATATATATCATCTACCAAAAAAAGTAACTAAAAAATCGTACACTTTAAGCTGAGTTTATAAATATATTTATTTTCCACTTTCGTTAATTTAATGCAACAAATATCTAAACAAACTTTTTCTAATTTAAATGCGTTAAATATAATTTCACAGCTCTTCTTTGACACACACTCTTTGACACTTGGAACGATTGCATTTCGTTTCCTGCGCATGCGCTGACATATCCCACACGGGATGACCCACGAAAGAAAACTTTGCATATCCCGTGGATATCCCAGGGATATCCAGTGGATGTCCTTGAGATATCCAAATTTCCGTCCCGTAAGATATCTCATGGGATATCCCTGAGATATCCTAGGGATATCACGGGATGGAAATGGGATAATCGCGGGATATCCCGTGCTGTGAGGGTCGGTTTTATAAAACGTAATTTTAGTTGTTATTAACTTATTAATACTGATTGGTAACGATGTGTATTTGTTGCAAAAAAAATCTACAATAATTTAAGAAACAGAACTAAGTCTGGTATTTATATGTTATGTGTAGGAATAATAAAACCTAAATGATCAGTGAAAAATGAATAAAACAAATAGAATAGTCGTTTAGTGTAATATAACGAAAAGTGTTTTAATAACAAAGTGTAAAATTCTCTTTTACGTGCTACATAAGTAAGAGAATTACAAAATAAAATTTCGTTTTCTTAATAGGAAAAAAAATAAAATTAAAACATCGTCGTAGGTCGATTTTTAAAACCGCTTGTTTATTCTCAATTTTCACGGCGCTCTTAAAACCAGAGAAAGTCGGTTTGCCGTGGAAAGTAGGTAGAGAAGGGTCTTATTGGTGGGAGAGAGACGCGACTACTTTATGGCAAAGTTGCGAAGGTCGTCCTTTGACGTCGGCTGACCCGGGTGACGTGCCCATTGCGTAATGGGTTTTTCGTCTGGCGCCAAATTGGGGAAAACCCGTCTGGGCCAGTCGTATAACATATTTTATAAATATAAACTTCTGATAAAGTGTATTGAAAATCTACGATGTTTATACTTAATCGGATAAAAAAAGGAGAGTCAGAACTTTTAACATTTTCGTTGTATCACTATTAAACAGAAACTTTATTTTTGAATTAGCGGAGATTACAAGCTGCGTGTAGCGTGTACGAAAGAATGCAAGTACAATGGTGATATGGCGTCGCTTCACACACACTCAAGGCCAACGCACAACTACTTCGCGAACGTCGTTCGCGAATGTAAAGCATGAGTTAGAAAAGGAGACAAATATATCTCTGTCCTTTTCTAACACATGCATTGCGTTCGCGAACGCAATTCGCGAAGTAGTTGTGCTTAGGCCTTAAAGTCCAACGCACAATAGGTTCGCGAAGGTCATTCGCGAACGAAACGCATATGAGATAGACAAGGACACAAATATATCTCTGTCCTTTCCTAACTCATGCTTTGCGTTCGCGAACGACTTTCGCGAACCTATTGTGCTTAGGCCTTAACACATACACAAAAACATGGCGTCACAGTATACCATCAGATGGCGTAGAGGTAACGGCGCAGAAATTCAAAATCAAAAATACAATTAAATATAAATTAAATTTAAATAAAATCTTAAATACTAACATTTCCAAACATTCGAGACTGAAGCTTTAATTTGCAGCTTGTTAAATGTCTTTAGGATAATTTTGTTTAAAAGTTATTAACAAAAATGTTTGGATGACAGTAGTCGCCCTTGTGCATAAAATGGATGAATGAAATGGAATACATCAGAAAACAATTGGGTAAATATTAGAGAAATGTATAATAGAAAAGAAGGAAAGAGAACATTTTAAAAAAGGTGGTAAACATGTGTTGCGAGGGGAGTGAAAGTGAATATTTAGAATAAAAAATATGATTTAGAGAGACGATTGAAAATGAAAAAGGCTAAGGTAACTGGGTATGGAAACTGGAAAAGGTATAGATGAAAATATGAGAAGGAAAATGTTGAAGTTGATATAAGGAATAAGTTGAAATAAGGTTTTAAGTAATTAAAAGGCGTGGGCGTTAATGGTGGGTAAAGTCTGTATGAACAAAAGGAAATGGAAGCGAAAGGCTTGGAACTGACAATTTTTTTTTTTTGAAATACCGCCGAGTGGTAAATTCAATTAATACTAATTAAGTGATTAATTATAATATTAATTGAGCTTTTATTCAAGTGAAAATTAATTAACGTTTTGTAATTAACAACTGAATGATTTGGAGAAGCAGACATTACAAACGCAATTAAATTTCACTGTAAAATAATCTCGAGTTAATTTTACATATATATTCTGAGCAAGTGAGGAAAAATACTCCTGAGTAGCTTGTTGCACAACTCGATTAGTTTTATCTTAATCAGAAATAGATTAAATATTCCCCACAATCCGTTATAAAACTTGCACAGACTTGCACTAGACAACGAGGCGCCACGAGGTTAACTTAGATCATGGAGGTTAGTTTTCATGTCCATTTCTTGACTTATCTCCTAGCCAACTCCTAGCGTACCATAGTCCTCACTATAGGAAAATTTCCACCCACACAGCGTCGAAACTTCTCTAAAAGTTGAAATTACCTTCAGTGCAATGTTCGGAATCTATAGTTACGATGCTCTTTAAAGTTGAAGTAATTCTTTAAATTTCGATTGTTTTTCATTGTTTGGCGCCAAAGTTGACTGAACATTGCATGAAAGTTTTAAATTTTTTCAACTTTCATGAAATGTTCAGTCAACTTTTACGTCAAACATGAATAACACCGGACATTTAAAGAACAATTTGGATTTAGTGACCCCAAAACCCCCGAGTAAACATTTTACACAAATCCGGTAACATTAAAAAAAATTTGATATCTATATTGGATCCCCCATTTTGAATTTTGAAAATTTCCATTCAATTAAAGATTTTCGAAAATGAGAAAACGACGAGCGATTTATTTCCGCTTTCAGTTTTTTAATTAAATCCCTATTAATATAAAAAATAGTTAATAAAAAAAATTAGTAAATAAAATTTTTAAATTCTATATTAATTTTTTTAGAACGCAGAATTCTGTTGTAAACCTGAAATTATATAAAAAAAATATTGATATATGAAATATTAAATTAAACAAATAATAAATTGAAAAATGTTTTTAATAACTTTTAAAACTAAATATTTATTATTCTTTGTAATACTGAAGTTTGTATAATTAAACGCAATTGCCTGTAATTAAAACCAGTGAAAGTCAAATTTCGCAATTAAGCATTTCATTCATTGTAATATCAATATCAAAGGTATTTATTAATTTCATACACATCGCTCTTGTTATTAATTAATTTTTGAATGCAGCTGGTATTTATGTATAATTGTGTAATTCATTAATAGTGATAATTTAAGAAAACTTTTGTACTATATCATATCCTCATTATTTTCAATAAACGCAAGTAAATAAATAATTTTAATAAACCAGAGACGACAAATTTTATTAATTAATTTGGATAATCTCAATGATTAATTTATAACTTGTTCAATCATTCATATTCAGAGCTAGTCACATCTGCGATCATACGCTCCAATAAATTTATAAATAACGTGTTTTAATTAATGTACTTTAACTTTAAATTATTTTTATTGTTTACACTTTTTTACTATCATTAATTTTAGTATTTTTTAATTATTTATTATTCTCTTTATTTTTATTATTATTATTATTATTATTATTATTATTATTATTATTATTATTATTATTATTATCATTATTATTATTATTATAAATTGATATTGATTAATTCAAGAAAAAAAATTCTGCACTGGAAAAAAATTTTCACTTTAAATTTTATTTCTCAAATTTCTCGTTATTATTTCTGTCAAAAAAAAAATCGCTTTAAATTTAAAGTAAAAAATGTATTACATATTTATTTAATATGAAAACAAAAATACTTTTCAATCCAACTTTCTTTTATGGCCCATCGACTTTCTCAATTCATGGTTTTAAAAATGTGTGCGGGTAAAAGAATGACAGATTTTTTTTCCACCCCTAAACCGCGGCTACATATTCATGAAAGAACTAAAAATACACATCAATAAAATTCATGGAAATCCGTAACGAAATTGAACTGTCTCTTTACATTGACTTTAACTTCAGAATATAAGTACTGGGCACTTGTGTGGGCATGCGAAAAAAATGTATATTTCTAAAATTCATTCAAAAAGAGGCAAAAGATTTTTTTATATTCCTTTTCTTAAATATGATGTTAGATTATTTTTTTTATTAATATTTTATTTCTTCAGTTTTAATTTTCTATTTTTCCAGTTTTATTTTTCTATTCTTCATAACGAAATTTATTGTTCTTTTATTTTCATTCTATTTGTCTCATAATTACCCTTTTGCGTCTAAAAATGAGAGTCTTTTTAATTAACTTTTTAATAACAAAGTCTATGGAAAAAAAGTAAAAAAAAAATAAAAATGAAAAGCCGTGAAAGAGAAAGAAAACGGAAAACTTTCAGGGTCACTGAGAAATGCAAATTGTCTTTGATCCTACGCAGATTATTACTTTTGCACATCTATTTTTTCACTATCTGTGATTCAACATCATCGCCCAATTGAATATAGAAAAAAAATTTATCAATATTTGCACACAGAAATCTTGATATTATTTTTCTCGGTATTCATTATCTTCATAGAAAAAAATCACAGGCAACAGAATGAACAAAAAAAAATTTTAAACCAGCATTAAAAGAATATTTAAAATATTTTGTAAATATTTTTTTTTAATTTTATTCATTGCATTTTTTTCGGTTACGTAATTTGAAATCATTCAACTCGCGCCGCGTAATGAATTTGAATATAAAATTTCATTCCTCTTGTATTTGAATTTAACTCAAGTCAAGTGCAAAGTAAATTTATTTTGAAATTGCCTGTGATAACCTTTTGCCTATTATTATCAAACGAGAACTCTTGTGAAAAGAAAAAAGAAGACGAAAAGAAAGAAGAAGAGGAGGAGAAGGCATTTCTCTCTTCTACAGAGTTCATATATTTAATTTTATAGGTAAACGCACTGTTTTTAGCCTAGAAATTTTTTAGAGCATGCGCCATTGTTTTTTTCTGATGGAAAATGATGGGAAAGTGCATTGAACCATATAGTATATTAACTGAATTTATTTTTTATTTGAAATCGTTTATTAAATTTAAAGTTTTACAACATTTCATGACTTTAGTAAAAAATATTTTGAAAAAACACTATAATTATAGACTTATTACTTATATGAAATTAAGGAGTTAGGGACAGACCGGATTTTCAAAGAATCTATTTTTTTGGCGCATTTTCTGAAAGTAGTGCATCTCGAAAGTATGCCCTGAAAATTTTAAGAAAATGCAATTAATAGTTTTCGAGGTATTTTATACTTACTAGAGGGCTCTCTGATTCTTAATCAGGGCATGTAGCAGCAGATTTTGGACATTTGTGTTAATGTTTTTTTATACATTAAAAAAATGCTTGAAATTTTCATTCTTTTATACCGATGACTGCCCCTATCTCCTTAATAAATTTACATCTGTTTGGATGGATTTTGTGAATGTAACAGCGTTTGTATTTTTTGTTTAGCTCTCTACCCAACGCACAAGCAATTTTTTGCACTCGATAGAAACTGGCTTTCCTTCCAGAAAACTATTTTAATTTTTCCACCCATATTCAGAAATCTTTTGGAGTGAAATATTCCATACTTGAAAATATGAAGTATTCTATACCTATCCGATTATTATTAATTATACTTTTTTGGTCATTTGCGTAAGAACTCGAGCCATATCAGTTCCAGTCTGTTGTACCATTTTGTACAAGTATCCCTTTTTCTCTAAAAGTTCACCAGGACGACCAAATTCCTAAAATTATAATAAATCTCCCAAGTGAACATTTTCTAACCCCTTGACAAATTATTACAGTTCATATTATATTCGAGGGGCTGTTCATTCAGTATCCAATTCAACAATATTTGAAAAATTATTACTTGCATGGATCCACATGGAATCGACTGGAATCATAAAGGACGAGTTATTACGATTCCTTTAGATTCGAACAGGTTCGCTACAAATCTTGAATTCAAGAGTGAACAGCCCCTCGAATTAATTAAAATTATTAAAAAGATTCCAACTTACGACCATAAGTCCAGAATCCATAACAATGAATTTATCACAGTCCATGACGGTATTTAATCTATGGGCAATAATGAACACAGTGCAATCCTTAAATCGCCTCTTAATGGTTTTTTGAATGAGTTCATCAGTCTGAAAGTCCACATTAGCAGTAGCTTCATCAAGAATAAGAATTTTCTTTTTCCGTACAATTGCACGTGCCAAACAAAGAAGTTGTCTTTGACCAATACTGTAATTAGCACCACCATCAGAAACCCTTGCATCGAGACCAGCACTCGAACTCTTGATGAATTTCTTAAGTTCAACTTCATCCAAAGCCTGCCACAGTTCGTCATCAGAATAATTCTCAAATGGATCTAAATTACTTCTAAGAGTACCGGTAAAAAGTAATGGCTCTTGGGGAATAATGCTAATGTTCGATCTAGTGTCATGAAGACCAAGAGTACTGATACCGACCCCATCGATATATATTTCTCCTGTTAAATACGATAATCGAAAAAGTGCACTTGTTAGAGAACTTTTTCCCGCTCCGGTTCTACCTACAATACCAATTTTTTCCCTCGGTGCGACGAAAAAATTAATGTTCCTCAAAACTGGTGCTCCTGATGAATGATAACTTAATGAAACATTCCTAAATTCGACACTTCCCTCTTTTGGCCAATCGACAGGTGGTTTATTCTCTGGTTTTGTTTCCAGTGCAGCTTCTTGTTCCAAATCACAGTATTCCATTATTCTTTCGACTGACGTCATTAGGTTTTCTATTTCTGTTGTTTGCTTAAATCCCCACTGAAGCATACTGGCAAGCAAGACACATTGGGTGATTACCAGTCCTGCATTTCCCACGGGTACATTTTCCTTGACGGTGATAAACGCGAAGACAATGATAATTATGTAGATCGAGCAAATGAATTGTAGGTAAATAGTGAGACAGGTTATACTAGAGTAGAAAAGATACCACGGTGATGTATGAAGATTTTGATAGTTTTCGAATTCACTCAGAAGCTTTTGTTCGGCTCGGAATGCTCTTATTGTTATCAGGCCTTTTAGTGTTGCGCTAATGTGATTGTAAATTGGAGATCGATCTGTAAGGATAGATTAGGATATTAGTGATTAGTGATCTATAGTGGAGAATAAAATGTTATTACTTACGCTAGGAAAAATTAGTCAGATAATACTTACTTATAGCTTCTAAACGTTTTAGGTTGCGATTCGTTCTTATGTAAATTATTCTTAGAAAATAAAAAATAACAGCAACTACTGATGTGGGTACCAGTAGCCATGGATTTATAATACTTGTGATAAGTACAATTGCCACTAGAAGTAAAATACTCTGACATACATCCTGTAGAACTTGTAATATTTCTTTGTCAACAGCTCTAATGTCCTTCGAGAACCTATTGATTTTTAACAAAATTTCTGGCTTTATTAGGTATTTTAGGATTTAATTTGGAAAATTACCTCTAAGGACAGAGATAATGAGCAGAATAAATGCAGAAAAAATAAATTACCGATTTAAAATCCTTCCAGATGGATTTTCTTGAAAGAAAGACATTGTCGTACGCATGAGACTGTAAAACATGGATGAATGCAAATTCGCTGATGATCTCATGCACATTTCGCATAATGTGAGGAAAAATGCATTAGTCAGTACCATTGACGCAATTATCAGTAGACCATACATTTGCAAACTCGAGGCATTATCATTATTCGATGAGAAATTAGTATTGCTTGTTCGATGATCTTCGCGATTAATCCAATTCGCGAGAAAGACATCGCCATAAGTAGACGTGACTTGGCAAAAGATGCCAAGAAATACAGCTAGAAGTATAATCCAAACACTTCCAATAGATTTAAAATAGTGAAGATAAACTTTTCCGGACGTTTTACCAACAATTCGATGTTCCGGCATTTCTTCCTGTAAATCTTCCACGGAATCTTTCCACGACAGTAAATGAGATTCTTCTTTCTCGATAATCTCCTGTTTCACATCATTGTCACTTTTAAGCGGCAGTATATTTAATAAATCCAAATTCGATGTCTGTAAATCATTAAATGTTCCACTCATCTCAAGCATACCGTTATTCAGAACAAATATCCGATTAACGTCTTTTAGATATTGTAACTGATGCGTCACCAAGATTCGAGTCTTATTCTTCAAGAATTCACAAATACAATTTTCAAATATTCTTTTACCGACTCGAGAATCAACAGCTGATAATGGATCATCAAAGAGATAAATATCAGCATCAACATAAATTGCTCGTGCTAAATTAATTCTCGCCTTTTGTCCTCCACTCAATGTGGTTCCCTTTTCACCGATAAACGTCTTATCACCAAACGGTAATTTGGCAAAGTCTTCCTCTAATTGACAAACACGAATTACTTGACGATATCGTTGTCGATCCATTGACAATCCAAAAATGATATTCTGTCTTATGGACGATGCAAATATCCAGGGCTCTTGGCTGACGTAGACAATTTTTCCAGAATTTTGAATAGTACCACTTGTGAGGGGCAGTTCTTTAACAATAAGATGAAGTAAACTACTTTTTCCAGAGCCAACTTGTCCTATAATTGCGGAAAGTGTTCCTCGTTCGGCGATAAAATTAACATTATGTAGTGTATCCCTCTTTGTTTGTTGAGACCATTTTGCTGATGCTTTATCTATTTTTACTGCAATATTGTCATGTGTTTGTTTCTCGATACTTGTTTCTATTATTTGATTTACTTCCTCGCGACGCATAAATTCTTCGATACGATTAATTGTTACTAAATTTTTTGCGAAGCGCTGCACACCTGGAATAGGTTATTTTAAAAATTTATTTATAATCATTGTGGAAAAGGTTATTACCATTTAAGCAATTGAGTAGCAATTGTATAACATTTAAAAATAATTGTTTGACAATTTTAGGTCGCATGAATTTTTTCCAAATTTTTAATGACCATTTCTAAAGTTAGAGCTAACCCCCGAATTTTATACCATTAAAAAGTAAAAATTAAAAGGTAAAATTGATTCAGGATATTGCTTAGGAATTGCATATTGGTCCCGTAATTAGAGATCAATATTATTGTCATTCAAAATCAAAACCCCTTAGGGACAATTTCACCAACGAATTTCAAACGTTGAACCAAGTTTAAAATAATACTCCACTAATTACATATCGGTAATTTATTATCTTAATCCTTATGCTTAAATTAACGCGCATGGAAAAGTAGTTTTACCTGGAACATCTACAAAATTTTACTATATTGCAAAAAATTTTAGTTGTTTTAGTTAAGATTTTAGCTATTCTGAAGAAACTTTTCGCTGTTCTAGGTGAAGCATTTCTTTTCATGCGCCAACAAAATATATTGCATTTAGCTACTCAATTTAAATGAAATTTTTTTACGAATTAATTGAAATAAGCCATTAGTTACCATGAGACATAAGGACGAATACAGATGTCCGAATAATGTTATAAAATGCTATTATCGTATAAATTTGCTCTGCCACAATTTTATTTTCAAATGAAACGTAAAAAATGATAATAATAAAAACACAAAATTGAGAGACACAATTATCCCAAGCCATCATGAATGCATTGCAAAACGCTATTCTCCTAGTAACGCTAACTTCCTTTCTGTAACAATTATTAATTATTAAAGATTAGAGGTGTGCAAAAAGCTCGAAACCCGAAGCTCGAGCGGGTATTTTCGAGCTTTTCATTTTTCGAGCCGAGCCGAGCTTTATAAAAAGCTCAAATAATTTCGGGTACTCGAATTTTTCGGGTACCCGAAACTTTCGGGTACTCGAAATTTTCGAGTACTCGATTTGATTCGAGCCCTTGAGAAAATCCAAAATTTTCTACATTAATTTTTAATTAAATTTTTTTTTTCAAAAAAAAAATTTTTTTAATTTAAAAGCTCGAATTAAATCGAGTACTCGAAAATTTCGGTTACCCGAATTCATTCGAGTACCCGAAATATTCGAGTACTCGAGTGAATTCGGGTACCCAAATGTTTCGGGTACTCGAAAATTTCGGGTACCCGATACATCGAGCCCGGCTCGGGCTCGGCTCGGCTCGACTCGAAAAAATTGCGGCCCGGCTCGGCTCGGCTTTTCGAGCTTTTTGCACACCTCTATTAAAGATATAATACTCATTATCAAAATTAACAGTAAATTAAAAAATGGCAATTACAATAATACATTTTTTAATACTATGTTTTTAATACTAATTACCCATCCGGATTAATCTTAAAGTTTTCAGTAAGCTTACTGCAAGTTTGCAAATCTTGCAGTACAATTAGCAAATTGTCCTCGCTCAAGTAACATGTAAGCTTGCAGAAAACTTTAAGCAAACTTACAAAACTTGAACCTAAAGTTTGTTGCAAGTAACAAAATGTCCTCAAAATTTACAGTTGGTAAGCTTCCTACAAGCTCACCTAGTAAGTTCGCACTGTAAGTTTCCTATAAACTTAAAGGGTACTTGGGAATATAATTTCATAGCATGTAAGCTTGATGCTAACAATTTTATTTTATCCCAGATAGCACATGAGCTTACAGCAAGCTTTCGGCAAACTTTCCGAGCATTCTTGCCAAGCTTGCAGTGCAAGATTGCCGCAAGCTTGTTGCAGACAGCAAAATGTTCATGCATAGCAATATTTTCGTGATAGGTTGTTATGAGCTTATACAGTAAAAGTTTTCTGCAAGCTTACTATGCAAGGTTTCTACAAGCTTATTGCGAAAGCTTTTTGAGGGATTGCTACAAATATGTGGCAAGACTGTTGCAAGCTTAGAAAGATTGCACGTTAAGCTTGCTGCATAACTAAAATAAATTAATTGAATGTAATAATAATAATTATCGTAAATGTTACCTGCGAATAACTGAGGAGCAAAAGGCCAAAAGTTGATAAGTCCATTTTTTAAAAAACTTTTACTTTTCATTTTTCGAGAATGACAATTAATTCAATTTCCAAATAATCACTGTTACATTAAGAAAAAAAATTGTTAATATAGAATTATATTAATTTAAAAATATTTGTACTTAACCAACAAGATTTAAAATTCTAGTTTTTTCAACTAAAGAAATGCCCAAAATAATAAAATTCATTATTTATAATTCACTATAATTAATAATGAGACTTTTAAGTCCAAAAAAGTATTCTGATATAAATAATTCAGTATATATTTTTTCTATTTTGAAATTAACTTTGGTTATGTATCCAATTGCATTTGTTTAAATTTCTCGAAATAGTAAAAAATGGACTCATCTACTTTTGGCCGCTTACTCCTCAACTAACAATTTAGAGAAATATTGTTATTAATACTTATAATTTTTTTTATAAGTTATATCGAATTATTAATTAGGGAGCGTTCACAAATGATGTCACGCTTTGGGGGGTAGGGGGGGGGGGTATTACTAAACGTGATACAATGTATTTTTCTCATGTGAAATTGCAAAAATTGCGTGACAGGGGAAGGGGGGGGGGTGAAAATCTCCAAAAATTGCGTGACATCATTTGTGAACGCTCCCTTATATTAAAATAAATTATTATTTTTCCTTTTTATTATTTATTATTATTATTATTATTATTATTATTATTTTTATCAATATTATAATTCAGCATTTGTAAATTTAATGTCGTATGAGCATAAAATGAGAATCTTACTTTCTGGCTTTATCCACAAGTCGCGAAAATGGTTTCTCCCAGGCATACATTTTAATTACTTTCACCCCACCAATTATTTCATCCAATAACGAAAGTCTCTTGTCGGTTCTTAATGAAACTTTATTTGTCAAAATTTTTATCGTTTTTCCAATGTAAGCTGTAATTATGTTTTTTCTGTATAATTTCATTCTTTATCAATATTTTGTCTTATTTTTTTATTCAATTTTTAAAAAACAAAAAAAAATGTGGTAAGTTAACCAATTACTGCGGTTGCTTCAATTACAGCGCTTCTGTGAGAAGTTTAATTAATTACTTAAGAAAATATTAATATTTCAAAATGTTAGAAAACATTATTTTGAATCAATCTTGATACAATTTTAAATTTTACATTTAAACTATAATTACCTTGTTTATTTGAATTTAAATTCTGGCTTGTCGCAGTAATTAAAACATGCATAAGCTTCAATTACTGCAAGAAATATAACATCTGAATATAAATTATTTTTGTCACCAGTAACAAATTTTTGAAAAGATTAACACAAGCTCGCGGTAATACATACTTTAATATTCTTTTTAATTATTTGAATTTTTTTTAAATGTTCTATTTTTATAGTGTATTAATTTTTCTAAAAATGTCTTAATAACATAGACTAAGTGTTATTACACTAATTATTAGTTTAAAGAATTTGAAGTTCAATTCCCACGGCGTAAATATCTTTTTTTCTATTCAGAAGATATCTTAGTTGGAATGCCGCAGTAATTGATACACTTATCCCAATTTTGTCTTTTCATTTTTATTATAAGGTATTTTATAATTATATGGTTCTTTTTACCTTGTAGGGGTATGAGTGAAAAAATAATAAATGTTCCTAAAAAACTGTAAAAGCACACCTCTCGATAAATGATGATTGTTATTATTATTAATTGTAATGGTGCAATCCATATATAATGAAAGCCAAATAAGCCAGCTTCAAAGTTATTGATATCATTGCTAAAAATGTTGATTATCTGAAATAATATTTTTTCTAATTATACTATGTGTGACGAGCTATGAAGAAAGATACCTACGAAACAAAAAATTTGAGGTTATGTTTGCCATTGCTTGATATTCCAGGGCCCATATAGGGTCAGAAAAAGTCATGCCATCTGAATAAGATGTCAGATTTCAAAAATTCAAAATGGTGGATCCAATATGGCGAATCATTTCAAGATTAATTCGATTCGATCGAAATTTATTTCACGGAGGTTTCTGGAGTCGATGAATTCGAATTTTATGTCCGTTTTTCAACATTCAAAATGGCGGATCGAAAATGGTGACCAAATTTTTTTAATATTGCCGAATTTGTCTAAACTGTTTACTCAGGGGTTTATGGGGTCACTAAATTTTATGTTAAAACGAAAAAATTCAAAATTAATGTCAATTGTATATGGAGAACAAAATTTTAAAAATGAAATAAAAAATGTCAGACTTAAAAAATGCAAAATGGTTTGTAAAATATCTAACTAATTAGAAGTGTAGCGTACGGTTCAGTAATTGCAAAAAAGCAAGAGATAAAAAAACCAAATTTTACAAATTTACAATTTCACATTTAATTCGAATTTCGTAACTTTACAAACTCCTGAATCCGCCATTTTGAAAATCTGACATCAGGAAACGAATTTCGGTCAAAATGTATCAATTTTAAAATTATCTGACATATTAGGTCGCCATATTGGATCCGCCATTTGGAATTTTGAAAAACGATCCACAAGGAATTTTTAACTGGACTTCAAAGCCAAAGGGGTTAATAGAAACTAACTTTAATTTCAAATAAACAGAAACAATTAAAAATAGTGGAAAAATGAGAAATTTAGAAATTGACGATTTCGAATTTTGAAAGCGAAGGATAAGAAGGAAATCTGTGTTACCGACCGCTGAACAGGTATATATGCAACACACACGTATTATGGTCACTCTATGCTACATGTGCCGGTTCATGCTAAGTTCATTAATGCCCTAGGGTAATAATAAGTACTTTATTGTCCTAGGTCAATAATGGGCACTTTATTGACCGCCAGGTTATAAGGGGGAACTTATGAGCCTGCAAAGGTAGATAAAGTTACCATAATACGCCTGAGTTGCACAAAATAATTTTTATCTCTCCTACTGGTAAAGTAAAAAAGCCTCTTATCGGCTATCGATAAAATAGTATAACTTTATCTTTATTAAAAAGAAAAGTAAAGAAAAAATCTCACCTGACCTACTGTTGTTTCTTGATTTTCCGTGTAAGCTTTAGATAATTTTAAACATTTTCTATAAACAAGAGATGAACACGACACTCTTAATTTTAATTCCACGCGTGTCGTTGCTTGTATTGCAAGTTGATAGACCATTACACACACTATTAATGTCAAAGCAAAGCCGGAAGCCCAACAGAGAGCTTCCGTTATCGATACATGACTTTTGCTATTAAAGTAATTTAATACCTTAGCAAATAATAGCACCTGAAGAATTCTGAAATCGTTTGACACTGTTATACTTCATATAAGATATTTACTCACAATTTAAATTAATTAACATATTTTAATTTTAATTAATTAACATTTTAGCAGTTTGCAAAAAAATAATAAGGGAAGGTGAGTTTTTATTAATAATTTTTTCATTGTAAATTTTAAAAAAAGAATTTCGAGGGGAGGGGGATTTCTCAATAATTTAAATTAATTTAATCTTAACTATTTCAAAAAGCCATAATAAATTTTTTTTTTCATAATTTAAATTAACTTGATTTTAAATGCTTTTTGAAAAAAGAAAAAAGGAGGGGATATATATTTTTTTTACTTTTCTACGAACATTTAAAAATTAATTATTACAGTAAGTATAAAAAAATAAAAAGTTAGGAAATAATTTTTCAAAAATATGAAATTAAAAATTTTTTTTCACGTGGCAAAGATTATTTTGTATTTTTTTTTTTGTATTAAAAGGAAAAAAAATTTATTTTGAAGGCAAAATATTTGAATAAATAAATAGAAAATTGAAAAACTTACCTGAGAACAAGACCATCAAATGCTTGCCACATACCAATCAAGACTATTCTCTTCCAAAAACATTTTGCGAGAACTTTTATTAAACTGCATTTACGTTTATTATTTAAATTATTATTTTTTTCATTCTCTATTTGCCAAAGTTTGTATATTAAATTTCCTAAAGTTTCACTATTATCCTCTTCTAAGCAATTGTAGATGTCGTTCAATTCTAATTCTTTTTTATAACCCCTTCGAAATATCTTGAACAACCATCTATATAGAAACGTTAAATTTTATTGTAATGGTAAAAAATAAAAATCTAACTTTTCTTTTATTCTTTTGACCTTTTTTTTGAAACAAAGAAAGGAAAAAATTTGTCCTGTCTTCATAAACAATATTTTACTAGAATTTAGTAAATATTTTTTTCTCTATAAAATTTAATATTTAATTTAATTGTATTTTTTTACAAGAATTTCAAATAAACTCAATTGTGCAATTTTTTGTAACTAAAACATTCAAGTATAGAAGAAAAACTAAAAATTAATTATTTAAACATTGTTTAAACAATTTATTTTATTAATCTTTCAATTTACTATACTTTAAACTAGAAATTTCTAGAGCACCAACTTGAATGTTTTTTTTTACAAAAAATTGCACACTACAGAAAAGACGAGAAATTTTTAGCCCTAAATACAGTTTATAAATAAAATAACAATAATTAATTGTTTAAACAATTCAATAAATTGTTACACTTTTTTCATAAATCAAAAATACTTAAGTATTATTTTAATAGGTTTTTTGATTAATTTTCTTAATTTATCCATTAAGTCCCATGAAGAAACTATAGACATTATATTAAAAAAGTAACAATTGGATTCGTAGGCAAATTGAAAAAAAGGTATACCTGTTTTTTTGTTTTTAATTTCCAATTGTTTAACAATAATTGTTTAAAAAAACTAATAAAAATTTTAAAAACTTAACGCCAATCGATTCTATGTGGAAATTTAAAAAAAGTTGCGTATGGGCCATATTTTTCTCCAAGTAGTATTTTATTTATCAAATTGTTATAAACAAATTATGTAATAAATTATTAAAAATTGCTACATCTTTTTAATTTGTTTAAACAATTGTTGTTAAACAAGTGAAAAATAAAAACAAAAAAACAGGTTCATCTTTTTTTCAATTTGCCTATAAATTTAATTCTCTGATTCTACACTCTTAGATATAATTATTAATGTGAATAATTAAAAATTTATTTGATTCAAATAATAATCGATTACTTGTCTATTAGCAAATAAATATTTACTTTAATCAAATAATTTTTATTTAAATCAAATAAATATTTACCTAAATGAAAAATTTTTTATTTAAACCAAATAAATATTTACATGAATCAAATAAATTTTATTCAAATCAAATGAATTTGAACCAATAATTTCAGTATTTAAAGCATTTAATTAACTTAAATAAAAATTATTAAATAAATAAATATTTATTTGCTAGTAAACAAGTAATTGTTTATTTGAATCAATTAAATTTTTTGAGTGCACAACTATAGAGAGAATAGCAAAGTAAATATATACTAATTCAGTAAATAAAAATAATTTTTGATTGTACTTACGAAAAGGACAAAAATACGAAAATATTTCCATTTTCCAAAGGATTTTTTTCTTGTTCTTGATTTTTTTTACAGTCCATGCTCACAAAAGTGCTAAAACACAGGTTTTTCTTTTAAATTTATCATTTCAGTAAACCGAATAAAGTACAAAATTTTTATTTATGAATACTATTTTACACTCCATCAAGGCTGAATATGATTTGAGTAACGATAACTCGAGCGAAATGAGAAATGAAAAAAGTTGACAATTTATTATTTATGTAAAAATATTACTTTTGATAGAGTGACTACAAAATTTTCTTTAAAAAAAAGAAGAGTGGAAAAAATATCTTGAATTAATAATGCAATTGATTTTTTAATTAAAAATAAAAAAATAAATTGAAAATTTAATAAATAAAATAATTACAGAAAATAAAGAAAAATTTAAATTAATGAAATTAATTTATTAACAAATGAGTTAATAAATTAAAATATCTACTACATAAATAATGATTTAATTTTCTTTCAAAACTATTTTTTGTATTTTAAAAACTTTCTTATATAAAAAAATGAAGAAAATCAGATTTATATAAAGTGGAAATAGTTTTGTTTTCTCTATACACTAAATCAAGAAAAATTGTATTAAAATTTTCTTTATTATTTTTTTCAACATTTTTTAGAGCATTGAAAAAAATTAAAACAATAATAATTAACAATCGTAATAATATTAATGTAATTCTCTTTTATTTTAGATTATTTTTTTATTTATTTATTTATTTATTTAATATAGTCGTTTAAAATAACTTTTGCGTTTTATTAATTTTAATTCTATAAAATAATTATAATAAAAGGCTGTTTCTATTTCAATTCATGCAGGGCGAATAGGTTGAAAATTATAAATCAAGTTTAATATGATTTTTCTTGTTTTTTAGGACAAATAAAGAGATACGTATTTTTTGGTTTGGCGAAAAAAAAATTTTCGCTGAGTTATGAGTATTTGAAAATTTTAAGGCACATAGTGATTTTAGAGCTAAACAGCTGAAAAATTATTTTTAACTCTTTCTAGTTTTTACAAAAATCAATATTTTTCAATTCTGTTTCTTGATTTTAGTAGTGTTTTTGATACTCTTTCTTTACAAAGTTGAAAATTTGAAAATTTTGAAAATTAACAAAATGGCGGCCATTTTTGAAAAAATCAAAAAAGTCAATTTTCTCAAAAACATAATTTTTTAATTTTCTGCAAATTTTTGTGTGGTTTCTAGATGGAACAAGGAACTTTTTCCAAAAGGTCTCATGTTCGCTAAAACTTTTTGGAAGTCGCTATAATTTTTTTCAGAAAATAAAAAAACTCATTAAATTTTGAGTGGTCTTAGAACTTTTTTGGTTAAAAATTCGCTGAGTTACGGAATTTCAAAGTTCAGGACGCCAAAAACCTCATTTCGAGAAAAACGGAATTAAAGATTGCGATACCAACTAATTGTTGTATATATCTGTTTCTTCTTGGAAGTTATTCAGATAAGAATTGTTTCCAGTTCAGGGCACTTTGAAGATAAAAAACCAACAGGTTTTTAATTTTTAAAACCATCCCCCCCCCCTCTTAATTTTGAAAATACGAAAAATCGACAATATGGGCCCTTTTCTAAAAAGGACAGTTTTTTTTATTAAAAAAACATTTTTTACAAGATTATTGATTAGGTACAATTTTATTGTGTCATTTGAAGAAAAAGAATGGATATTAAACTTATTTAAAATTTTTTGACAGTCTCTATTATAAAAAAATTGACGCAATATCCAAATTTTCATTTCGACAATTACAAAAAAAAGACTCTAACATCAATATCTCTGGTACTTCTAGAAAGTTATTCAGATAAGAATTGTTTACAGTCCAGGACACCTTAAAGATGAAAAATCAAAAGGTTTTAAATTTTTCCACACCTCCATTTTTAAAATACGGATTACTTTTGAAAATGACCGACAAAATGGGCCTTTTTCATGTGGACGTCTACATATATATATTTTTCATGTATACAAGGGTGTTCATCTTTTTTAATAGTGCTTTTGACACTTTTTCTTTTCAAAATTGAAAATTAAAAAAATTAACAAAATGGCGGCCGTTTTTCAAAAAATATAAGATCTCAATTTTCTCCAAAACTTTATTTTCTTTTTTTCTGAAAATTTTTTTCTGGTTTCTAGATAAAAAAAATAACCCTTTCAAAAAAGGTGACTTTTCTTAGTAAAGTTGAAAAATTTCAAAAATTAACTAAATGGCAGCCATTTTTAAAAATTATTAAAAATAACTATGTTTATTGTAATATTTATTAATAAATAAAATATTAAAGATTAACTTTACTAAGAATTGAAAGGGTTATTTTTTTATCTAGAAACCCCAAAAAAATTTTCAGAAAAATAAAAAATAATGTTTTGGAGAAAATTGAGATCTTATATTTTTTTGAAAAACGGCCGCCATTTTGTTAATTTTTGAAATTTGCAATTTTGAAAAGAAAAAGTGTCAAAAGCACTATTAAAAAAGATGAACACCCTTGTATACATGAAAAATATATATGTCGACACATTACTCAAAATAATGAGTTTTTTTATTTTCTAAAAAAAATTATAGCGACTTCCAAAAAGTTTTAGCGAACATGAGACCTTTTGGAAAAAGTTCCTTTTTCCATCTAGAAACCACACAAAAATTTGCAGAAAATTAAAAAATTATGTTTTTGAGAAAATTGACTTTTTTGATTTTTTAAAAAATGGCCGCCATTTTGTTAATTTTCAAAATTTTTCAAATTTTTAAGTTTGTAAAGAAAGAGTATCAAAAACACTACTAAAATCAAGAAACAGAATTGAAAAATATTGATTTTTGTAAAAACTAGAAAGATTTAAAAATAATTTTTCAGCTGTTTAGCTCTAAAATCACTATGTGCCTTAAAATTTTCAAATACTCATAACTCTGCGAAAAAATTTTTTTTCGCCAAACCAAAAAATACGTATCTCTTTATTTGTCCTAAAAAACAAGAAAAATCATATTAAACTTGATTTAGAATTTTCAACCTATTCGCCCTGCATGAATTGAAATAGAAACAGCCAAAAAGGTTTCTGATTTTGATTATTTAATTATTCATTTATGTATTTAATAATATGAAAAAAGTACTCTCTAAATTTGAATTAGTAAAAATGTTTACTAATTTGAATTATTGACTGACTTTTTGCTTTCTCTCTAAAACTGAATTAGTAGAATGTTACTATATAATGAAATGACGAAAAGTCGTCTACCAAATGATTTAGTAATAATTTTACTAACAATTAGTAAAATTGTACTAATTGTTAGTAGAATTATACTAATTGCTTAGTATAATTCTCCTCCAATTAGTAGAACTGTTTTATTAATAGTCAATAAAACAGTTTCACTAATTAATTTAGTGAAGACAACGATTAGTGCCATTCTACTAAAAAATTAGTAAAATTTTATAAACAATTAGAAATATTTCACTAATTCAGATCTACAGAGTTTAAATTAGTAAATTTTACTAATAAATCAGTAGAAATTACTATTTATTATTAGAATTTTTTAATTCAAAAGCAAGAAGTCAGTCACTAATTAAAATTAGTAAATATTTTTACTGATTAAAATTTAGAGAGTGATGGAAATTTTCGTTAAATTGTTAAATATTTTTTTTTCACTTACGATAAAAATACTAAATTTCTGATCTATTCTTCACTGTTTTAATGCTATTTTAGCAAAGAGAAAGGTGCAATTTTAATTTGCAACAATTTTTAACAGATAATGAAAAAAAACCTGTACACATCATTAAAATAAGCCTTTTATCGTCTATATCTCAAATGATAAAAAGCTCAAAAGTTTATAACTTTCGTCAACTTTTTTCCTTTGTAATAATTTAATTTAAAAAAACGCACACATACAGAAATTAATAAAGAGACACAAAAAATACTTTTTTTATCACTAATTTTAAAAAATACACAGGAATAATATTATTTATTGTATTAAGTTGATTTTATTTTTAAAAAGATTAATAATTTATGTGTAAATTATACATTTTTGTCTAAAAAAAACACCTTTTTTTATTCAATTATTATTATTATTAATAGAACATTTTTCATGAGAAATTTTTTTTTAACTGCTTGTAACTCGCGAAGTAATATTACATAAAATCCTTCGATCGTTTAAGGTATACAAATTTTGTTTACATAATGCTCTCATTATTTTGACACTTGTTTTTAGCGCGATAAGACACTGATAACAATTGCAATAAAAATAGCAATATTTGAAACTTAAAAGAAGGCATTCATTATATTTTTCTTCGATTGGTAGTCCTGATAATTTATTCGAAAAATTTCAAAAATCGACGTACACGGAAAAGTTCTTGGGCGAGTCGCTGTACCTGTTGTGGTGGCGCTGAGTGACCAGTACCTATGGTAAAGTGACAGCCCCATTTTGGTAGCTCATTTCACCCACAGAGACTGCTGCTTTCCTACTGTGGGGCGTCAGAGCTCTCTTGTGGGGCATCAGAGCTCTCTTTAGAGAGAAAGCAGAAAACCTTTTCTGTGGGAGGCGAGTGAGAGACGTCTGCTCGCCCAAAAACTTTTCCGTGTATCTTTACGTAAATTCTATACTTGAAAATTTTGAAATGCAAATTTTTTAAATTTGAATTTCCCGCCAGAATGAAATTAAATTTTAGGTCTGATTTTTAATTAAAAGATAATTTAAATACAATTATACGGTTTAATTTACAAGTATACACGTTTTATAAATATAAGTTTACCTACTTGTTTTGATGTTTATTTATAAACACTTTTTCGAAAATTTCTCCTTGAAATCATGTGATGGTTTGTTTATTCTCTAATTTTTTATACTCCTGGTCATTTTAACTTATGATTATTGTAAGTCCCTATTATTTTATCGTAACATTTACTTTATTTTTGAAAAAATGTTTCGTTTCATTCTTTTTTTTTATTAATATTTTTTTGGCTATTTTTGTTATAGGTACATAACCTTCCTTTTGGAAGAAACAAAAAGAAACAAGAAACCGGCGGTCAAATCAGGATTGGGTAGTTACTTCTGGCTGGCAGTAAACGGTAAGTTTGTTACGTAAATTACTTTATTTAAGCTTATAAGGGTAGAATCACACGCCTATCGATTTGGTCCGTTTTCCAAAATTCAAAATAGCCGATTTAATATGGCGCTCATATAATCTGAAGTTACTTTTATTTAAGAAAATAACGTTAATTGAATAAAAGCAACTTCAGATTCGTAATCAGCGACCTCAAAAACCCCCGACTAGCGACTTTCAAGTGAATTCATTCAATTATTAAAAGTTCGTCCGACATATTGGATCCGCCATTTTGAATTTTGGAAAGAGGACTTCAGATTCGTAACCAGCGACCCCGAAGACCCCCGAATAACAACTTTCAAGCAAATTCGATCAATTATTAAAAATTTGTCCGTCAATCGTCATATTGGATCCGCCATTTTGAATTTTTGAAAAACAACTTCAAATTCGCAATTAGTAACCCTAAAATCTTTTTAGGATGAAGTTTGATTTTAAAATCCCAATAATTTTTTTTTATTTTGTAAATTTATTCATTTATAATTGTTTATAATTTTACATAACTGCATTTATTATTAATTATTATTTATTTATTTAAATATTATTATTTTTTAAGTTTTCCAGGAAAACATTTTAGCCAAAAAAAATTAAAAAGATATAATTTGTTATTATTAATCCTTCCTCCTTATTAAAAAAAAAAATAATAAGTTACTATTATTATTGATTATTATTATAATAATTCGTAAAGAAAAATTAAAGTTACCTTTCCAAAAACTTGAATTAATTCATTTTTTGAAGGCCCAAAAATGAAATTTTGTGCAATGTACAGTTGCAATTTTTGAAAATAATAATTAATTATTCTGTGAATTATTTATTTTTGTATTTAAATAATTGAATTCTGATGAGAATTGATTTATTAAAAAAGAATTTTAGTTAAAACTTTAGAAAATAATAAGAAATGTTAAAATAGGATTCTTTATAGAAATAATTATATTTCATAAATTTTTTACATTGAAATCTTTGAAATTCTAATTGCTGTAAAAATATCAAAATATTTAAGTTAACTTCCTTAAAAATTAAAAGATTTTAATAATATTATTCAAAAATTCGAAAAAAATTATTGAATTTTGGAAGACTTGCAGTTCAAATTCTCATAAAAAATTTTTCCAATGATTTTACATTAAAAGTATTTCAAAATTTTCAGTAAGTAAAGAACTTTAAGTATTTAAATGTTTATTTTACAAAAATGATTAAAATTTGAAAATTCTGAAAAAATTAGGTTTTTGAAAAATAGTATCTAATTAAAATTTTTTTAATAGGTATATACTTGAATTCTCGAAAATAATTTTTAAAAAATTCAAAATTTTGTAAACTTTTATATTTTAAAGAATTTTATTTTCCATGTTTAAAAATTTTCTATAAATGTAATTATATTTTTTAAAATACATTATTTTATGAATTTACAAAAATTATTCTATTTAAATAATTCAATAATTCTCGTCATTGAATTCTGATAGAAATTGATTTAAAAAAATTTCAGTTACAATTTTAGAAAATAATTGAATATTTAAAGCGTTATAAACACAAATTTTAGGAACTAATTAAGTTTAAAAAAATTTTTTAAATAAATTTTTTTGAAATTTAAGGCAAGCAAAAGTACATATCTATAAAAATATTAAAATTTTTCCTACATTATTTTTCTTTAAAAATTCTTAAAGTTTTTTAAAAATTTTATTCAAAAAAATTCTAAAAAAGTAATTGAATTTTGGAAGAATTATAGTTGCAGTTTTTAGAAATAATTAATAAATTTCATGAGGTTTTTGATTGAAATGCAGGTAATGTGAACATCACATAATTTTCTAGTTAGATTCAATTATATATGATGCTTGTCGAACTCTTAAACAGTACGTTCCATCCCTGAGTAATTATTATCAGTTGTCAATTCTCTTTCTCTCTCTCACTCTCTTTGCCAATAGTTTTTAGACAATCATTTTATAAGGTTATAAGAGCTCACTTTTTCTTTGGATGAAAAATAAACAACATAATACAAACTTGTAATCATGCTGATCAGCATGATTAGTCAAAAATCTTCCAAGTGAGAAGACGGAAACAATCTTATTTTTCAAAAGTTTTCTAAACAATTTTGCAACATTGTTATTGTTTTCAAATATTTATAAAACGGTAATTATAACCTATTTTTATAAATTTTGTCAAATTAAACATTATTTCAATATAAATAAATAAATTATCTAAAATATATAAAAATATTGCAGATTATAAAAAAAAATTATTATTATTTGTTGATTTAAATGGTATTAAAATTTTAGCCCTTTAATTTCTTGAAAAAATTTTATTATTTATTATTGTTTGTTTTTATATTTAAATAATCGGATATAATGATATTTTAAGTTATTTTAATTAAAGTAAATTATTTATAGAAATGATGCAAATTATTGCAGATATTGCAGAATGTGATTTATAACAAAAAAACGTACCTCTATAACTTCATTTGCTCTGCTATTATGTTAACGACCAACTATAAGAAAGGAAGAATTATCTATATTTACAATATTAATTATAGAAAAAAATTACATATTCTTAGCAGTATTTTATTCTTTTTTCTATCTTAATTCATAATTAAATGATAAATTAATTTTAATAATTACTTTGATTGAAAAAGAAATATTCTTCAGTCAATTAATTTTAATCTCAATGCAATATGATTTGTAAAAAAAAATATTAATTTTTTTTAAGAAATAAAAAACTAATCAAGTTTAAAAATAATTAAAATTAAGAGAATTGAGTTTACAAAAAGTATTCAGTTTGAAGAAAAAATATATTCAATTAATATAATTTTAAAAAATATTTTAATTTAAATAATATTTTAGTTTGAAAATAATTTTTAATAAAATTCAAATTTAAATACAAAATAAATTAGCAATTTATAATTAAAGAAAAAGACAATTATTATTATTATTTATTGTTTTCAAAAATATTAATAAAATTCTTCACAGAGCTTCAATTATTTGCAATACAATTTTAATAAAATTTCTCTAAATAATTCAATTATTTTTAAAAATTTGATAAAATTCTTCTCAAAAATTCAATTATTTTTAAAAATTGTGATTACATTCTTATTATGAGAATTTAAATATTTTCAATACAATTTTAATTAAACTCAAAGAAATTTTAATAATTTCGAAAATTTTAATTAAATTCTTAGCAATATATCAATTATTTTCATATTTAGTACAATTTTTTCCATAAAATATATGTTAAAATTAAAATCAATTGAAAATAATTGAATTATTGACAAAAATTACAAAAAATTTTTGAAAATACAGTAGAACCCGGTTAATACGCTCCCGTTTAATACGATTTCCCGCTTAAAACGCTCATTTATAGTGGTCCCTGCAATTAAAGACATACATTTTATTTCCCGCTTAATACGTTTTCCCGCATAAGACGCATTCTTAATTTTAAAATTGAAAATAATTAAATTTTTAAAAAAAATTTTGTTAAAATGTTTCAAAATAATTGAATTATTTCCAGAAATTTTATCAAAATTGAAATTAATAAAAATAAAAATAATTAATTTGTTTTCAAGAATTTTTTTCAAATTTTTGAAAATAATTGAAATTATTCGAGAAATTTAATTGGAATTTTATTTAAAATAATTGAATTCTTTCCAGAAATTTTACTAAAATTGAAATCAATCGAAATTAATTGAATTTGTGATGAAATCATTATTTTATATCATAAAAATATTGTTACTGTAATTTCTTCAAAATTATTTTCATCATTTCAATTTAATTATTATTTTCTATAATTTTTAACTAAAATTCTTCTTTAAATTAATCATTTTTTAGAAAGTTCTTTGAGATTTAGAAAATCCATTTTTTTATAATTCAATTTTACGAAATTTTTATTTTTTCGAAATTTAATTTGAAACCTTTTCAAAATTGAATTATTTCTAAAAATGCACGCTACAATGCTTTTAATATTCAATTATTATCTAAAATTTTAACTCAAATCTATTCTTAAATCAATTTTTAATAGAGAAATTCTACTAGAATTCAATTATTTAAATACAAAAAAAACAATTAATTGAATAATTGCATGTTGCTTAAAATTGAATTCTTATAAAGAAATTTATCAATAAATTTTTAAATACATAATTGAATTCTTTTGACGAATTTTAATAAAATTTTTAAGAATAATTATATTTTTCGAGGAATTTGATTAAAATTGCATTACAAATAATTTAACTTTTGCTATGAGTTTTATTATTTATGAAAATAATATGAATTCCTAAAAAGAATTTTATTATTTACGAAAATATTTGAATTCCTAAAAAGAATTTTATTATTTATGAAAATAATTGAATTATTGAGAAGAAATTTATAAAAAAATGTTCAAATAATTGAATTCCTGTGAAATTTTTATTATTTTATGAAAATAATTAATAATTGAATTTCGGAGAAGAATTTTATTATATTTATAACAAGGTGTCCAGCTACCTTGAAAACCTTAAAAACCTTGAAAAGTACTTGAATTTTTTTTGCTCCTTGAAAACTTTGAAAACACCTTGAATTTTATGACAAAACCTTGAAAAATTAAAATTCTTAAAAATGAGATTTAATTCCTTAATGTTTTAAGTTGAATTCTCTTCAATATTTCAATTATCTTTATAAATATAAAAATTCTTCGCCGAAATTCAATTATATTCAGGAATTTTAATAAATTTCATTGTAAAATACAATTATTTTCATAAATAACAATATTCACCAGAAGACTTCAATTATTTTAAAAATGAATTAAATTTTTCGCAGAAATTCAATTATTTTCAAAAAATTTAAAAAATTACGGTCAACAATAAATTCAATTATCTTTATAAATAAATAATAATAATAATCTTCGACAAAGTTCAATTTTTTTGAGGAATTTTAATAAAATTCATTGCAAAATTCAATTATTTTTCGTAAGTAATAATATTCATTACAAGAATTCGAATATTTTCAAAAATTTTAATAAAAATCATGGGAAAATTTCAATGAAAATCATGGGAAAATTTCAATTATTTTCAAAAAGTTTTCTTACTTCGATGGTTTTCAATAAAATTTCCCGAAAGAATTTAATTATTAAACAAAAGTTTTTAAAAAATTCTACACAAACTTTCAATTATTTAAAAAAATAAAATTTTACATTAATTCAATTATTTAAAATAAAATTTGCATAATTTTTTTCGCAAAAATCATTTATTTTAAAATTTGCCATTAAATTCTTCGCAGTAATTCAATTATTTTCAAAAGTAATAAAATTCAATTATTTTCAAAAATTTTAATAAAATTCATTGCAAAATTTCAATTATTTTCAAAAATTTTTCTTAATTCAATAATTTGTATATCAATTATTTTAATAGAAATTCTCAAAAGAATTCAATTATTTAAAAACAATTTTGATTGATGTTTCTTAAATCGATGTTCTTTATATTTCTAATATTTTATTAATAAATTGTATTTAAAGTTATTTACGAATAACTGTTGTATGTAGAAATTATAAAATTGTTTATAAGTACTCTCTAAATTTGAATTAGTAAAAATGTTTAGTATTTTGAATTAGCGACTGACTTTTTGCTTTTTAATTAGTAAATTTCACTAGTAATATTAGTAGAAATGATTATTTATTAGTAAAATTTACTAATTCAAAAGCAAAAAGTCAGTCACTAAAGACTAAATCAAATTAGTAATTATTTTTACTAATTCAAATTTAGACAGTAAGTAAAAATTTACTTGAAATACACTATTATACTCGATTATAAATAACAAATATTTTGAAAATTTAGTACCCTAAAAATGGACATTGAAAAAAATTATTTTAAATTTTGAAAACCTTGAAAAGTCCTTGAATTTTTTTTTAAAGAATCGCTGGACACCCTGTTATAAAGATAATTGAAATTTTGACGAGAATTTAAAAAAATTCTTAAACATAATTGAATTTCTGCGAAGAGTTTTATTACTTTTGAAAATGATTGAATTTTTGGAATCATTTGTAATTTCTCTAAAATTCTCCAAATTATATCGTACAATTTACGAACTTTTCGTCTTTTCTCAATCGAATTACGGACTTTACGGACCTTTTTCGGAAGAAAACTGACTTTTACGGACTTCAAGCAAATTTACAGACCTTGTTCAAGCCCTGATTAAATTAAAAAATTTTTCTAAATCAACTTTTAAAAATAAATAAATTGTTTCAGAAAAAATAAAAAAAAGAGGGAGAAATTCTCACAATGTCAGAGAAAATTCCAATTGAAGAAATTCGTTTTCCAGTTCCATGGGGTCACGTGGCAGCGAAAGGCTGGGGTTCACCTCGAAATTATCCAGTTCTTGTTGTTCATGGAATAATGGACAATGCAGGATCATTTAATCGACTAATTCCCCTTCTTCCCGATAGATTTTATTACCTCTGCATTGATTTACCGGGTCATGGATTATCATCGCATTTCCCCGCTGGCATTCCACTTGATTTTTTCAACTACACTCTTTGCATTGAACTCATTGTTCAATCATTAGGCTGGAAAGAATTTATTTATCTCAGTCACAGTCTTGGTGGAATTATTGGTTCATTTTACCTGGCACTCTATCCGGGAAGGATTAAAAAAATGATTGCACTCGATTTGGGATTGCCGTCCGATTACAGTGGCGATAGACTTGTAGCGCGAGTTCAGGATCTTCAAAAGAATGCCCTCATAATTTATCGTGATAAATCGATAAGACTTCATTCCTACGATGATGTGATTTATGCGCTAAAATACAAGAGAATGCATTGTTTAAACGATTCAGCGGCTGAGGAATTATTTGAACGGGCAGTGACGAAAATTGACGATAAATACAAATATAATCGTGATGCAAGATTGAAAATGACAGTGAGGCCAATATTTTCACTTGAGCAATATTTAAATTTTTACAGTCGTATTAATGTGCCCTTTTTATTTATAATAACGTCAATTCATGTGAATACTGTGCCGAAAATGGTTGGAATTGAGGAGGGAATAGGTCTTTTGAAAAAAATTAAATCATTAAAGTTTCACATTGTTGAGGGCAATCACGATGTTCATAATAATCATCCGGAAAGGGTGTCAACAATTATTACAAATTTTCTAGATACACAAATTATTCCTAGCAAATTGTAAATTATTTCATATAATACAATGTAAATCGATTATGTTTGTAATAATTTTGATATAATTATTCATTTATCGAAATTATACTTCCAATAAAGATAAAATTTTTGTTTTTAATATTTAGCAGATAAAAGTATCTTTACAAAGTAAAGTGTTAATATAATTGAATTATCAGTTGGTACAAAATCTCTGTTAGATGTACGAAAAGAATTATTTATAATGAAAGGCACATTTAAAACAATTCATCATTTGTAATGTATAAAAAGCAATAGATATGTAAATTTAAAAATGGGCGTTTAAAGTAGTAAACATGTATGTGTCCTAGTATTTAAATTTCTAGTTTAAATACCTGACGCCAAGAAACTAATAGATCATTTTTTCTTGGCATTTCAGTTTATCGATGAGTAAATCATTTTGCCTTATTTCATAATCAAGCTTCTCTTGAAGTTTATACAACTCTCTTCTCGATTCTATTATAATGTTGCAACTGACGCATTCTCTCAATTTACCAGTCAACTGACCGATTTCTTTCGCGACGTTGTCTCTCCTATATCGAAGATTATTCCCTTTCTTGTAACAGTAATAAATTTTATGACGATGTTTAGAACCATGCTGTAAAAGATATTCTTCATTTTCTTCCGATTTCTCGGAAATTTCATCTGCTCTAGAAGTACCATGTATTTTCTGTCTTCTTCGGTCTAATTTTCAGTTCATCTCTCTGTATCGTGCTAATGCTATCGTGTTTTCCTTTACTTTATCAGTTGCCCTCTCTTTCCTTAGCAAAACTTTATTCTTGTAGGCCTTTTCCACCTTCCTCTCCCGCTTTTTTACAATTGGAGGATGTGTCGCTATCACTTGATGATGATTGGCGACTAATTTTTGGCGAAACTGATTCTTCTAAGACTTTTACTCTTCAATGTGACTTGCACGACAGCACGATAAAGAAAGCACAATGTAAATCAATTATATTTTAATTAACAAATTTAAATATAGAAAATATTTTTCTAAGAAAGCAGAGTTGTTTCTTAATTCTTCAGTATAATGAATGGAATGTAGTTTTCTTTTCGAAAATCAGGGTGTGCCACAAAAATTTAATTTCCTTTTTCCCCTGATTTCCAAACATTTTGATTATTTCCCTTGACCCTAGAGAATATTCTGATTTATTATAAAAATGATTAGTTACTCAAAAAAAATGTTCTATAACATTTATTTACGAATTGAAAAATTGTAAAATTATTCGAAAACATTAATAACTTCTTTTTTTAAATAAATATTTACTCATTATTATTTTTACACGGGAATTAGGACTTTCAAAAATTTCAAGTTCAAAACTTTTTGCAATCACACAATTTGTAAGAATATTTTATTGTAAAACATAAAGAAATCGATCACTCCGAGTCTTCGACTCACAGTCAATTATTATGACGACTTTTATTAAATTGATTGAAAATAATTCAACTTCTTTCAAAATTTTTTCCAAATTTTGAAAATAATTGAATTATTTCCAGAAATTTTACTAAAATTTAAATTAATCGAAATTAATTGAATTTGTGATGAAAATATTAAAATATTGTTACTGTAATTTCTTCAAAATTATTTTCATCATTTTAATTCAATTATTATTTTCTACAATTTTTAACTAAAATTCTTCTTTAAATCAATTATTTTATATAATTTTTGAAAAAGTTCTTTGAGAATTATCAAATCTATTTGTTTATAAATTATAACTCAATTTTATTGAATTTTGATTTTTCAGAAATTCTTCAACTAGGTAAATATATATTAGAAAAGAAAAACTTCAAATAATTTTTAAAAAAAATTCAATTAAACTTGTTTTAAAAAACTTAATTCTACAGAATTGTTAGTTAATAAAATGAAAAATTCAAATTTTCAAAGATTTTAATCTGAAACCTTTTCAAAATTCAATTATTACTAAAAATCCACGCTATAATGCTTTTAATATTCAATTATTATCTAAGATTTTAACAAAAAATCATGTTAAAATCAATGTTTATTAGAAAATTTTACGAGAATCCAATTATGTAATTACAAAAATAAATAATTTATTGAATAAAATTGAATGTTTCTTAAAATTAAATTCTCATAAAGAATTTTATCAACAAATTTTTAAATATGTTAGCGAATAGTCATCAAGTGAGAACGAATAATAAAATAAGTACGAATATTTCCGAAAGAATACGAAATAGGCGCGCAATATATTGAAGGTACGATTAGTAATTTAGTATGAAACTGTAAGCGAATGAATAAGTATGAAGGGCGAGTGCGAGTTCGAAATTAATAATGTAATAATCGAAGAATCAATTCGAAAACTATTGTGAGATTAATCACGTATTCAATCGACTTATCTTATATTAAAATTCTATATATTTTCTTAATTAATTGTGTTATTTTTATTTATTTTACTGAAAATCATCACCACGTGTTCCTTACACCTACTACGCTATTAAACAATTGAATTCATTTGACGAATTTTAATAACATTTTTAAGAATAATTACATTTTTCGATTAATTTGATTAAAATTGCATTAGAAATAATTTAACTTTTGCTATGAGTTTTATTATTTATAAAGATATTTGAAATTTTAAAAAAAATTTTGAACTTAGGAATTGAATTTCTGCGAAGAGTTTTAATACTTTTGAAAATAATTGAATTTCTACCATCATTTGTAACTTCTCAAAAATTCAATTTTTAGTGTTTGTAACTAAAATTCTTCTATAAATTCATTATTTTTAATAATTAATTAAAATATGTATTAAAAAATTTAACTAATTTCAGAAGAATTTGAATTATTAAAATTTTTCAAAAAACTAAGTTCTTTAAAGTTTCTAATTAAATTCATTCAAAATTGAATGAAAAAAATTGAATTTAAATAGTAATTTGAATTAAGGAAAATAAATTCATAAACAATTGGAGTTGTAATAGAATTCAATTCTATGAAAATGGATTACAAAAATATTTTAATTAAGTAGAAAATATAATTGAATTTTTAAATAATTTAAATTTCTGATTATAGAATTTTTAAAATAATTCGAAATTTCTTAAATAATTGATTTTTAAAATAATTGAAATATTTGGATCATTGGATTTAAAAAAATAATCACAACAAAAAATAAATAAATAATTTTCAATTAAAATAATGAACAATTTATAAAATTTTAAAAGAGTTAAAATTGAATATTTATTTAAATTAAGAAATTGAAATTTCTTTTAATTTAAGAAATGAAAATTTTATTGAAGTTTAAACTAAATTTAAACTTAATTTTAATTTATTTTGCATAAAAGCGGTTTTTATTTAAAAATTATAAATTTTTGTTTGTCAGTCATACCTTTCAACACTGATACGAATTAAATCTCTCATTTGAAGAATTTTAATAGCTACTTCGTTGTCACATTGAACGGAATTTTTTATTTCGTCGTCTAATACCACAGCCATATGATTCATAAATGAATCGTCTCGTTTTGTTTCGCACACATTATTTTCAGACAAATGAATTCTGTACCAAATTAATAGAGCATTTGGTAATTTCTTCGTTGCTTGAAATTTTCCAAAATTAACAACACACTCGCGTATTTCAGTTTCGTCCATTTCCAAAAGTTCTTTCACCTCGGACATTATTTCGTGCTGATAAAGACTCGAATTCAAATCAAATACTTGATTAATCTGTGAATTTTTACAAATTTTTTATTTCTCTTATTCTATTGTAATTCGACGTTTTAGTTGTTATTATTACTATTATTATTTCTTTAAATGAACATAATTTTTTTGATTGTAATTTAATTTGCTGATTGTAATTAAAGTTTTTAATTGTGATTAATTTTATTTAAAAGAAAAAACTGTTTCGAGTTAACTTTTAGAAAATCGTTGCAATTGTAAACTTAATTGAACTTATTGTGCTGTTATTTTGTTTGGATTTATAAATTTAGTGTGATATATTTTTATTATATTGTTTTTATAAAAATCCATTGTTTTAACTATATTTACTATTTGAACTTAATTGCAAATATTGAAAAATAGAATTTATGAAAAATTTTTGTAAATGATTTTTTATAGAACAAAATAGCAAAAAAAATTTATTAATTTTAAAAGTAATTTTTAAGAGTTATAAGACTTTTCAGAGAAATATTAAATTTTTTAAATTATTTTTTAAAGAAAAAAAAACTCACTTTGTACTCGTTGATAAATTCAGCAATTTTGTAATTTGTATTACTCTCGTCTAAAATAGTTGAATTACTTTCAGAAGAATTATCATCGTCAGAATTCTGTAAAATATTTAATAAAATAGACATTAAATGAATTAATTAAATTAAATTAATTTTCTTTATAAAAAATATGTAAAAATATTAAACAATGAAATGTTTAGTAAAAAATTTGTTAAAAAAATTGTATTAAAACAGCTCTTATTTTTAGTTACAAAAAAGTGGGAAATACCTTTTCCGAATTTATGTCATGCCCTTGAAGATTTGAATTTTTAACTCTAACCATTTTTGGCAAATCTTCAGAAAATACTAATTGGCCCATTAGAAATATTTTAGACGGTAATAAACTACCTTTTGGATTTAGTAAACAACTAGAAACAAAAGAATATTAATAAATAATACATATAAATAAATAATAAAGTTAGTAAAGAAGCGAACTTTTTACAACGTCAAATCTGACGATTATGCAAAAAACATTTTTTTTCTTTTAAAATATCAATATCATCAAAAATATCAATTCAATTATTTTTAAAAATTTGAAAAAAATTCTTCAAACCAATTCAACTATTTTCGATTAATTTCAATTGTAATGAAATTTCTGTAAAGAATTCAATTATGTACTTTCAAACATTTTAATAAAATTCTTTTTAAGAATAGTTAATTTTAATTCAATTTTTCGAAAGATTTCAATTATTTTCAAACATTTTAATAAAATTCTTCGAAACAATTCAATTGTTTATACAACAACAAATTGTAATAAAATTTCTGGAAAGAATTAAATTATTTTCAAAAATTTGAAAACAATTCTTGAGAACAATTCACTTATTTTCGATTAATTTCAATTTTAATAAAATTTCCGGAAAGAATTCAATTATTTTAAAACATTTTAAAAAAATTATTGGAAGCAAATCAATTGTTTACAACAAATTTCAATTAAATTTTTCGAAAGATTTCAATTACTTTCAAACATTTTAATAAAATTCTTTTTAAGAATTAAATTATTTTCAAGACAATTTTAATTAAATTTTCCGAAAGATTTCCATTATTTTCAAGCATTTTAATAAAATGCTTCTCAAAAATTCAATTATTTTTAAAAATTTTAATAAAATTCTTTTCAAAAATTCAATTATTTAAAAAATTGTTAATAAAATTTCTTACAAGAATTTAATTTTTTTTATTTCAGATTCAAATTTATAAAAGTCACAAAAATTATAACATTTTTTAAATATAAATGTTATCTGTTAAACTTTTTAAAAAATTCACTAATTAACGCAAAATTATGATAAATAATATAATAATAATTAAAATTAATAAATATTTAGTTTGAAATTAAATAAAAATGTCTCTTTAAATAAATCTTACCTGAAAGAATCGTGATAACTTTCCTGTCCCCAATCCTTCATTTCGCCTTTAATATCAAAATTGTGAATAAAAATTCTATCCAATTTTGAATGAATTTCGCTGAAATCGTTAATAAAACGAATTTCCCCTTTAATTTGATTGTCCTCAAATACTTTATTAATACACGTGCAAAGCATCAAATCGTCACTTTGATAATATAAAATTTTACAATTAGAATTATTTTTCATCACAGTTAGTCCATAAATTGGAAATGGACAAGTATCCAAAATAGTTTCAACTTCATCACTTTCATTCAAAGCCTCATTTATCAACGACGAAATATATTTTCTATCATTTAAAAACATAATCACTTCTTTGCTCACGTGAAAAATAATTTCCTCGTCAATTTCTTCGGAACAATTTTTTCTCGTATAGAAACATCTCAATTTATTTGACGCCATTTCGGCGGAAATAAATATTTTATCACCTTGAACACAATTCATTGGAATTGAGGGAAAAACGGCAATTTGCCAACATGTTTTACCCTGTGACGAATCTATTGTTATTTCTTCGTCAAGATGCAATTTAAACCATGCAACGAGACCGTCAATTATTCCATCGTAACGACATTCAATGTGAAGGAAATTTTTTAAACCGTCCACAGTGAATGATGATAATTCCTCGTGATCATTGAAATTTACATGTAAAATATCACGCGGTTCAGTGATGTGGGAAATTTTTACATTTTGCAAATTTTCCGTATCGTAATATGACTCGTCGGGTAGGAGGGAAATTTTTTTGAAATTCAACACACCGAAATGTTGATTAACATTGTGAAATCTTACTGACGAGCGAAATCGAATATATTCACATTCAATGGCAGCGACAAAGAGTGTTGCATTTGAGGGTATTACAATTCCTCCATCGGATAAAAGTCTCTCGTGGGCGTCAATTAATGTTGGAACAACGAGTTCGCCAAAGAGACCGGCGTCAAACGTTTCCGTCACGATTAATTTAACTCTGAAAAAGAGAAAAAGAAATAGAAATGGAAATGGAAATTTTTTTTTTTAAGAAAAAGGCAAAGATCACAGATTGACACCTTTTTTAAATTTTCTACCTATCACTTTAATTCTCACCTATATTCTTTTTTGTATACCGTTTTTCTAAACCAATTTCTAATTTTTTATTTTTTGAATATTTTTTATATTAGGTATAAAGTTTAATTTAAAAAAAAAAATTTCTAATAATTTTCAATTTCCAGGCCTTGGCTTTAGTAATTAAAAAAAGGCGTTTATTTAATTCAGTGTTGTCACAAAAAGTGTTATTTTGTATTTTCCTGATTCTTCACTGATTTCTAAATTCAATTAATCAAAACTCGAAAAATTTTGCTAAAAAAAAATTTAAATACTTTTTATTTCTTCTTTCACGGGAAATAAAATTTAAAAAATTTCAACTTCTGAAGTTTATTAATTTCTAAAAATTATAACTATAACCCTTCCAAAATTCAATTATTGTCTACAATTTTGAACTAAACTTCATCTCTAAATCAATTATCTATATTAATTTTTAATAATATTCCAAAAGTTCTTCGAGAATTCAATTATTTCAATACAAAAATTTAATTTTTATAATAATTGAAACTGTCAATTTTTTTTTTTAAATATTAAAGTAGAATATTTTCAAAAATCTTAATAAAGAAATTCTTAAAATTAATAATTTTTAATATTTCTAAATAATTTTTGAAAGACAATATTTTTACAATTACGTAACAATTAAAAAATGGCTAAAACATTGAAATTTGGTAAAATGTTTGAAAAATAATTGAAATTTGATAAAATCTTTTCAAAATAATTGAGTTTTTAGAAAATATAAAAAAATAATCAAATTTTTGAAGAATTTTAACTAAAAATGATTTCTCCGAAATTTTAATAAGTCTAAAAAAGTAAATTTTAAAAAATTTAATTTACTTTGTTCGAAGGTAATTGAATCTTAAAAAATTATGATAAAACGATTCAAAGAATTAGTTTTTTATAAATATTGTAATGTAATTTTTCGAAAATAATTGAATTTCTAAAAAAAAATTTTGTAGAATTTAAAAAAAACTAATTAATTTTTTGAAGAATTTTAATTAAAAATTTTGAACATGGTTTTTTTCTCCAAAATGTTAAAAATAATTCTAAAATATTATTATTTTTTTTATGTAGATATTTGAATTTTCGGAAGTATGTAATCAAAAATATTAAAAATAATTACATTTTAAAAAATTAGAATGGAAATTTCCAATTAAAATTCTTTCAAAGTTAAATTTTCAAAAATTGTAATAAAATACTTGAAAAAAAAATGATTTATTTTCAATTAAATTTTACAAAATTTCAATTATTCAAAATCTTTTAAATTGTATATTTCAAAAATTTAATTAGAAAAATTATTCAAAAATAACATTTCAAAGATTTGTCTATAGTTTTTAAAAAAAACAAATTTTGTAGAATTTAAAAAAAACTAATTAATTTTTTGAAGAATTTTAATTAAAAATTTTGAACATGGTTTTTTTCTCCAAAAATTTTTTTTTTTTTTTCTATAGTTTTTCACACTATTGAAATCGAAATAAGTTGCATTTTATACTAAAAATGTGGTATTTTGTTACAAAATTTGTAAGAAAAGACGAAAAAGGCGTAATTTTTTAATATAAGTCGATGAAAGGGATTTTTATTAAAATTACTGGAAGAAATTAAATTTTTAGAATTCATAAGAAAATTTCGAATTTTTGTGTCTTTTTTGTTTTGCCTCCTAAACTATGAAATTACCACGAATTCTAATATAAAACCTTCATTTTTTTCTATCTCGAACAATAATTTCTTTTTAAATATAACTTAATTCTTGAAGTACTATCATATAAAATTATTACTTATAAATTATTTAATGAATAATATTTTACTAAAATATTTCAAAATTAATTGAATTTTAAAAGAGTTGCGTTTACAATTTTCATAAATAGATGAATTTCAAAAGGTTTTAATTTGAAATATTATATTTATTTAATAGAACATTCTTTGAGTGTCTAATCATTTTTAGAGTGAATTAGAATATTCTTTAGGGTTAGGGATAAAGTCAAAATTTTATTTGGAAAACAGGGATAAACAAAATTGAATTTTTGTGGCAAACTTGAGAAATCTATTTTTCTCATTCGCAACAAATTCAGTATTGCCACAAAAATGTTATGCTGTTTTCCCTGATTTCCAAACAAAAAAAATGATTATTAAATTCTCAACTTTAGTAAAATTCAATTAATTTTTGAATTTTTAAGAAAAAATATTAAATTCTATTTCAAATTTTCGAATACTTCAATTTGAATATTTTGAAACCTTCTGAAATTCAATTAATTATAAAAATTGTAAACGCAAATCTACTAAAATTCCAACAAATTACAACAAAATTGTAATCGCAACTCTCATAAAATGAAATTATTTTTGGAATTTTTATGTAAAATTATTTGTTAATAATTTACAAGTAATAATCGTGTGATAGTTCTTGAAAAATTAAGTTATTTAAAATAAATTAAATTTCATATTCAAGTGAATATCCTTATCGAAAAAAATTCAAGGGAAGATCAATTACAAAGTAGATCATTTTTAGAATAATATTTAGAAATATCATCAGGGGGATAAATTTAAAATAATTCTAAAATTTAAATCGTTAAATTTTTGTGAATTAAATTGAAAGTCGAGTTTAATTTCAATTGCTAAATATTTTGACAAATTAAAATTACAGTTATTATTAAAATTTAAATAAAAGATTTTAATTTTAAAAAACAATACATATTGAACAAACCTTTCAGGAATATCTTCCGGTATTTGTAGATCCGTGGACATTTTTGGAATTAATTTCACTTGTGTTGCATTATTTTCGTGTAATACATTTTTGGCAATTTCCGTCATTGTTGAGGAATTTTCGCAGGCGTAAATTTTCTTTGCACCAGCGTCACGTGCGTATAAACTTAATAAACCTGTACCAGTGCCAATGTCAAGTACCGTGTCATAATCGAGGGCGACTTTTTTTCTTATCGCTTTATCGAAAGCATGATTCCGCTGTTTGTCATTGAGCATTGGAAAATGCCAACGATCGACTGCCATACTGTAAGCATTTTGTAAATTTCTCTCGGCTGGTAGAAAATTTGGGTCGGCCTCCAGAGCTTGTTTCAGATATTTTATCGCCTTCGTCGGTTCTTCGTTCCTTTATTTTAAAAATTTTTTAAATTAATTTAATTTCCGTATTTTCATTTTTTTAAAAAAATGTATTTACATATTTTACGAATTTTATTCGTAATTGTAGAAAATAATAATTGAATTGAAATGATGAAAATAATTTTGAAAAAGTTACAATAACAATATTCTTATAGTATAAAATAATGATTTTATCTTTCGAACATCTTTTATAAAAAATGAAGAAATCGATCGATTTTTTCATGTTTTACAAGAATATTCTTACAAGTTGTTGAATTTCAAAAAGGTTTGAATTTGAAATTTTTGAAAGTCCTAATTCCTATGGAAAAATAATAATAATGATTAATAATCATTATTATAAATCATTGACTATAAACAATTATTTAAAAATGAAGTTATTGATGTTTTTGAATAATTTTACAATTAAATAAATTGGTAAATAAATGTTATAGAACATTTTTTTGAGTAACTAATGATTTTTAGAATGAATCAGAATATTATCATACTATTTAGGATCAGGGAAATAAAAAATTTTTGTTTGGAAATCATGGAAAAACAAAATTAAATTTTTGTGGCAACCCTGTATTAATTTTGAATTTGCTTTGTATCAATTTAGAATTTTTTTATATTGATTTAGGATTTTTTATATTAATTTGTAATTTTTTTTGTAATAATTTAAGATTTTTTTATACTATAATTTAGAACTTTTTTAATATTAATTCAGAATTCTTTTTCAATTGAAAATGGAGAATTTTTTGAGGAACAATTACCTTAAAATTAATTATGTGTTGAAAACCGAGTGATAGAATCATTATTATATTATAATTACCTTAAAAGATGGGCAGCAAAATTATTGAGCATTCGTGAATTTTTTGGATAATGTTCTAAAGAATGTTCGTAGCATTTTATAACATCTTTCATTCGATTATTTTGTTCCAATTGCATGCCCCATTCACCTAAAATTGGAAAAATAACTAATAAATTTATAATGCTAATAGATTCTTTCATATAAAATTAACAAATATGTTTTTAAATTGATTAAAACTAATTTGAAAGGAAGCAATAAAAACGAAAAACAGTAAAAAGAAAATAATAATAAAAGTAGATACAAAATTTTAAAAATTAATTAAATTTGTTAATTAATTTAAAATAAAAAATTAATAAAAAATATCAAAAGAAAGAAAACTCAAATGCAAAAAGTCAAATATTTAAATAAACGAAAGAACAATAGTGGTTTTTAATAAAACTATATAAAAAATAACTTACATAAAACATCTGTAAATTCTTTTTCCACTGTTGAACGATTTTGAGGCGATAATTCAACAACTGCTGTAAAATAAGCGTAAGCTTGACCAACATTTCCTCTTGAATCATGTTCTCGAGCTTTTTTTAATGATTGCTCAACTATCGCTTTAACTTCAGCTTGCATTTTTAATAATCTATAAAAAAATGTGTAAGTAAATGATCTTTCTATTTACTTACATTCTCAAAAAGAAAAATGTTTATCTAAATACTATGTATTTATTAATATTTGTCCTAATAAAATAATTAATCGTGTAATTATAATTTAAATTGTTTTAAATTATAGTTTTTTTCAAACTTTACCAGATTTTCATTTATGAGAACTAAATTTATTTAAGAATTAATAATAAAAATTGTAAAGGTTGTAAACATGAATGTTTTCTAACCTATAAATTAAATTTCCTTGTTATTAATAATTGAGACAAAGACGATTAAAAGTTTACTATCATTTTTAATTCACTGAATTGTTCTGCAAATACTGAAAGATTAAACGAAAATCACTAAAACTGGAATAATATTTTATTTGTCATATAAAATAATAAGGCTGGAGTCCCATGGTAGCGTTTTGCGTTGCGTTTTGTAACTAGGCAATGAGTGCAAATAGAGCAAACCTATATCTGTATCTCTCTCACACTCATGGCCTAGTTACAAAACGCAACGCAAAACGCTGTCATGGGACTCCAGCCTAAATCACAGGCGCTTTTCTTTGAAGCAAAGTCTGTCAAGTAGGTTAGGAAGTAAACAACAAACATGGCTGACATAATGCGCGGTTCACATGTTCACTGCACAGGGTTGGGTAAGTAAAATATATGAATTACCTGAGATTACGTTTATAAAAAATATTGAATTTCGCGCCACTATTAAATTAGCAGGATTTCTAAATTCAAAATGGCGAATCTAATATGGCAGTCAATCTTTTTAAAACTTTACTGAATTCACTTAAATGTAGTAAACGTCCCCAAAAATCACTGAATCCAAAAAATTAAAAGAAATTCCAATAAATGTTTATTATGTATCTTTACAAAATTTTAACAGCAATTTTTCGAAAACCTAATTTTTTTAGAATTTTTATACATTATTAAATTATTCAAAACAAATATTTTTTGTTAAATATTTTAAAACTTATTGTTATTTGTTTAAATTAAAATTTTAAATAATTTCAATGCAAAACCTTTGGAAATTTAATTATTTCTAAAAATTACAACTGCAATTCTTCCAAAAGTGAATTATTTTTGAGAAACTTTGAATAAAATTATTCAAAAGTTTAATAATTTTTAGAGGAAAATATTATATTAATAATATTTTTAAATAAATAGTCATTATTATAATTTTATGGCAATTAAAATGTTACAAAGATGTCAATTTAAAAACTTTTGAAAATTTAATTATTACTTTAAATTTCTATTTATAGCGCTTCTTCTAATATTCAATAATTTATTAAAATTTTAACTGAAATTCTTTTTTAAATTAATTTTTATTAGAATTCAACGATAATTCGATTATTGAAATAAAAAGAGTTTGTAAAATTCAATTATTTTCATATTTTAGTTACAATTTTATTTTTCAAGAAATACGATAATATTTAAAAATCCTTTTTTTGAATTGATAAAATAAAATTCTTTGAAAAATAAAACTTATTAATGAAAATTTAAGACAATTTCCTATTTTTTAATGTTTTAAAATTATTTTCGGGAATTTAACTATTTTCAAAAAATTTTAATTATGATTTTTCAAAAACCTCATTTTTCAGAATTAGTAAATTAAATTTTTCAAATTTCAATCATTTTTGTAAAATAAATATTTTAATACTTATTGCAATATTAATATTTTTCCAACTCAGGGATTAAAATTTCAAAATACTTTTAATGTAAAACTTTTTGTAATTATTTCTAAAAATTAGAACAGCAATTCTTCTAATTCTTGAAATATTTTCTGAAATTTTAACTGAAATTCTTTTTTAAATCAATTCTTATCAAAAAGTTGTCGAGAATTCAATTATTTAAATAGAAAAGTAAGTGATAAATTAATTGATTATTTATAAAAATTGCAATAGTAACTCTACTCATGGATTTTTTTTTGAGAATAAAAAATTTGGGATTACAAGTTAGTCCCCTTTTTTTTATTTTCTCTCCCTTTTTATCAACTTAAATTAATAAAATCCCCGAAAATACCTAAAATCATAAATTTTCTTCCCTTTTTCCCTTATTTTGAAGAAAAACTTGTAAAAATTGTCATTTTCTAATTCTAAATTTTCAACAATAAATAAGCATAAAAATAAAATAAGAAGGAAAGAAATAAAAAACACAAAGTGATTATTGGTCAATATAGATATATATTTGCATACACATTCATATACACACATATATATGTATATTTCTTTCACAGCATTAATTAGCGACAATACAGAAATTTGACAGGCGAAAAAAAATAACAAGAAAAATTATCGTGTAAGGTATTTTTTTTTTTTTGTTAATACATTAATCACATTAGATTATTACAAATACGGACCGTTTCTTTTCCGTCGAGTTACAATAAATTGCATTTTAATATAAAAAAACAACAAAAAAACTAGAAATGTCTTTTTTCGGACTTGTTCCGTTTTAATCGGACGAAGTCTTTATAAACAAAGCCTTGTGATATCATAATACACAAAAAAAATTATTTTTAAAAATCTATGCTATCCACAGATATAGAAAACGATAAACAAAAAATCGGTACAATTTTTTTTTTGTGCCGTTTAGAAACTAAGTTTGATTTTCTTTTTCTTTTCGAAAAAATTTCTTCTATAAACGAAATTACTTTTTTTTGTAAATACAAGGCTAAGGAGACAAGAGAATTAACCAATATTTACATAATATATTCTCTCGTCATTTTTTTGACAAAAACTATTTACTCCTCATTTTTTTTGAATCAAAATTGAGCGTATTTTGAAAAATTGTCTCTAAACAAAGAAAAAGGAGAGGAAACAATGATTCCTCATTTTTTTCCATTATTCTCGTCCGAGGAATGAGAAAAACGATGGCATTAAATAATATATAATCTATAAATATATATGTAAATATAGTATAAACACTTACTTTCACTAGCATTAATAATATTACAGTTTTTTTTTTATTATAAAAATGAGTAAATCTAGGCAGCCTAAAAAAAACTTATCGAGATATTAATCGTTAATCCTTCTCTCGGCGATCGAACGAATTAATATTGTTAAATCAGTTTTTTTTCGCTTAGGCAAAAAATTTCGTTGAGTAAAGTCAAAAGATTTTTTATTTTTGTAGATGTTACCCCCGAATTTGACTTGATTCAATAAAATTTTCCAACCCTCGCAATATGTTAATTCGCTGAGATATCTTTTCTCATTTGAAAAATATATATAAATTTCTTTTATATACTGAAGGAATTGTTTTTTTTTTTAAATTAAACGCCAAATTTTCATTATTTAAAAAATGATACTACGAGCTATAACTCGATTTTTCTAGAATAAATAATAATAGTAATAATATTAATAATAATACGCTTTAAGCACGCGCAGTGACTACTTTTTTTCATAATCTTCTCTTTTTTTACAACATTTTAACCTCCACGGAAATGAGTCAAAAAAAACTCTTTCAGTGGAATAACGAGATTCTTATAAATATTACTCTTGATAAATTATTCCCTCGCTGTATTTTTATACATATAAATAATTGTCTCATTTGTTTTTCAAGTTTTACATATAACGTAGAACTCATTTTCTTTTCTCTAGAAAGAAAAAGAACGAGGGAATTTTTTTTTTATATTGAGAAAAACGAGTGTAACAACAATGCGATAACGCGTGTTTTAAATAACGTTATTCGCATCCTGATAGAAAATCTGACGTTTATATTACCGATTATTTTGTTTCATTAAATTCTTTTCTTTTTCCAAACAAAAATTGTTATTTGTTAAAGAATTATGTCTAAAAATTCTTATCGACTGTACAGTTATTGAAAAGCGTGACTATCTTCTCCCATTTTCTTCTTCTTCTTCTTCTTTATCATCATTTTTTTCAGTATTTGTAGGGATTTATTATTAATTTTTGTTGTTATTAGTGGGTTATAATCTGAAGGGTTGTCTTTGTTCAATTGGTGTTGGTTTTCCTTTTCGTGAAAGAGGCGTCGATAATGGTGTGTCCGAAGCGCCGGACGGTCTTCTCGATAATTTCGAAGACGGAGGTAGAGGCGTACTCGTTCCACTAGACGATGTCTTAGTTCTGAAAAATAAAAAAAAATTAGAAATTTTTAAATTCTTTTTATTTTATTAAAACCATTAAAACATTCAAATACAAACGTGCAAGAAAAAATTTATTTGTCTTATAAATTACAGTTATTTTGATTTTTTTCTATTTTTCATTATATATTATATATTTGTCAATTTCAAACTTTTTCAAATTTTGTCACTTTTTAAATTTATTTAAATTTATTTATTTCTTTTAATATTATAATATTTATTTATTTTAATTCATTTTTTTATTATTTACTATTCAGTTTTATTTACTCTTTTCATTCGTGTTTTATTATTCATTTTTATTTACCATTTTTTTTATTTTAATTTCATATTTCTTACCTGTTTTGTAAATTTTTTAAACATTTTTAAAACAAACTTTAGTTTCTGAAAATTTTAAATGAATCTAAATTTAAATCAATAAATAATTTAAAATAAAAAAATACTGAAACGAAAATATAATAAAAAAACATAAATATTAATAAATAAATAATAATAATAAAAATTCTAATAATAAATAATAAGAAAAAATTTTCTTTTCTATTTCAAGTAATTGCTGAAAATAATGTCAAATTTTCAAAAGTTATTTAAAAATTATTAAATTCAATAGTTGACTCTTCAGGTGAAATTTTTTCATTATAATTTATACATCAAATTATTTTAGTAAAATTGAAAAATTTTGGTATTTATAAAAAATATATTCACAACATAATTTCAAATTCCAGTTCAAAATAACTGCAATTGATAAGAATACAATTTTTTTCTCGAATATAAAACCAAAACTAAATGTAACAGGCGTGGAAAAGAAAGAAAATGTTGAAATTTTTCGTAAAGGTAAAGCACACCAAAAGCTAAAAAAGAAAATTATTTTCTAAACTATAAATAATAAAAATTCCAGGAATTTTTATTGTTGGATTTTCTACACATTATTAGCAATGATTGAAAAATGTGAGAAAATGAAAACAAAAACAATATTTCATTCTCCTATGGAATAAAATGAAACACAAAACCAAAGGTGAAATCGTATATGACTTTTACCTATTGCTCTTGATAGCCAATGGAATATTAGTTGCTGAACTTGTGCGAGTAGAGTTGCTCCTGATATTGCAAAAAAAAAAAAATTGTTAATCCTTTTCACCAGAGTTGAGAAAATAAATAAAAATAAAAAATTGTGCCTTTAAGCGCATTTTTGCGAAAGTAAAAAATTTTCTTCTCTAAACTAATAAAACAGAATTTTTTGTTCTACGAACTAGAAGTTTTCTAAAAAGAAAAAACTAAATTATCTTTGGAAATTATTTAAAAGTTTGAATTACTTAAAAATGTAATTTACTAAATTGATTCAAAGTAATTTAAATTAAAAAAATTATTCTAATAGTTTAAAAAAATTATTTTTTTTTTAATAAAAATAAAAATTTAATAAATTTTTTAAAAAACTGCAAAAACTTGTTTTAATTAATTTTACTTGACAATGATTTTGAATTTAAACAAAATTGTGAATTCGAAAAAATAAAATTGCAAACGATTTTTTTTTTTTTGAAATGTGAAAAATACTCATGAGATAAAAATTTAAAATTAATTTTGATTTTTAATTTAATTTAAAATTAACTGCACTTTTAATTTCAACTTTAACTTTAAATTTAAATATTGTTAGATTTCAAATTTTTCACAAATCACAAAATTATATTTTGTTAATTAAAGCACATGCAAGCAAAGCAGAATAGAAATTTTAGGAATTATAAGAAGAGTGATTTTAAAAAATCGGAAAAACTAAATACAAAAACTTGTACTACATATAAAAGTGCCTAAAAACTATTTTCGAAATCGACGCAATAATTAATTTATTTTTACAATTTTAATAGTAATTGATTAAATTAAACATCTTTTTTAATTTTAGTCCAGAAATTATTTCTAATTTCAAAAAAAAAAAAATTGAATATCAATTCTTTGAGAAAGTAAATAATAAAAAATTTTTTTACTTTAGAATGTGCGTACCTAACTTTTTTTTAATTACAAAAAAGACTCGTATTTTACTTCTTTCTTTGCGACCGAAAACAAACGGTTAGAAACAAATAAGATTAATAATTTTATTTTTCAATTTTCCTGAATATTGAGATGAAAAATAATTTACAAAAAATTACAAAATTCAAAAATATTTCAATTTATTCTATTAAAAAAACAATCTTTTTAATAAACAAATGACGTGAATTAAAATTTATTAAACTTTACACACAGAGAAATGTTTTATTTGAACCGAAAAAATTATTTTTGTGCAGAAATGAAATTTTTTCTTTTTCTGTTTCAAATAAATTCTTTTTTGGTCTAAAATATAAATGTTTTACCTTTAAATTTCAAATAAAAATGTTATTTGTCACAAATAAATTATTTTTAAGCAAAAATGGAATTTTCTTTTTGTTTGAAATAAATTATTTTTGGGCTAGAATAAAAATTTTATTTTTTTGTATCAAATAAAATATTTGTCACAAATAAATTTATTATAAATAAATAAGTAATTAATTACTTATTTTTGGGCCGAAATGAAATTTTTACTTTTTTGTTTGAAATAAATTCAATTTGGGTGAAAATACAATTTTTCCCTTTTTTTTTTGTTTCAAATAAAAATATTATTTTTCGCACAAATAAATGTTTCTTGGACATAAATGACATTTTTATTTGAACCAAATAAAATTTATTTACAATGAATAAATTTCTATTTGTCTATGAGATAAATATTTTTTCTCTAGGTGCGAAAAAATGAACTTAGTACAAAAAAGAAAATGATTACTTGAATGGAAAAAATTTTGTTCAAATCCTTTTTTCAAAATAAATAAAAAATGTTCCCTATTTTGAAAAAGACATGCAGAAGATTAATTATAAAACAGACGAGACAGAGACAGTGAGAAAGAAAAGCCAAGACCAAACCATCCAGCATACCCATTGGAGTCAGTAGAAATTGTAGAATGATTGCTTTGAGTTGAATGAGTTGAAATATTGCTGGTCGTAGATTGAGGGGATTTTATTTCCGGTCCGACATAGACAGGGATCCTAGAGCGGCTAAATAATTAACCACGAAAATGTCAGTTTTTCAAAAGGATTTTATCGTTTTTTTTTATTTGTTTCTTTTTGTTTTTATTTATGGGGAAGTGATAGAGACAAGACAAATGCCACTCTTGAAAGTGAACAATAATTTCAAGTACAAAAAAACCAACCACTTTGTCAAATTAATAAAAATTAAAAATGAATCCAAAAAATAGAAAAATTATTTATTTTTCATTTTTAAAATAAATTAATTTGTAAATTTATTTAATAATAAATCAATTTGTTTATAAATTTATTGTGAAAATAAATAAATTTATAAATTTATTTAAAAATAAACAAATTACTTTGTTTATTGTTAATTTAATAAATTTATAAATTTATTTAAGAACAAAGAAATCTATTTATTTTATACAGTTTTTTTTAAATAAACAAATTTACAAACTCATTTATTAAAAAATAAATATAAATAAAAGAAGAAAGCAGAAACAAATGAATTTTTTGTCAACCAACATAATTTTAAAAAACAAAAAAACCACACCACCACCAACTTTATATTAAATACTGACATTCTTTTTCAAAAAGCTAATTTCCTTCTTTATTTTTCTTTTAAGTACCGATAAACAAATTCAAATTGAATTCAATTTGAATATATTGCAAGCACTAATATTTTACTCAAGCAAATTAACATTAGCAAATTACTTTATTTCTTTTTTTTGGAGCAAAAACACTTTCAACGAGAGAGAAACAAGCAAAAGTCTTTAAATTTTGTTTGCGTAATTATCCAAAAAGAATGGTTAATTTTGCTTATTACCTAATTGGTGTTCCGACACCAGACAGTGTTGGTATACTCGAGGCTCGATGAATCGAGCTAAACCTAAAAAATTTATTTTTAAGCGGTGTTAGCGATAGTTTATATGTATTTTCATTTATTTTCTTATTAACTTCAATTCAATACTATAATTTTTAAAAAAAATTACTCTCCTAAAATATTTTCTGAATTAATTAATTTTAAAATTTACACAATATCAAAATTTAATTTCATTTAAAAATTTAATAGTTTAAATAAAACCATCTTTCATCGAATATATTACTTCTACGGCTTAAAAAAAGTATTTACGCGTCAAATAACTTTAAAATTTAATTCAATAGCAAAAACATACTTTTAAAATTTCATTTAAATTAATAGTACCTACATTTAAAGTTAATTTTAATTTTGAAATTAAAAATTTTTATAATGATTAACTTAAATTTATTAAATTTATTAATTTAATAATACAAATTTTAAAAATATTTACAATTTTAAATTTGGAGTTATATTTAAAAATGAAAATTACTTATTATTGTCTACTAAATTACAGTTGGCGGAGTGGATGACGACCAGTTAAATAAGAAAAAGAGAAAACTAATAAAAATTCAACTAATTAAAAATTATATTAATTGAATAAAACTAGATATAGAATTGTGAGTAAAGAATTGGTTATTTATATTATTTGTTATTTTTTTCAGCTGCAATCGTTGATATTAATCGCCTCACAAAGGATGCAAGTTTAATTTGTTAAAATTAATTGATTTCAATGCTAAATTGATGATTCTTCAAGAAAAAGGCTGCTCTTCATTCGCATCTACGACAAGAAACTTCTGCTTACGGTAATTTATGTTTTCGTTATTGTTTTTAATTGATTACAGATTAATAATTAATTGTAATTGGAAAAATTAAAAAAAAAAACAAGTAATTTAAATTAGTTTACATTTTATTTTTCAATTTTTTGTTTCCGATTTTTTTAATAATTTATCATTTTAAGTATATTTTCAATTTAAAAATTAATTTTATTGAAAAATCATTGTGAGAAAATAATAAATTTTTTCGGAAGAATTTTATTTTCATAAGAAAAAACTTGAATTTTTGTGGAGAATTTTCCCAAAATTGAAGGAAATAATTGGATTCTTGTGACAATTTTTTTTAAAGAAAATAATTGAATTTTTGTAGAGAATGTTTTCAAAATTGAAGAAAATAATTGAATTCTTGTGCCAATTTTTTTTTATGAAAATAATTAATTGAATTCTTGTGGCTAATTTTATTGTTTATGAAAATAATTGAATTCTTGAAAAAAATTTTATTTTCTAAAAAAATAATTGAATTTTTCAAAAGAATTTAATTTTCGTAAGAATGTAATTGAATTTTCGTAGAGAATTTTCTCAAAATTGAAGAAAATAATTGAATTCTCGTGATAAATTTTTTTTTATGATAATTGAATTCTTGTGTGTACATTTTAGATTTTAAGAAAATATTTGAATTTTTGTAGAGAATTTTCTCAAAATGAAAGAAAATAATTAAATTCTTGTGACAATTTTTTTATGAAAATAATTAATTGAAATCTTGTGTCAAATTTTATTTTTAATGAAAGTAATTGAATTCTTGCGAAAAATTTTCTTTTGTTCATAAAAGTAATTGAATTCTTGACAAGTATATTTCATAAAAATAATTAATTGTAATTGTAATTTAATAATTGATTAAATTATTTTACTTAATTATGAATCGTTAATTAATTAAACAATAGGGAAAATTTATCACTTGGAGTAAATAAATTGACAATATAAACAAAATTTTACAAAATTAGTAAAAAAAATTCATTACTGTTTCTATATTTAAAAAAAAGAAAATAAAAACAATTTGTTCAGTGTAAGTTTGGTTTTCATTATATTTTTGAAATATCGGTTGTTGTTGCTCGACCTTTTTGCGAGAAGAATCGTCTATTTTTATATACTTGCATGTAATTTTGGTTTCAGGTGAAGAAAAATTTATTTACAAAATGATATTTATGTAGTGAAATGGAAAACAAACCTTGAAGTTGATCCGCTCGCAGGACTTACAAGACCTGTCGGAGTTCGTGGCCGAGAACTGGAACCGTTCATTGGAGTTCCTAATTTCTTTCCGGAAATGCTGTTATGTCGACTCGATGTTGGCGTATTGCCAGTTGTTCCTACAGTTCGTCTTGGGATACGACTTGGAGTCGCAGAATCGTCTGGTAACAATTTTATTTCATTAGTATTCAAAATATTCTAATTTCATACATTTTTTATTTTTAATTGCAATTTTTTATTTTTTCATTTCATAAAGAATATTATATAAATATTGTCTATTTTCTTTCTGTCTCTTTTAAACTATTTCCTCATTTTTGTATTTTCCACTTTTATTTTCAATTTGTATTTTTATTTTTGGATTCATTTAGAATTATAAAGTATTTTACAATTTTTTTGTTTTTTTTTCCGTTTGTATTTTTCATTTATTCAGAATTAAAAATTATTTTTATTTACTATACTCATGACTACTTTTTCTTATTTACATATTTGCAGATTTTTTTTTCAATTTTTGAATTTATTTTGAATTTATTTTATTATAAAAACTAATAGAAAATAGAAAGAAATAACAGATAATTAAAAATTCTATTTGTCCATTTTCATTATTTTCTACACTTTTTTAAAAATATTTATTTTTTCATTTTTGTATTTTCCATTTAAAATTTTGATTTTTGTATTTATTTAGAATTATTATAAATCATTTTATTTTTTAAATTTTATTTGAGTAGGTAAACGTGAATATTATTTATTACTTTAGAATAGACATCTTCCTTTTCTTATTTAAATATTTTCAGACTAAACGTTTTTTAAATTTATTTTTAAAGATTTTAGAAAAAAGTTAAGTTACCAATAATTATAATGAAATTGGTCAATAAAAATAGAAAAAAAATTTTGAATTTTATATTCAATACAAAAAATTCAGAAATAAACGAAAATTAATATCTTCTTATACAAAAAATAAAATAATTATGAATGAAACAAAATTTATATCAAAAGTAAAAAATACACGAATTCCGGATGACTGTTCAAAGTTCAAAGTTAGTTGGTTTCCTTTTGTCTTTTTATTTTTTAATTTTATTGATAATTTTTCTTTTTAAATGTTTTTAATTTTAAAATTGATAAAATACTAGTTTAGTGTTTTGAATATTAAATTAAAACAAGCATATTAATTAAATAAAATTGAAATAATTTAAATCTTGCATAGAATTTAATTAAAATTTTTGAAAATAATTAAATTTCTGAGAAGAATTCTATTAAAATTGTATTGAAAAGAATTGAATAACTGCGATAAATTTGATTATTTTTGTAAATAATTGAAATTTTTCGAAAAATTTTATTAAAATTTAAATTAATTAAAAGTAATTGAATTTTTGATAAGAATTTTATTTAAATTTTTGAAAACAATTCAATTATTTCCAAGAAATTTATTAAAAATTCATATTGAAAATAATTAAATTTTTCCGAAAAAATTTCAATAAATTTTTATCAAATAGTTTCATTTTTGCAAAGAATGTTATTAAAATTTGAAAAAATAATTCATTTTAATTGAATTTTAATTTTAATTAAATTATTACGAAGAATTTTATGTTTAATTTAATTTTTCAAAATAACTGAATTTTTTAGTAGAAGTTTATTGAAACTTTTGAAACTATTAAATAACAGTTAATAAGTGAATTTTTCCAAAAATTTTGAATTTGAAATTAATAAAAAATTAAAGCTGATATTTGAAAATAAATTTTGCAATTTGCATACAGTCGAACCTGTCGGAATGCAATTCTATTTTAAAAATTTGATTGTATTCAAAAATGTCTAACAAGAATTATTATTTTCACTTAGTTCCAGAATATTGTAAAAATATTATAAAATTGAATTATAAAACAATTTTTAAATGATTGTTTATTGTAGTAAAATTTAAAAATTCGAGTTGCATTTCGAAAGGTTTCACTGTAATTATAAAGTGACCAGTGTTTCATGCGCGTAACATTGGCATGTTTATATTATCAATAATAAATAATTTCTATATAAAAAATAGAAGTAGGTAAAAAAGTAAAATATAAAAATATTTCTGTATAAAATTTAAAAAATTGAGTAATTACCAGTGCTGTCTAGTGATTGTGAGGAGCCGTATCGACTGCCCTGTCTGGAAGCAGGTCTACTGCCAGGTCGACTTGCAGGTCTCGATGCTGGTCTTGAAGCCGGTCGACTGGACGGACGACTTCCGCCTTTAAAAAGAAGAAAAATAAAATTATTGAATTAATTTCTAAAGGAATTTTAATCGGCAAAAAAGCAGTGATTATTTAGTAAGCTTGTTAGTTACCTGGAGTTAGTGTACTTCTGTACGACGTACTTGTCTTTCTCACAGAGGTCTTGAATGATGTTTCATTGTCACTAAGACTATCCGGCGTTCCTGCACTGAGAGATGTTCGCGAAGCTCTTGTCGTTCCCATCGGCACGCTTCGTGCACTTCTTTCTCGCACCTATTTCAATTAGAAAGAAGAAAATTAAATAAATTTTCATACATTCAAATTACAATCGAAATTTTCATCTATCTAAAAGAATTTTCTAAATAAAAAATTTATTTAAAAAAAATATAATTTAATTCTTTAATCCAAATTCTTTTACTCCAAAGGTTCAGTTTTTGATAAAATTTGTTTTTTATAAAAGTTTAGATTTTTTCTAAAGAAGTTGATTTTTTCTTAAAAGTTATTTTTTCTTGAAAGTTATTTATTTTAAAATATAAATTAATTTAAATACAGTGAATAGATAACATTTTTTACAAGAAAAAAATCTTTTTTCGAAATCTTTTAGATATTCAGAAATGATTAGAAAGTTATTTTGTAAATTTGACAAATTTTTTGCGTGATTTGAATATGAAAGTAGAGAAAAATATGATACATACCAACAGCTCCTAGTAATTGATATACTTTTTCTACTTATAAATAATGAATTAATTCAACTTTACTTATGGTAATTTTACACTTTCAATTCTTTTACTTTTTTTCAACTAAAATTCAAAATTATTCTAAAAAATACAAAATTTTCTACTCAAATATTTGTTATTTTTTAATAAAACACTAAAAACTAATCACAACTAATTTATTGAATAAACAAAACTAATTTAGAAAAAAATAAAATTATTTTTTTCAAACGAATCTAAATTTTACAGTTTTACAAAAAAAAAAATTGTACAATAAAAATTTTAAATGCAATTGAATAAATATAATAGGTGCTAATTTAATTATTAAATAATAATAAAAATAAATAAGTATAAATCAATAAAAGGAAATAATAAAATATAATAAAAGGATACAAAAATAAATAATAAAATATACAATAAAAAAATCCCAAACATTATTCAATTAAATATAATATTAAAAAACAAAAAAGTAAATATAAAATAAAAAAAGTATTTGAAAGGAAAAATAAAACAAAACGATGTATAAAAATAATAAAGATAATAAATTTATAAAAGTACTTTGGGATTTAAATACGAAAATTAAATTTGGAATTAACAAACAAGAACTAGTGGGCTCGTTTACCGATAAAATTGAAAAAGAGAAATGGAAAAAATGAATAGAAATAATAATAATAATAATAAACAATTCGTTGAAAAAAATATCTACTAATTATATAGGAATAATTATTTATTTTCTTTACCATAATTAAAATTGATTTTGATCTATAGAAGCAGCATGCAAACTTACCAAAAGAAGTTGCGAGAGATAAAGTAGCTTATGATGATTCGAAGTATCTCCGATCAACGCCACTATGTACGCATTAACAATGACATTGTTACGCAAAAAAACAGTACAAATCCACATACTACACAACTAGGAGAATAATTTTACTTTCCCACAGGAATGAATTTATTCAATTTTATTTTCTCAAATCACTCGTACGGGAAACAAAGAGAAATAAATCACCAATTTCAAAAAATCAAAACCATATTTCCATTTCCCAGTGTAGGAACTGACATTTTTTTTGTAGAATTTATGAAAAAGAAGACAATTCTCTTTCAGGTATAAAAAGTTCAGGAAAACAAACTTTCTATTCCTTTAGTGTCTCAATTTTTTTTGTTAATATTTTCAAATAATTCATTTCAAATTGATTTTTTATGTTCGTTACCAAATAGAAAGAAAAAAAGAAGAAAAAACGCTTTAGCTTTTTTTTTGCAAAATATTGCAAAAAATTCGAATTACTTTTCAATTTTTTTTGTGCATAAAATTGCATTATATTTACATCAGTGTAAATAAAGTTTTCTCTCTGACAAACTAAAAAAGAAATTTGCTTCTTTCTCAAACGCCAAAAAAATGTCAATTCTTGGAAATTTTTTTTTTCATTTTCCATAGGTACAAAACAGTTTACGAAAAATACTCATGCTAGTAATTCTTCAAAATCGAGACGACACTTTTTCAAACGGGGGGTCGAGGGGGGAGAGAAGAATATGTAGTGACTTCGAGGCTTTTTCTTTGAATTTCAAAAATGAAATTAAAAAAGAGAAAATATTCCAGAGAATTTAAAGTTCAACGAAACGATGATAAAGGAAAATTGTAAAAATCAGATGAGATGTTGATTAAAAAAAGGAACAAGAAAAAAGTCACTACGTCCATCAATCTACTTGGAATTCAATGAGGAATAAGGCTACAATCTAAAATCATGCCACAAGCCAGAGGAGAGGAAAAAATAAATAAATAAATAAATAAAGGAATGCAAATAGAAGGAAGAAAGAGAAGAAATAAAAAAGAGAAAGAACAAAAACGTTGTACCGTTTATATGCTAAATTAATTAATTAATTAATAAAAAAGTAAAAATAGGATAAAAAGGAGAAAATAAAATAAACCAAGAGAGAAATTGGAACAAAACGAGAAAAAAGAAAAATAAAAGAAACAGAAACAAAAAAAGAATTAAAAATAGGAGAAGAAATGGGGAAATGAAGGAAAAAATAAAGAAAATAAAGAAAGAAGGAAGAAAACGAGAAAAAAGAGAAATAAATGAAATAGAAACATAAAAGAAGTAAAAATAGGAGAAAAAATATGGAAAATAAAGAAAAGAAAAAAACAAGAAAAAAAGAAATAAAATTAGGAGAACAAATAGGAAAATGAAAGAAAAATGAAAGAAAATAAAGGAAAAAGAAAAAAATAGGAGAAAAAAGGAAAAAAAGAGGAAAACGGAAAAAAAAGAATTTACAGAAAGAGAAACAAGTAAGAAATACAAATTCGAGAAAAAATGGAAAAAAGAAAGAAAACGAGAAAAAAATAACTGACAATAAATGAAACAAAAAAGATATAAAAATAGGAGAAATAATAGGAAAATAAAAGAAAAAAGGAAGGAAAAGAGAAATAAAAGATTCGTAAACAAAGAAAAAGTAGAAATATGAAAAAAATGTCAAAATGAAAGAAAAAATGAAGAAAAAAGGAAGGAAACGAGAAAAAATAGAAATAAAAAAAAACAAAAACAAAAAAGAAGAAAAAATAGGAGAAAAAATGAAAAAAATATGTAGAAAATGAAGAAAAAAGAAAGAAAACGAGAAAAAATAGGAGAAAAAATGAGAAAGTGAAAGCAAAAAAGAAAGATGATAAAGAAAAAAGAAAAAATAAAAATAATTTAGAAAGGCAAATAAAAAAGAAATAAAAATATTTTAAAAAATAAAGAAAAAAGACAGATAAATAAGAAATAAAAATAGTTGAAAAAAATGGAAAAATAAAAGTTTTTTTCCATTTCACACATTTTCTCTCTATTTTTTATTTTTGAAAAAAAAATAACGAGAAAGGAAGAAAACGAGAAAAAAAGAGAAATTAAAGAAAGAGAAACAAAGAAGAAATAAAAATAGGAGAAAAAATGAGAAAGTGAAATAAAAAAACAATGATAATAATGGAAAAAAAGAAAAAATAATACAAAATTAAAAAAATTAAAAACAGGATAAATAAATAGAAAATCAAAAAATGGAAAGAAAAAAAATGTAAATAGGAAAAAGAAGGAAAATGAAAGAAAAGATAAAGCAAAGAAAGAAAATAAAGGAAAAAGGAAAGAAAGAAGATGCAAAATAAAGAAAAGAAGACAAAAATAAAGAATCAAGGGAAAAATACAAATTTTTATTTTAAATAAAGTGAAAAAAAATAAACGAAAGAAAAAATAAACAAAAAGCGACAATAGAAAAAAAATAAAACGAGCAACTAAAGAACTGTAAAAAAAAGAAAATGAAAAGGTAGGACAGAAAAACAAAGATAAATGAAACAATTTTTGAAAAATAGAGAAAAGAAATAAATAATAAAGGAGAAAAATAGGTAAAAAAGAATAAGAGGAAATAACTGAAGAAGAAAAAGTAAATATAGACGACAAGACAAAATGAAAAAAGTAAAGAAAAAAAAGAAAAAAGGGATAAAAGTGGAGAAGAAATGAAAAATAAAGAAAACAAGGAACAAAATAAACAAAAATAAAAAAAGGAAGAACTGAAGGAAAACGAATGGAGGAAAGAAAAAAACGAGACAGGAAGAAAAAGAAATAAGAGAAAAAAAAGAAAGAAGAAAAGGAATGAAAGAAAATTACAACTTCCTAGAGGGAAAAATTGATACAATGCAATAAAAAACCACTCCATTCCAATAAAAAGGAAAATATACGCATTGCCACTTAAAAAAAAACAGCAAACTGAAGAGAAAAAAAAATGAAAAACTCAACAAGCCATTGTTTTTTTTTCTTCAACAAATGGCACAGCAGAAACTAGAAAGAATTTTGTTATTTACCCAGTGGTAAGAGGGGGCGTGCATGTGGAGAGGATACGAGCACGGAAGATCCTCCTTTTGTCTCAAACTCTCAAATATCGGCATCAGCTGGTTCATAAACTCCTCCGCTACACCATAAACCAAATCAATTTAGCCCCGATGGCCAAAAAAAAAACCAACAACACAAAAAAAAATGGGAGAAAAAAAACTCATTTTCTTCATCATCATCTTCATCATCATCATCAATAATTCGATTCAGAAAAACCAAAAAACAAAAATTTATAACATTTTCTCCGTAGGCTCAAAAAAAAGAATGAAAATCTCAAATTATAATCGAAGGAAAGAGGGAGAAATAAAAATTTTTTCTTTCTTTCTCTTGCCACATTCCTGAAAAAATCACATCTCCTGAGGTGCTAATCGAACGTGTCACACTTCTTGGGGTTTTACAAAGACGGGAAGAGATCGCATGCATTGTAATCTCGCCAAAAAAATACAAAAAAAGAATTATTATACTTAACCAGCCCAAAATTTGCAGACTTTTACATTTAAAAAAAACTGCAAAGAACAATTTATACTTAAGAAGAAGTAGAAGAAGCAATATAATAATAAAACGAAAGTAAACAATCTTGTCAACTTCGACAGTCCTTTTTTACAGACATGCTCATGCGAAGATTCTTTCGATTTTTCAATTTCTTTACTTACCGAAATTTTGTTGAAGATTTTTGTTTTCTTGGGTTTTGTGCGGTGCAGCATTTTTTTGTTTTCAAGCTCATGAGAAGAATGACAGAAGAAAATTGTTTATGGAAATTTATTTATTTATTAACAATACCGAATTTATTTTTCAATCGCAACAGTATTTATTTTTTGTTTCTTATTCATTAATTTTTTCCATTTACTTTGTTTTTTAATTCAATAATTCTTTTATTTTCTTTCGTTTCTTTATTCGTTATTTTTTTTTTGTATTTACTTCGTTTTTTAATGACTAACTTTATTTATTTACTTGGTCTTTTTATTCATTACTTTTTTTTATATTTTCTTCGTTTTTTAATTCATTAATTTTATTTATTTACTTCCCTTTTTTATTCATTAATTTTATTTACTTATTTTCTTTGTTTTAACTAACAGGTGGAAAAATTGTCTATAAAATTTCACTAATAAATGTTTTTAAAATAAAAGGAAATTTTGTAAATTATAATTAAACATTAATATTAATTAAAAAATAATAAATGAGAAAAATAATAATAAAATAAATTATAATAAATAAATATTACTGATAAAAAAAAATCGTCAATATTGAAAATCCGGGAAAAGAAAAATGAAAATTGAAAAAGAGAAAAAAAACAAATTCAAATCTGTAGAAAAAATAAATTGTTGGTGAAATTTGAAATATGATTAAAAAAAAATTAAAATTAAAAATTAATGAACAATTTTCTCTTTTTGTCCGCTTCTTTTCGGGAAAGAATTTAGTATAAAAAAAGTGGTCTTCCAAAATCCATTCATTAAACTCTTTTTTTCTGTCAATCTTAAAGTTGTTTTCTTATAAAACTTGTCAAAAATGAAAAAATTAGAAACACAATTTTTGGATAAAAAGCGTCACGTTTTTATTTTTAGTTGCAGCCCTCGTTTCGAAGATTTAAAATAAATAAAATGATTAAATCGAAAATTTTATTTCTTATAAAATTTAGAACAAAATAAATTATTTTTTTTATTAAAATAATTTATTTATTGTTGTAAATTTTTGTTTAACCGAATTTTGATAATTTTCGTTTCACCAAATTTTCAAATACAGAAGAATTTTCCTTATAACTACAAAACTTTATTATAAAATTTAAAACAAAATAAATTATTTTATTTTATTAAAATAATTTATTTATTATTGTAAATTTTTGATAATTTTCGTTTTGCCAAATTTTCAAATATAGAAGAATTTTCCTTACAACTAATTTCCATTTGTAGAATTTTCATCTCGTCGAATGGAATATTTTAGTAAATAATATTCGACCGAATAAAAATTCTAGTTCATAAAAAATTTGCTTTAATGTAAATTCATAAAAGTATTATACAGAAATAAATAAATCCAATTAAATAAGAAATCTGCTCAATGAAAACTCGATTAAACTAATAATTTCTATTCGTAAAAATTCGTTTTGTCAAAAATTCCATTAAACAGAGATTCAGTTAGTTAAAATTTCTATTAAACAGAAAATTGGTTCGTTTTAAATTTCTATTAAGTAGAAATTCGATTTGTTAAAACTTCTTCGGATTGTTAAAATTGTTTAATAAATAATTGTTACTCTTTTTACTTGCGAAAGAATTTAATTTATAAAAATTGTTACTCAATGAAAATTCGAAAAAATAAAAATTTTATTACAAGAAAATTACGTTAAATGAAAATTCCATTAAATTGTAAATTCGGCAAAATAAAAATTGTAATTTAGAAAAAAATATTCAAACTAGAAAAATTGACATAAATATGGAAGAATTTATTTACCCAATTTTCTAGTTTGAATAATTAAGACCGAGTTTATATTATTCGACTGCATAAAAAAATAAAAAAATAATTTATAAGAAAAAAATGTAAAATTTGGTAAAAAATTATTCAAATTTGAAAATTTGGTAAATTTTTATATTTACTAAAATTTTCCGGTCTGAATAATTTAATTTTTTTACTCAAATTTTCTGTTTTGAATAATTTAATTTTTTCTGTTTTGAATAATTTTTCACATGGAAAAATAATTTTTTTCAGCCAAATGAAAATTTGGTGAAATCAATTTTTTTTTTCAAATGGAAATTAGAAAAATTTTGGCCAAAAAAATATTTTTACAGACCTTTAAAAAAAAGAAATAAAAAAATCCAAAAAAATTGATCTCAAATCATTTTTTTCAAATCAAAATTAGTCAAATTTCTTCAAAAACAAAAAAAAATATTTTGTAATAAAAAAAAAACAAAAAAACTTGATAAAATCGAAATTTTGTCAAATTTCGTCAAAAAGAAAAAAATGTTTTGTCACCTTTAAAAAAAAAAGAAAAAAAGAAATAGAAGAAACTTGATTCAATCATTTTTTCAAATCGAAATTAGTCAAAAGGAAAAAAATATTTCGTTATCTCTGAAAAAGGAAATAAAAAAATAAATTCCAAAAAATCGAAGAACACAAAAATTTCGAAAATCGAGAGCACAAAAGTAGCTTTTTTTCCATCGCAACAACTTTTTATCCAAAAATATTATTGCATTCCCAAGAGAAAAAAAATTTGTAAACAGAAGAAGAAGAAGAAGAAGGTGAAGAAAAAATGTGATGAAGTAGAAAGAAGAAATGAATGAAGATGAATCCCCGAACGTGTACTTTGTGGGTGACGATGTTACCTTGGTGATTGGTCCAGCAGAGGACATTTGCGTGCGCTGCAGAGTTGAAGTGGGACTTGGTTTGGATCTGAACGCTGTCATAGACTGGCTAACACCATCCGCCAATATGAAGTTTTCCCTCAGCTCAATATTTGTTCTTCCCTTGGCTACAGTGTGTTGCGTGCACGCAGTTAGTTAGGAAGGCGTTAAAAGGATGCCAAGGATGATTATTAGGAGTGTGCCAAAAGTTTTTTTTTTATACAGAGACAGAGAAAGACGAACAAATGAAAAACAGAAAATAATATTTTTTTTGTTTTATAGAGCACAATTTAAAAAGAAGGCAGATGAAAAAAAAATCATAAAGCGAAACCAAAAAAAAAAAGAATAAAAAAAGAACAATTTTTACAATCACAAAGACAAGAAGAGGATAATACGAAAAAAATTTAATAAGGAAAGAACGAGAAAAAGAAAATAGAGAATTGTGTATTGGAGTGGATATGTGTGTAATGTGAATTGTGAAGGAAAAATAAAAAAGAAAACAAATTTAAAAAATGTAAATCATAAAAATACAAACTATACAATAATAAAAAAGAAATTTTTCCAGTTTCCAAATTTGCAAATTTTTATTTTTATTCGCAAATACCCGAAACTGGAAATTTACAAACTATATAACTATTTTCCAACACGAAATCATATTGCAAAGAAAGAAATTTTTTAAAAAGTTTTACAAAATTGTTGTTTAAACATACGAAGAATTCTGCAAAAATTGAAATAAAAATTTTTGCTTTCAGTAAATTAAAAACACCGCAATAGTATTTTAAATACATTCAGTTAGAAAATTTTCTATTTCAATTAAAATAAATTCCCAGAAATATATTTAAAGACAAAATCGTATGCAAAATGATAATTCAATCGAAAATAATCGACAAAATAAAATTATAAATAAATTAAATCAATAAAAAAATACAAGACAAAAAACTACACATATAAATTAAAAATTATTTTGAAACACAAAATTACGTGAATCGAAAATATTGAAAATTTTTCTAATTTCGATGTCTCCCGAAGATAAAAGTCTTAATTTTATTGTCGGAATAATAAAATTGGATCTCAGTTCAATTAATTTAATTTCAATTGTTATTTTAATAACTAATAATTGGATCTTCCTACAAAATTTCCCGTGCAATATAATTTAATCTCGAAATAATTCAATTCATAAATCTAAATTAGGTAATAAGAAAAATATTAATTCGTTCGTAATATACTTTTATACTTTTTAATGAAAGTCATTTATTAATTAAAGTTTAATTATTCTTTTAATAAAATAAAAATTATAAATAAAATCATAAATAAATATAATAAGTTCGTAATATTATTATTTCATATTTTTCAATAACTGATCAGTGATTAGTTATTATTTATAAAATATAAATAGAAAAGAAAATAAAGAAATAAATAAAATTGTAAATAGAAATAGAAAATAATAGAAAATTTTTATTATTTTCTGTTTAATATTTTTTGGATTTTATTTTTATTTATTTTTCTATTTTTATTTTATAAATAATAATAAATCATTAATTAATATTTTATTGATATTGTTTTATTATTTTTATTTATGATTTTATTATTTTGATTATTTATTTTTCTATTTATTTTTTAGTTTATTATAATAAAATAAAAAATAAAATAGGTGCTTGTCCCGTTTATAAATAAATAAATATTAATTAATCTTTAAAAATATAAAATAATATCACGAACGAATTAATATTTTTTTTATCCGAATTTAAATTCAATTCGAGACAGAATTATATTACAAGGAAAATTTCATAGGTTTTTATATTAAACTGACAATTAAAAGATGATCATTATGGAACTGAGCTCCAAATAGAATTTTATTATTCTGACAATATTGTATTTTATCGACCTGAGGCGTCGAAAATAAATAAAAAAAAAACAAAAATAGTGCAAAATAGAGTTTTTATTCTTAAAAAAAATGTTTCGTGTTTCAAAGGAAGACCAAAACTTAGTTCGGGTTAGAAAATAACTGAAAAAAATTTTCTACACTCCAAAACCATGCTAAATCAAAAATTGAAAATATAATTCTATATTAAATAAAACCATACCATTTTTGTCGAACTAAAAATTCAGGAGATACTTAAAGATTATCTAAAAAGACTTATTTCGGTATCAAAAATCAAAGGTCTACAAGTAGAAAAATTAAAAAAATACTACTCCGTATTCCGTATGTATTTTTTTAAACAGATAATAAAAATTATTAACAAAAAAAACGCTTTCACCATAAAAATATATGAAATTAAACGCGAAAAAAAGTTAATCACAGTTATTATATACAATGTTAGTCAATATAAATCACAAAACTAAAAAAAATTCCTATTTTTGGTTAAAAATAAAACTAAAACCTAAATTAAAAGATTTAAAAGAAAATATACAATTTTTTTTGTTTCTTTGAAAAAAAGTGCGGAAACATGCAATGGATCGGGAGAATTTTCGAAGCTGATATCTGATTGTGATTGTGCAAATTTAAAAGCATGATATTGAATGAATAAACTTTTTCTTTTTATTTTGATAAATTTGATTCTTAAATTTCTTTCAATTCAATGATTTCGATTATTTGACACTGAGAAAAAATTGATTTAATTTTAATAAATGATTACTGACAAGTAATCGCAAAAATATTAGCAAATAAATATTTATTTGGATCAAATCATTTTTATTTAAGTCAATCAAATGGTATTTGCCTCAAGTTATTGGTTCAAATAAAATTTATTTGATTTAAATAAAAATTATTTGATCCAAATACGATTTTTTTCATATTTAAATCAAAATTATTTGATCCAAACACGATTTATTTGATTTAATGGAAAATTATTCGATCCAAATAAATATTTATTTGATAGAATTTTTACGATTACTTCTCAGTTTTCCTTTATTTTAATTAAATAATTTTTTCCAGTGTAATTTATCAACGAAAATTTTACATCACTTAGAAAAATCAATTTTAAACTTACTAAAAATATTCGATTATCACAATTGTTTCCTTAAAATACAAAAATTTTTAAAATTCTAAGAGAGAAATATTGAAAGAACGATCGTTTGAAAAATAAACGCAAAAGAACAATTAAAATTCACTAGCAAATTTATCTCTCTCTCGAGTATGAGTTGCTCTTCTTAAAAGATCAAATTTATTTTTAGATTATACGAAGTAATCAGAGCAAAGTCAAAGAATCGGAACAAAAATCTATTAATAAACATTGAGCGGAAATATAAATTATTTCACATATATAATATTTCATTTCTGTAAATTCAATTCCAAATATTTTGCAAGTGCAAACAGCTTGTGATATTGACTCTACACAATCAATCTCAGTGCTTTTATATTTGATTAATATTTTGAAAAAATATGTACATGAAGAAAAATTTAAAAATAATTGCAAAATAAAAATTAAAAAATAAATGCAAAAATAAAAATTGTTTTTTTAAAGAATGTACAAAAAAAATTGAGACAAATTAGTCTCACCAAGCGGACACCAGCCTTCGTGTTGCTCCGGTTTATTAGGATCTGGTATTGGCATTAGAAAAACTGAATAGACAAATAATGGACGACATTATGTACAAAAATGAAAACAAAAAACGAAATAAAAAGAAAATAGCATTCAATTATAAAATAGAAAGAAAATAAAATAAAAACATTTTTTTTCAGAGAGGAATAAATTTTTTGATTGGAAATATTTTGAAGGTGTGGCAATTTTTTGGGAAGGAGAGGAAAAAGCAATAAATTCGATGTTAGTACAGGATCGTTCAATAATATCGTAAACTATCTACTAATACATTAGAAAAACACTTTTCCAAAAGAAGATATTTTTATGATTGTTTTGAATTAACTTCTGTTCTGAATTATTAGGTTTTTATATATTTTTCCAATTAAATACAATAATTAGTTTTTTCTAATAAATGCAATAGTTGAAAATTTTAATTAAATTCTACAAAAACAGAAAATTTACGAAAATAAACAAAAATTAAACAACAAATAATAAAAAGGTACAAAAATAAATATGTAAATAGAGAAATAAATAAATAAATAAATAAAAAAATATAATACAATATTTTACACAAAATAATTGCATTTTTTTAATTATCTATGATCCACAAGTTATGAACGTTCAAGTGAAGGAAATTTTTTTGTCACTATAAATATTTATAAAAATTACTGACTTATGAAAAATAAAAACAAAATTGAACTTTTAGAAACTTTAGGTATCATTTTTTTTAATACGTGACGCAATATTATTACAATAAAATTTTAGTTTGAAGAAGAAATAAATAAATTTCATTCAGTTGAACATTCAGAACTTTAGGGACATAATTATCTATAATATTAAATATATAATAACTATTACATTTTTATAAATGCTACAATTAACTTTTTTTAATTAAATGCTATAATCAAATTGTCTAATTAAATCTGACTACAATTTAATTAACTACAATATTAATGAAAAATCGTGATAATTTCACTAACTAAATTTAATCGAATTTTATATAAAAAATTACATTAATAATTCAAGATTTTCAATTTAAAGAAAATTTTTGAAAATTGAAATTGAAGTTAAATTCAATTTTTTTAAATTCAAGTACACTTGAATAAATCCAATTTAGTTTAAATAAATGTATTTTTCTTCTTTTGGAAAAGTGACAATTATTAGTAATCGAGAGATAGAGATATAAATGACAAATTTGATAAAAAAATTATACCAAACCAGTGTCTAAAAAAAGTAGCTACGAGCTAAGCAAAGCAAAATAGTAGCAGACTCACACTTTCAAAAACCAAAAAAAAAAAAAAAAATTCACATCTTTACACACTCTAGTCATTAATGATGGGCTTTTTTTATTTTCATTTGTTAATACATTATTTTTGTTACCTCAGGAGTTGAGATCATACACACACAAACCCACTGACGTGTTATTTTATTATTTTAGAGAGTTCCGCTCGAAAAAAAAAACATCTTTTTTTAATGCAGAGATATTAAAATATTCTATTGTTCTCTATTATCATGATATTTAATATACTTTTTGTGTAGATTCTAAACTAAAATGATGGTGAATTAGCGTATTACTTCTATTTTTAACGTAAACAAAATATTTGATCAGCATAAATGAATGGCCGATGAAAGTGAAAAAAAAGTGTAGAAAATAATTACCACCAAAAAAAAATAATTAAACAAAAAATAAAATTACACGTCTATTTGTATTTTTGAATTAAAAAAAAAATTTTATACATAAATTATATTTTCTATAAATTAGAAAAAATTTTTCATAATAAAAATTACGCCTCTTGGGAAAAGGGGGAAATATTCTGAAATGTCCGCGTTTTTTCACTTATTAATAATTAAATAATTAATTTTAACAAAAATAATAAACAAAATTTTAATATTCTATTCGATAGTTTAATTCTTTTCTGGATAATTTTAATTATTTGAAAATTACTATTTTATCCAAAATATAGCATGGTTCTTGGTTTATCTCGCAATTACTGAATTAAAAATTTTCAATAATTAAAAACTAGATTAATTTCTAATTAACCACTAGCGGAGATGAATAGAATTTCTCAGAATATTTCTATTCTTTTAAACAATAAAAATACGTAGCTAATTTTTTACATTGTAAATATTTTTTAAATTTTATTCGTCTCTGCTAGTCGATTTTGAAATTTAATTTAAAACTAATTTAATTAATAGATTTTATCTGCAATTGAAGGCCTCGATTAATTAACTAATCAATAATCAACTAAATTATTTATAAATATTTAAATAATTAACTAAATTATTTATAATTAGACAAGTAATTAATTAAATAATTAACTAATCAATTGATTAACGAAAATTATTCATTTGCATTAATTTGAAGTTTGCAGTTCAGTTTTAATTGTAATTTTTATCCAACAATTATAATTAAATTAGTTTCAATTAAATTGAAATTAAATTAAAAGATCCTGGCGAGGGGAAATTTCCCCAATATGGATCCTGATGCAAAATAGAATCGAGTAAAATTCTTGTACAAGAAATGAGAAACTTACCTCGGCAAGGATCATTTTTCAGGAGGAATTCATCTAAAGCGACCCATCCGCCTCCAACGCGAACCATAACTGTCGATCGTAGAATTCTCACCAAACGAAGTTTTTGACTGTCACCAAACTATGAACGCGATAAAAAATATTTAATTCCGTTTTAATACTAATTCTTTAAAATTAATCATTTTTAATTCATTTTTTTTTTAATTTTAATTTGTTTACTATTAATAGAACTTTTGTTTCACTCACTCTGTATTTTCCTTCTCCGACTTGGAAAACGCGGAACTTCTGTCGACACGTGCACAACATGACCAAACGTTTAACTTCATCGTGAATTTTGTCCGTGTCATTGTAGGTACGTCTTTCCTCCCAATCTGGTCTCAATGCTGCTATGAATTCCTTCCAATCGATTAAGCCTTCACCATGACGATCGAATAAATCAGCAACAGCTCCCATTTCCAATCGTGACGTATCGAATTCTATAGAAAATTTTCGAAAAGTGATTTATTATTCAAAATACAATTTTTTTTTGGCGAAAATTCCATAAAAAAAACTTTAATTTTATGAAAAAGAATATACTAACTGGTGTTCATAATTCCCTGAATGAAATCATCACGTGGAATAAGGCCGTCATTGTTTTTATCCATTTTCCGGAAAAGATCCGTTAAACGTGACTTCTTGTGATTCATGAACTTCAGGAACTGTTGTTTTGTTAATTTTTTTGGAACAGAGACAAAAATTGTGAATTTATATCAGTTAGGTGAAAATAATAAACTTATGATATAATTACGATTTCAATACTCATATTATAGTGAACATTAATTTCTACTACAATTTCTATTATAAAAAATTAAGCCTGTGCCCGAAAATGTAATTTCGTTTCGGTTCCGTATCTGAGACACGAAAAGATACAAAATTATTTTTTTATTTCGATTCCTTTTTCGGAAATTTTTTTAGTGTAATTTCTATTTACAAACAAAAATTTTTACTATAATTTCCATTACAAAAAACTAATTAAAAAAATTAACAAACAAAAAATTTCTTTTTCTATTGTATTTCTTTTTAGGTATAATTTGGTAAATAGAAAAATTGGATATTTTTTTGGATGATAAACAAATAAAAAAAAGGACTTACTCTCTTTCTCCAATCTTCCCAGCTGAAGTTAGCGACGCGCTCCAATTCATCAATGTAGTTCAATTTGTCCTGAAGACGACGTTGACGCTCCCATGCGAGGAACCAAACATTTCGCCATCTGTCCCAAAGAAGCTTGACTCTCGGATTTCTGAATTCAGGCTCGGCTCCCTTGCTATTAATCCAATGAAAACTAAATTTTACCATTTTTTTCACATTCAAAGAATTGACTAAATCAAAAAATTTACAAATCTTCAAAAAACAACCAAGAAAAAAAACAATTTTTATTTTTTAAATAATTAAGTAAATAATTTTTTAAAACAGAATTTCAAAAACATAGTTCACAAAAGAAATTATAGTCAATAAATAATTTAGAAAAAAATTTATGAATTTATTTTATTATTATTAATATTATTATTTATTTCATATTTTCATTATTAATAATATGAAGAATTTAAAGAGTTGCCACAAAAATTTAATTTTGTTTTTTCCCGATTCTTTTCCCTGATTTCCAGACAAAATTTTCACTTTTTCCTTGACCTTAAAGAATATTCTATTCACTCTAAAAATTATTAGATACTCAAAAAGATGTTCTATTACATTTATTTACGAATTTCTTTTAATTGTAAAATTATTCGAAAACATTAATAACTTTATTTTTTAATAAATATTTAATCATTTTTATTCTTAGATAGGAATTAAGATTTTCGAAAATTTTAAATTTTAAAAACTGTTTTGAAATTTAACAACTTATAAGATTATTTTTTTTATTATAAAATATGAAGATGACAGAGTGATAAAATTATTATTTTATATTATAAGAATATTGTTAATATAACTCTTACAAAATTATTTTTATCGTTTCAATTCAATTACTATTTTATAGAATTTTCAACTAAAATTCTTCTTTAAATCAATTATTTTTATTAATTTTTGAAAAAGTTCTTTGAGAATTTTCCAATCCATTTGTTTATAATTCAATTTTACGATATTTTATTGATTATTCGGAAATTCTTCAATCAAATATCTATTAGAAAATAAAAACTTCAAATAACTTTAAAAAAATCCGCAATTAAACTTTTTCAAAAAAATTAATTCCACAGAATTGTTAATTAAAAATATGAAGAATTCAGATTTTCAATGATTTGAATTTGAAATCTTTTCAACATGCAATTATTTCTAAAAATTCTCGCTATAATGCTTTTAATATTTAATTATTATTATTATTATTATTATTATTAAATACAGAAATAAATTAATAATTGAATGTTTCTTAAAATTGAATTCTCATAAAGAATTTCATCAACGAACTTGAAAATATATGTAATTGAATTATTAACTAATTTTAATAAAAGTTTTAAGAATAATTACACAATTATTACACAATAATTGAATTCCTGGGAGATTTGTATTATTTGTGAAAATAATTAAATGTTTGCGTAGAATTTTAATAAATTTTTTTTTTAAATAATTGAATTCATTTGAAAATTTTATTTTAAAGTAGTAGATATTAAAAATCATTGAATTGAGGAAAATTTTTGAAAATAATTGAAATTTTGCCAAGAACTTTATTAAAATTTTTGAAAATAATTGTATTTCGGAGAAGAATTTAATTATATTTATAAAGGTAATTGAAATTTTGATAAAAATATTTATAAAATTTTTTAACACAATTGAATTTCTGCGAAGAATTTTATTACTTTTCAAAATAATTGAATTCCTAAAAAGAATTTTATTATTCATGAAAATAATTGAATCCTTGTAAAGAATTTTATTTTTTATGAAAATAATTGTATTAATGCTTAGAAATTTATAAAACATTTTTAAATAATAGAATTCCTGTGAAATTTTTATTACTTTTGAAAATAATTAAATATTCATGTAGAATTTAATCAAAAATTTTTTTAAATAATTGAATTCTTATGGAAATTTTTTTTTAAAATAGTCGATATTAAAAATCATTAAACTGAGAAAACTTGTTGAGAAAAATTAAAATTTTGCGTAGAATTTTATTAAAATTTTTAAAAATAATTGAATTTTGAGAGGAGAATTTTATTATTTATATAAAAATAATTGAAATTTTTACGAGAATTAAAAAAAAAAATTTTTAAATAATTGAATTTTTGCAATTATTTGTAAATTCTCAAAAATTTAAATCTGTGGCAACCTTGATTTAATTAAAAAAAATAATTATTTAAAACTCTTTCTAAAGAGCGAAATTTGCTAGAAATAAAAAAACTAAATTAAAAGTAATGAAAATGTTGACTCTTGGATTTCTAATCTATAGATTGAATGAAACTTTGATGTCGAATTAAAAGAGATAAATAATAATAAACGAACCTTCCTTTCGGTGGGAATCGTGGACCAATATGAGGCAACGATGGATCTGGTGTTCTCTCGCGACCTGGGCTGGCTCGGCTAAACAAGAACATGCGTCACATCACTCAAAAACATACTCTACGCAATTCTGCACTTAAAAGAGCTCTCATTATCTTGCAGTGTTTTTAACAAGTGTTCAAGTTGGCCCCTATTTAATTCTAATTTCACTATTCATTTTTATTAAGTCTCCTTATTTCATTACCTATATATAAATAAATATAAACTTTTAATAATTTATTTCCAAATGTTCGAGCAATAATAATAATAATAAATAAATAAAATAAAAGATTCAATTTTGAGTTAACATTAATTTGAGAAAGTGAAAATTAATATATAAATTCCGCTCTAAATTAAAAATTAAAATAAAATATAAAAAATATACGTAAATATATAAAAACACAGCAAACAAATAAATAAATAATAAATCAAACTAAACTCGAATGATAAGTAAATTCAAATAAGAGCCAACTTTATGTGTTTATATTTATTTTATAAACTAAATAATTTTATTTCGTTTGTTTCTGTTGTATATATATTATAATAAAATGTCGAGAAAAAATAATAGAAAATTTTGTTGTTTCTCGTCGATCTCCTATAAAGAATAAATTTATATTAAAAGCGAAAAATTAAATAAAATTCAGCTATAGGCTTTTAGAAAAAAACGACATGAAGCGACATTTTTGTGAGAAAAAAAACGCAGATTTTTTCCTTTATCCCACGTTGTCAATCGAGTGCAACAAAACGAACAAAAAGCCAATTCTAAATTGTCCCTTATAACATTGATTTGTACAAGACAAAAAAATTGTGCATGTGTGAATGTGAAGAAGAAAAGAAAATGCTTTTTGATGTGTTGTTTTGTGAAAGTGATTTAAAAAAAAGTGCTGTACCTTCCACGCTGCATCGTCTGCGACAGATCTCGACTTCCTTTGAAGCTAAACGATCGTAAAAAAATTAAATGTTTAGTTTTTTTTAAAAAAAAGAAGCAAATGTAATTAAATAAATAAAATTTAGTTTAATTATGATATTGAATATTTGGGATTTTAATTGCTCTAGAGCAAATTAAGCAATGATTCAAGATTTGAAAAGGAAAAAAAATGAATTCAAAAAATTTTAATTATTTCACTTCAGTGATTAGACAATAAATAAATAATAGAAATATTTAAAATTGAAAAAGTATTTCGAATAAAAATATTTTAACTAATAAAGATATTTTGAAAATTAAGAATATTCTTCATTTAAAAACTATTTTAAATATGTTTATAAAAAATACTGGAATGGATTTTTTTTGGAAATGTAAAATTAAAAATTCTTTCGAAAATGAAAAAGAATGTCTCGCACCTTTGCCGACGAAGTGGCTGATGATGATGATGATCATGATCATAATCTTGACAATGGTCCTTACTGCTGTCCATTGAAAAAGCACATGCAAAAACAATTCGTGATTTTCACAAAAACACAGAACAAATAACAAAAGCAATAAAAGCGGTTTCAATAAACAATTATAATAAACAGTGCATGTCAATAAATCACTTTTCAAATTTAAATTCTAAAATATTTAATTTCGAACTAAATATAACTAATAATATAATTATTAAATTATTACTTTAATTGAAAGTTAAATGTTCATTTTTATGACGAATAAATAAAACATTTATTTTATTTATTAAGATAAATACATAAGCAAAAAAAACATCGAAATAAAATAAAAGTAATTTAAAAAATAGAGAAAACAATCTTTAAAGTAAAAAAAAATAATAAGAATGATAATAAAAGAAAATATAATTTAATTGGATATACATTTTTTTAAATTATCGCGATTTTTAAAAAAATTGAAAAATTGATATAAATTGAAACAAAGAGACTAGAAAAGAAAAATGACGAAAGGACAAAAGAAATTCGAATGACTAGAAAAACACTAAAGAGGAAATAAGAATAAAAATAAATCGAACTAAAAAGCACTGACTAGAAAAATAGACGAGAGAAAACGACACAAAAAAAGCACCATTGACTAGGAATAAATAGAATAAAATAAAATCTATAAACTAGAAGAAAATACAATAATCTAGAAAAAATACAATATACCGGGCAAAGAAATATAAAACAAAAAATCCTATTAAACTGGAAAATATACTAATAAAAAGAACAAATGGATAAATATCTATGTACGGGGAAAGATCATAAGAAAAAATACAGAAGAAATGAAAATATATAAAAAATTTGTTCAGTAATAGAAAGTGAATATTCGTGCAAACTTACACAAGTGATGTTTTTGATTTGGACATTTTGCGACCGTCCTTGGTGATTGGTTTCATTTGTCGTGCCTTGCAGACGCGGTCAACTTCATTCTGTCTTCGACTTGTATTTTCCATGAATTCACGATGATCGGCAATCAACATCTCCAACGTTGGACGATCATCCGGCAAGGGTTCTGCCTCCAATGTTATTAAAGTGTTCTCGAGACCTTCGAGCCAGGCCAATAATTCTTCCAATAGATTGTCAAGGTCCTGATTAAGAAAAAAATTATTTATAAATCATTTTTGAAAAAATTTTACTAGAAAAATAAAAACACTATTTAATAAATATTCCAGAATTCCAATTTTCATTTGTAAAAATTGAATTTTAAGTAAAATTTTATAACTCATCTTTATTTACTTTATATTTTTAAAAATATTTTTTTTATTCTTACTATACATTCCATTAATAGGTACTTATAAGTTTATTAATTTAGTCTAGTTTTATTTTTTTAAGGAAGAATCTAACCGACTGTAAAGAAAAGTTAGACTAATGCTTTAATTTCTTATTTTATAATAAAAAAAAAACAAAATTTAAAACTTCTTTTTGTCAAAGGGTAAAAATTTAACTATAAATATTTCGAACAATTAAACTTTGAATTAAAATTATAATTACAGTTTTTTCAATAAAAAACGTTATACGTTAATTAATTTTTAAGTTACGTTACCAAATTGTTTCTTATTGAGAGAAAAATGTAACAAAAAGTACAATAAGACTGACTACGTACATTATAAAATTTACTCTGGAAGTAAAGATTTTTAATAGCAAAATTTACTATTTTCAATGTCAATTGTTTTATAAACATTATTCAAATTTCCCTTGAACATTACAATTAGCTATTAAATGTTCTTATTTTTAGAGTAAATTTTACTATTTTTGAAATAAATTTGTTAATTTAAAAAAAAAATTGTTTTTGAATAGGTATTGTAAAAGTTATTTTTAGAAATAACAATTTTTAATATTAAATTAAATTATAACTCTTCCTGAATTTTTAAAGAATTTTAATTATAAATATGACCATGATTTCTCCAAAATTTTAGTAAGCCCAAAAAAGCAAATTTTTATTTGCTTTATTCGAAGATATTTAAATCTTAATCTTTGAGGACCAAATTTTTTCTTAAAAAATCGCTATTTTTGATTTTTAAGCAAACTGTTCAGGGAAAATTATTAAAGTTTTTTATTTGAAGACCAGTATCTGTCATACGAAATTTTTTAGACTATGTGAAAATTATTGTTTCAATATTCAGTTTTGAAAATTAAGAAACTTATGCACGAGTTAATAAAAAAATCTTCATGTTGCCTGAAAGCAACACTGGTCCTGAAAGGGTTAAAAATATTTTAATGTAATTTTTCAAAAACAATTGAATTTCTTAAAAGAGTTTTTGTATTTTAAAAAAAAAAACTAATTTCTTGATGAATATTAATTAAATGTTTTGAACATGATTTTTTTCTCCATAATGTTAAAAATAATATTCTAAAATGTTATTATTTTTTGTATGTATTTAAATTTTCGGAAATATGTAATTGAAAGTAGTGAAAATACTAAATTCTAAAAAATTAGAAGCTAATTTTCATTAATTTTCATTTTTAAATTTATGTTTAAAGATTTTTTATTAAAATTTTTCAGAATTCAATTATTTTGAAAATTTGCAATTAAATGTCTTCAAAAGTTTATTTTCAAAATTTCTAGCAAAATACTTGAAAAAAAAAATTATTTTCAATTAAATTTTACAAAATTTCAATTATTCAAAATCTTTTTAATTGTATATTTCGAAAATTTAAATAGAAAAATGATTCAAAAATAATTTTGGAAAAATCTGTTTATAGTAATTTTTGCACTATAAAAATCGAAATAAGTTACATTTAATACTAAAAAAATATGATATTTTTTGAAATATTTGGAAGAAGAGTTGAGAAAGTGACAGTTTTTGAAAATAAGTCGAAAAAAAATCTCAATTTTCTAAAGTTCCCTGACAAAAAATTTTTTTTCGACATTTCCCTGACTTTACTGACACGTGGTCACCCTGTAATAATTGATTCTAAAAAATTTGGAAATCGACATCACTATAAAGCTTCCTTTGAGGAATGAAATGTAAAGAAAAGTAAAATGCAAAAGAAAATTAATTTTCATTAGAAAATTTAATTTAATAAAGAAAAGATGATGAAACACGAACCTGCAGTCCTCGCATATGCTCCTCGAGTCTCTGATTCCTTTGCAGAGCCCAAGTCGACACCTCCTCCCATCTCGACTGTATAATCGTAATCCAATGTTTAATAACAGTCGCACCATCGGGATGTGCCTTGGTAAGTATCGATCTCGCCAATTCCAAAGTATTATCCTTCTCAATTTCCTTCGATTGCAATTCCCTCAGGAATTTCTCGTGCTCCATCAATTGATTTCGACTCTCCTGTTCGTCCTCCGGCAATTGTCCCGCGAATCTCAATTTCATCTCAGCATCGCTCAACCACTCCAACAGTACATGCACCGCTTTGTGCAAACGTTCAGCATCCCTCAATGCCTCCTCCAAGCGATCACTCTTATTCGCTGACAATCGCGTCACCGTATTCCACAAACTATGAAGCTCCGACAATTGCTGTCTAATCAACGATGCGTCCTCAATCGTTGCCTTCGATTCCAATTCCCTTCCCGTTTTCGTCACCGAATCCATTTGCGACGAACGCGACTCAAGATCGCACTCGAAATTCTTGTGTTGCTCAACTAAATTCGTCACTGTATCCAAATCACCGTGTAAATTACCGGTATTCGAGAGTTGTTTCTCAATTTTCTGCAACCAGTCCAAGAGCGCTTGAATAGCGTCCTTGAATTGTCCGGAGAAGAGGAGGGCCTCCTCGAGTTTTCTCTGACGATCGACGCACTTGCCACAGACAATGGTCCATTTGTTTTTGAGTTCGTTGAGAAGTTCACGTAGTGCTGCCTCGTCACTCTTCGGCGCCTTGTCCTTGAGGATCTTACCATTCTTCATCGTCGTATCGTAGTTTCCTTGTTTTGCACTCAGTGCCTTTTGAATCTCCCGGTGTTTATTCAAGCGGAATTTGATTTTCTCCGGATCGTTACCACCGAGACCATCGGCGGCGACCTCGTCCAGTGTTCTCTCAGTGTCCTCGAGCCAATTCATCAGATTCGACCAGGCGTCATGGAATTCCCTCGCCTCCTTGTAGCCGTGATCCAAAGCTCTTGTTCTCTCGGCCGACTTCGAGACAACGCGCTCCCAACGATGTTGAACGCTTATCAGTAGATTTTTGATCAGAATAACGTCTTGTTTTTGGGAGAAGTACTTGAGATGAGTGCCCTTTTTGTCGAGGTTGAGCATTGTTTCGCGATGAACGCCGACGTCTTTTTGGAAGGCTTTGTGCTCCTCGATTTGTCCGAGAATCGTTTCCATGACTCTTGAGACTGGTTTCAGATTCGTAAGGATCTTCTCGGCGTTGGTGAGCCAATCGACAAAGGCCTGTAGTGCGTCGTGGAATTCGGTGGCCTCTTTGAGGGCGATTTCGAGTTTAATTTTCTTGTCACTTGCCCTGGCGGTGACATTGTCCCAGCGTTGCTTCAGTGTTCGGAGATTGTGATTGAGTCCGCAGGCGCTTGACGCTCCGGCTCGTTTCAGATATTCTTGTCCCTGCTGCAGGACAGTTTCGACTTTGGGTCGATTTTGCTCGAGTTCGTTGTAGACCTCCATGAATCTTTCGAGTTGCTCAGAGGCGGTTTCGGGGAGGCCACCGACGGGTTTCGAGGCGACTATCATGTTGTCGACGTCGCCCAGCCATGAGAGGAGGTCTTGAATTTCGGCGGTGAACGATTGTGCTTCGCGGAGGGCGTCTTCGAGTTCGCGTTGACGATCAGCGGCACGTTGGAGTAAATCGCGCCAGCGACGATTCAATGTTCCTAATTTCTCGGCGGTGGTTGACGCCTCGGCTGTTCCCTTGCCGTCTTCGATTAATTGTCGTCCGGCGTCGTTCAGAGTGTCGACGCTTGTCTGATGGGCTTGAATGTCGTTCACGAGGACCTTCAGTTTGGCGAGTTCGACTTCAATTACTTGGGGATCGCCGGCGACTGGTTTCAGTTCGTCGAGAGTGCGATCGGTGTTGTCGATCCAGACGAGGAGTTCGTCGAGTGCGTGTTGGAATTGTCCGAGACGCAGGAGGGCGTTTTCGAGGAGACGCTGTCGCTCGACAACGCCACGAAGTAGAGCGTCCCAGCGACGATTAACGGCGCCCAACGGTTCTTTTATCGCTGCCGCTTGCTCCGATGATGTTCTTTCGGTCAGTTCCGCCGCTTGTCTACAGAACGTAACAGAAGTTTTTATTAAAAAATAAATCCTTAAATTTTCCCAAAGTTTTCGTTTTAGCAACAATTGTACCTGTTTTTAAATTGTTTATATTTTTTTCTATTTCTTATTATTTCTATTTTTTGGGATTTTTTTTTAGAGCAAAAATAATATAAATTGGAAGACACCTACAGCATAAAAGGCGGGTTTCTGGTCAGCGCTTTAGCTACCAAACAACAATTAAAAATTATTATTACTATTAATATTAAACAACAATTTTTACGGTGTCAACTCCTTTTCGTTTGCATGTTTCCCTCTGTTAACTCTAGTCTTCTTTTTATGTTGTTTTTGAACCCAGTTTTCAATCTTTTTACATAGTTAGATTACTGAATTTCTTTTCAAATTTTGATGTCACTAATGTATATGAAAACGATTTCTATTTTTAATTTTTATTCTCTTTTACAAAAATTAGCAGATATTCTCTACTTAAAAGAAAAAATTTTATTTCTTTTTTTTAATGAAATTTATTTTCCTTTTTGCAACATTTTTTTATTTGAAAACAATTTTGTAATTCAAAAATATTATATTTTGTACTATTATTATTAGTCCAAAAAAAATGTTCTCACTTTTTTCCCCTTTTTCTCTTTTTGCCTTTTTGTTGAGTAAACATTTTTCAACTTGAAATATCTTTAATAATATTTAAAAAAAAAGACTAAAAATCGAAATTTCTTGTTTTGTACAATTATTACCTTAAATTATCAAAATTTGAAAAAAATTCATCAACATGACCTATTTTTTTTTAATAAATAAAATACGTTTCATATTTTTTTCATTTTGTATCTCGTGCATGCTGTGGAAACAGTTTAAGAAAAAAAGAATAAGATGACTCAACAAATGTAAATTTTACTATTTTCCAAAAAAAAATAAATTTTCCAATAAATAAATAATCAAAAATTCTACTCAACAATTTTTCTAATTATCCTTTTTTAGAGAGAATTTAAAAAAAACTTACATTTTAACAGACATCTTAGCATTTTTTTACAGTCATTTAGAACAATAATTCAAAAATGCCACACTTGTTTTAAAAATCATATACAATAGAAAAAAGCAAAACAAACAAAACCAAAGATTGTCAATAAAAAATAAATAAAATCGTCATTAGTCAATATTTCCGGGTACATTAAATAAATATAAATATAATAAAGAAAATATTGTATTTTTATGAGAATTTAAAGCCATGCTCTAACTACAGCGACAACGCAGAGAGATGGACTTGCCTTGTCAGACTCCTGTGATCAGGAAACCAGCACGGGACAAAAAAAATTGATTAGATCAATATTTCTATCTCTCTCAATAAAAAATTAATTATTAAAAATTCCAAATATTTAGAGCTGTAAAATTAAACTATTAAGGGAAACGCAAGAAATTAATGTTTTTATTTTTGTTACGATAAATTCTTTCAATCACTCAAAAATTATTAAATAGGTTGTCAAAAAAGTTATTTCTACTCTATTGATTCCTTTTTATTTCCTTTCTAATTTATTTTGTTTCATTGTCCCAATCATTAACAATTTTTTTTTAATGAAAACAATACTAAATTATTTATATTTAATAAAAACAGTTTTTTAACCAAAAAACGAATTAGGTATAAGAATTTAGTTTTAAGCTAAATTATTCTAGAATTCTTGTCGTGAATTTTTAATTTCCCCGAAAAGCTACTTGACAGAATTTTAATTAAGTCAAAATTTTTAAATTACGTATTAGTTTTAAATTAGTAGAGAATTTTTATCAAACAGAAAATCAACTATTATATTTTTTTTAATCCAAAACTTTATAATTATTAATTACCCTAAACCTAAATTAACATCGAATTACTTTTTTAAAAAATAATTATTCAACCGAGAATCAAGTTTAAAGAATTTATTAATGAGCAAAAATTTCTATTTCTATACTAAACTTTTATTAATCGCAATTTCTAATGAATTTTAAATTAAAAAATAATTTCTATTCAGACAATAAATTATTGAAAAGACTTTTAATCTAACCAAATTTTTCTTTATATTGAATTGCATGAAACAAAATTTGTATTTAGCTTTAAATTTAATTTACAAAACTTTTATTTAGCCTCAAATTTAAATCACAAAATTTCTATTTGTATAAAAATTCAGTTAAGTGGTAAATTTTCTACTAGAAAATATATTAAAATAGACAGTTTAGTAATTAAAAAATTGGCTAAGTAGAAAACTATCTACAATAGAATTTTGTTAAATAAAAATTTTAGTAATTGAAAATTCGGCTAAATAAAAAAATTTCTGTAAAAATACTTTATTAAATTAAAATTTAAGTAATTGAAAATTTACGTAATTAAAAAAATTCTACAATACAATTTAGTTAAATTTAAATTTTAGTTATTAATTTGGCTAAATAGAAAATTTTCTATAAGAAAATTCGCTTAAGTGAAAATTTCAGTAATTTAAATAAATAGAAATTACCATTTATCATTTAATATTAATTTCATATCTAATAAAATTTCTTTTCGAAATTTATCCAAATGTTAATTTCTCTCTAATCAGTTCGAAAAGGAAAATTTCCTAAATTTTCCCCCCTTTGGGCAAAATATGTTTCTTTTTTATTAATATATTAATATAAAATTAATAAATTAATGTAAAAGGAAAAGCAAAGAAATTTCTCAATGATAAAAAATTATTTTTTCTAATTTCCATCCAAAAAACTATTCTTCAAATTCACCTGAAATCGTTGAAGAATTCTAGCTTTCTTTCCCTTAAAAAAAAATAAATGGTAAATAAAATGAATTTATAAGTAAAAATAATGATAAAAAAAGTGTTAAGAGAAAAAAAATCTCACCTGTTAAGAGCTTCGACCTTCACCATATGAGGATCGACTTCCGCCTTGAAATTGGCCAATTGTCGAATTTGCTTCTTGACCTCATCGATATCACTGCCCAATGCTCCCATTTTGGAGAATTTCTTCTCAGCCTCCTCGAGGAATTCCAGTAGATCGTGAAGTGTCTCATGGAATTCCATAGCCTTCTCCATGGCATCGATTAAATTCTCCTCACGGCGCGCATACAACGCTGTGACATTGTCCCAAGCTTGGTCCAAATCCTCAATGTGCTTTCTCACCTCGGGCTTGTCGGGTTCACCACAAAGTCCCATGAGCTCATGACCCGACTGTCTCACCTGCTCGACGTCCGGCTTGGTCTGATCGATCTCCTGCCGTATCTCCTGCAGGGCGACCTGTTGCTGCTGAATAGCGGCCGGTTGAGCAGCCGGTGGCGCTTGTCCGGCGAGTGCGTCCTGCAGTTCCTGGAGTGTCGACATCACGCCGTTCAGTTCGGACCAGAAGCGTTCGGCGACCGCCAGGGTGTCGTCCAGCGTTTGTCCTCGATCCATCGTGGCTTTCTGAACATCCGTCCAGAGTTTGTTCAATTTCTCCAACTTGCGTTTGATGTCCTTGACGGCCGGGTCGGCGCGATTGCCGGCCTTGTTGATGACGTCGTTGGCGGCCTTCTTGACGGCCGCGAAGGCCTCGGACCTTTGCGCGAGGTCGTCGGCGAGGGCGGCGTTCTCCTCCATTTGGTCGCGGAGTCTGGGCGGGTGGGCGCTGATGGGTTCGGCGCCGTTCACTTGATCCGCGGTGGAAGTGAGAGCGCGGAGCATGCCCTCCAACTTGTCGGAGAATTGCGAGGATTCTTGCAGCGCCTGCTCGAGGACCTGTTGTCGGGCCCTTAGTTCGGCCCTGAGGGCTGCGTAGCGCGCATTGTCGGCGTCGAGGATGTCCTGCACTTTCGCGCCCTCTTCGTCGTTGATCAGTTTGATGAGTGCCTCGCCGGTCTTGTTGAGTTTCTCCACGAGGGGTTTGTGTTCGTTGATACTCTGCAGGAGCAGTTCGTTCTTGTCCTGCTGCACGGCTATCAAGTCGGGCCTGAGCGCCGGCATCGGCAGCATGGCGACCTGCTGCTCCGCCTCCTCCAACCAGCTGATGAGTCCCAAGTGGGTGTCCCTCAAGTGCTCCGCGAGCGGCAGTGCTTGCTCCAACGCTCCCAGACGATCAGCCGAGAGTGTTGAGACAATTTCCATTATTTCCCTCAGATCTTCCATCTTGTCTCTGATTGTCGAAGTGTCCTCGTGTTGCGCGTTCTCGCGAATCACTTTCTTGGCGGTTGATATCACGTCCCTTACTCTTCCCTTCTGGCTTGAAATATCGTCGTTAAGGGCCTTGTGCTCCTTGAGTTGGACCCGAATTATCTCCGGCTCACTGCTCGGGGGTTCCGCCTCTCGGAGCTGATTGTCGACCTCCCGGAACCAGTCCAACAGTTCGTCGATGTCGCCTATCACCTCAATGGACCTCTGCTTGCTGATTTGGATCCTCTCCGCCTTCCTCTGGATCTGCTCCGTAATCGCGTCGAATCTGCGGTTGTCCCTGGTGACCAGTCCCTCTATCGTCGCGGCCCCTTCGCCGGGCGAGATCTGACAGAGCTGGGGACCCACCGCGTTGATCTTGTCCAGAACGGGTCTGTACTCGGAGATCTCCAACTCGAGGCGTATAATCTCGTCCTCCCTGGGTTCTGCCATCTGTAGAGCCGCCTCGGCTCCCTGCATCCAGTCCATGAGTCGATTGTGATTGTCATGGAACTGTTGAACGAGTGGCAGGGCTTCCTGAGCGTGTTTCAAAAGATCCGAACCTCGGGTGATCAGATCGTTGTAACGTCGCTGGAGAGAGTCTAATTTGTCCTTGAGTTGCAGAGCCTCGTCACTCGAAATGTGTTTCATTAGTTCGAGACCGGATTGAATTGTACTTTCGACTTCGTTCTGCCTGCAGGAAACCTCCTCGGTAAGATCGGCGAGATCCTCCATTTGTTGAAGGAGCTTTTCGGTGTGCACCGCCAGGACTCTGTATCTCGAAAGTCGTTTCTCCATGCTGTCCATCCAGGCTTGCAGGTCCTGATAGGTGAGGACAAGGTGCCGGAGACCTTGTTTAGAACTCTGGAGGAGATTGCCAAGCGCTTCGGAGCGTTCCACAAGTGCTGCGTAACGATCCGCGACCTCTTGCAACTTGTCCGCGAGGGCTGACGCCTCATCGTCGCCCACCAAGCTCATCAACTGACTCGCAATTTCGGTCAACTCGCTGAATCCGGCCTTCTTCGAGAGTATATCGTCGTGGAGCAGGTCATGCTCAGCAACCCTCTGCTGTATTTTCTCCTCGTCTGTCGGCACGAGTTCCATGTCCTTGATGCGCTTCTCGGTCCGATCGAGCCAGATCGCAAGGGGCAGGAGTTTATCCTGGAACTCCTTGGCGACGGCCATGGCTTGCTCCAGAGCCTCCATGCGATCAGCGGCTCCCTCCGTGAGTCGATCGAAGCGTCCCATCAGACTCGTGAGCTGCTTCTCGATAATCTTGCGCTCCTTCGGATCCGCGCCGGCCGCGACCTCCTGTCCCATGGTGTACAACGACGACATCGAATTCTGCCTGTCAAGCAACATTTTCCTCAGGAACTTCTGCTCCTGCAGTTGCGCCTTCACGACCTTATAGTCCGAACTCGGTGGCTTTTGATTCGCGACCATCTCCTCAGTGTCCGTCAACCACTTCTCCAGTCCGTCCAAAGCGTCCTGGAATTTGCCAGACTGCAACAAACCAACATCCAACTTCCTGTCCCGATCGTTCAGTTTATCCTTCAAATCATTCCAACGCTCGTTCATGCGGTCCAAATCCTTCTCGATATTCGTCGTACTAACGTCCCTGCCGGCCGTCTGAATGAGCGTCTGTCCCAAAATGTTACACTCGTCCACAGCCCTCGCGATTGGCTCAATTTTGTGCAATTTCAAAGCTCTGAAATCGTCCTGCTGAACGCGGATTGAATCCACCTCGGAACCGACTGGTCGGAACTTCTTCACCTGATCGTGCGCGTCGTTAATATCATCCATAATGTCAGCGTGAACGTGATAGAATTGTTGCAATTTATTTAGAGTATCAATGAGTACCTCCTCACGATTTCGTGCGCGATCGTCAAGTTTACCCAATTGACGTTTGAGTCCATCGACTTGATCGCGAGTGGCGACCGCATCGGCGGCAAAACCGGAGTCAACGAGATTTTCACTCGAACTCACGAGATTGATAATCTCGTCATTGAGGCGATTGATCTTGTGAATGACACGATTGATCTCTTCCACTTGGCCACGAACTGTTTTAATGTCACGACCGGGCGCCTTCATTGAATCGAGTTCCTTCTCGAGTGTCGCTAATTCTTGATTTATTAGTTTCAATTGATCGGTGAATTGTGCAACGGCTGTTGCGGCACTCTGTAATTCGTTGCAACGATCATCTAATTTCGCCTGAAGATCGTCGATTCTGTCGGAAATGTTGTCGACCTCGTCTTGTAAATGTGTTGCGTCGATTCCTTGTTCGCCGGCTTCCTTCACGAGATCGTTTGCCTGCAATCGCACGGCTTGCAGCGGTTTCTTTAAACTCACGGTTTCTTCCCTCAAATTCTGAAAATCATAGATTTATTTAAAATCAGTTTTATTGAATTATAATATACTTTATCTGTTATTTCTATTATATCAAATCTTTTCACTGGTCGTCTAAGTTAATTTATTCACTTACTCACTATTAATAATTTGTTAATTAAATTATTTTATATTTCCAAATATAAACATCAAATTTTTAAATAATTTCAGAAGCAAAATGTAAGAAATTCACTTATTAAGAACATAAATTATTCTTGTTTAGTATATTCAAAAATTTTAATAAAATTTTTCACCATAATTCAATTATTCTTATAAATAACAACATTCTTTGGAAGAATTCAATTATTTTTATAAATATAGTAAAACTCTTTGCAGGAATTCAATTATTTTCCAACAATCTGAATGAAATTTCACGAAAGGATTCAATTATTTTAAAAACTTTTTAATAAATTCAATTATTGAAAGAATTCAATCAATTCCTAAAATTTTGAATTAAAATTCTTCGAAACAATTTGATTATTTTTGTAAATTCCAAAATTCTTCGCAAGAATTAAATTATTTATGTAAATAATAAAATTCTTCCCATGAATCCAATTAATTTATTTTCAATATAATTTTAATAAAATTTCTCGAAAGGATTCAATTATTATTAAAAATTGTAATAAATAGTTCAAAAATTAATAATAATAAATGGTTCCAATAAAATGGTTCAAAAGAACTTAATTTTTTATCGATAATTTAAAAAAATTTAAGAATATAACTAATTATTACATTTATTAACAAAATCAGTAATATTAAAAAAATAAAAGAAATTCTTTGAGAGGATTTAATTAATTTCAATATTTTTATAAAATTCCTTGAATGAATTCAATTATTCTAAAAAATTGTAATAAAATTCCGAGAATAATTTAATTGTTTTCTAAAAATTTTAATTAAATATTTAAGAATAATTTTATTTTTAGAAAAATTTCATTAAAATTGTAGGTATTAGAAATAATTGAAATTCTTCTATAAGTTTTATTATTTAAGAAAATTATTAAATTCCTAAAAAGAATTTTATAACATATGAAAATAATATTGAATCCCTGTAAAAATTATATCATTTATGAAAATAATTGAATTATTGCTAAGAAATTTATAAAAAATTTGTAATAATTGAATTTCTGTGAAATTTCTATTATTTATGAAAATAATTAAATGTTTGCGTAGAAAATAATTGAAAATTTTCCAAGAATTTTATTACAATCTTTGAAAATAATTCAATTTCGGAAAAGAATTTTATTATTTAAAAAAATAATAAAAGTTTTAACGAAAATTTAAAAAAAAAATTTTAACATTATTGAATTTCTGCGAAGAATTTTGTTACTTTTGAAAATAATTGAATTTCTGCAATCATTTATAACTTCTCCAAAATTCAATTTTTTAGTGTTTTTTCCCAGTACTTTTAATAAAAATCCTTGACTTTTCCCTGACCAATTCTACTTTCCCTGACTTTTTCCTGAATTCCCTGATTTGCAGCAACCCTGAAGATAAAAAATGTACATATTTCAGTTTTCTCACCTTAATTCTATCGAGTAGTTTCGGATCCTTGGCGGCTCCACCAAGCGCATCGTGTGACGCGAGTTTATCCTCACATCTCTGCAAGCTATGCTGTAAATCTCTCAAATTCTCATTGAAATCAGACAAATGTCTCGCAGTGTCCTCCAGCGACTGTGTCCTCTCCAGTAAATCATTATTCAATTTATCCCATCTCGTCTTCATCGCACTCAATTCATTCTTAACCACATCCTTATCGATATCGCAAGCGCCAACAAATGTCTCGCCCAGAGTTTTATTATTCTCAAATTCGCCCGATCGTTTCCAGACTTCATTTCTAAACGACGACAACTCCTTCAATTGCTTCTCAATGTCCTTTCGTTTGAACGAAGCCGGTTTCAAACTCTCCAATTTATCCTCCGCTTGTCGCAACCACGGCAAGAACATGTCTTGCGCTCGATAATATTTCTTGCAGTGTTCGGCGCACGTCTGCAATCTCGTGTGACGCTCCAAAGTGTCCTTCTTCAAACGATCCCATTGCGACTGCATTTTATCCAAATCGCGCTGCAATGAACGGTTCTCTGTCTTCTGCGATCTGGCGAGTATGTCACGACCCTTGTTCAAGAGCATGATCACCTCGTGCTCTTTGCCCATCACATTCCTGTAGACGGGCTCGTGATGATCGAGTTGTTGCTGAAGAATTTCACGATCGGCCGAGACGAGTAATTTCTCCGACATGTTGCCGAGTTCGTCGGCGAGCCAACCGAGTGTTTTACTGCACGAGGCCTCGAATTGTCGCCCATCGCGTAAATTACCCTCAATCTCCGCCTTTCGATGATCCAATTTCTTCTGGAGATTGTTGTACAATTTCTCAACAGAGGCGAGTTTCGCCTGGATTTCAGAACGCGAGGCAGGATCGCTGAGTACTTCGCACAATTGAGCGCCGGCCGCTTCAGCGTCGGCGAGCAATGGACGTTGACCCTCGAGTTGTCTCTCGAGATTCTCAATCTTACGCAATTGCTCCTCGGGATCTTTGTCGAGTGGCAAATCGTCCAAATTGTCCGAAATCGCTTGAAGCGCGTCGCGTAGACGATTCAAACTCGCGTCAAATTCACGACTAGTGTCGACGGCGTCGCCTAAACTTTGTGCTCGTTCATCCAATCGACTCAATTGATCGGACCAACGTTGAAGAATGCTCTGCAATTTGTGACTGATCTTCTGTCCGTCAACGGAATCGGGTAAAATTCTCGCGAGAATACTCTCGCCTACTTGTATTAAATGATCGAGTTGCGGTTGTTGCGTGCGGAATTCCTCGCGCAATACTTGCACTTGTTGCACTTGACTTGCGACCATTCGCGGATCGGATGATATTGGTCCGAGGGCGCCCAACATTTTCTCCTTCACGCCCAACCACGAATTAAGTGCCTCGTATGTGTCGTGGAATTGTTTCATGTCCTCGAGGAATTTTATTCTGTCCTTGCAACGATCGGATATTGATTTCCATCGACTTGCAACGTCTTCGAGTTCGTCGTTGAGACGATCGGCACCGTCGGCACCCTTCTTACGTCGCACCAAATCGCGAACTTGTGTTCTTGTACTGTCCAATAGTGATTGCTTCTCGTACATTTCCTCAATGATCAATTTGATTTGTTTCATCATTTTGTCGGCCTCCTCCTTTGTCGCTGGAATTGTCTCCTTTGGCAGTTGTCGCTGAACCTGGAAAATATTTTTTCTTGTCTAAAATACTATATCTTCAATACAAAAAAAATTATTATAACAATCCAAATGATTTTAATGTGATTTCGGAGTAAGTCAACCAATTGAAAAAAGACTTCTTTCCGAATTTATTTACTTTATCCGAAATCACATTAAATTTTTCTTAAAGTTCTGAACGTTCAAATAAACAAAATTTATTTATTTCTCGTCCAAATTAAAATTTAAGTTTTAATTTTCTATTGTTATCAGTAATTTACAATATTTTTAATAAACAGTATTTCGTTCATTTGAACGTTCGAAAACTTGTGCATTATACATTTAAATCATTCGAACTCATATTATTATTTTAGATTAGAGATTTTTCCTGTGATCAGAGACATTCATCAAAATAAAAAATACCGAAACAACAATAATAATAAAATAATAAAATGAATAAACACAAAATAATAGATAGTAAAACAAAATAACTAAAAAATTTAAAAAATACAAAACTATAAAAAAAAAGTACAAGCAAAAAAAAAAAAAATAAACATAAACAATAGAAAATAAATTAATAGATAAGTTTTTATAATTATTAATTACATTCTCATCATATGAGAAAGTATTAGTTTTGTTTTTTTAAACAAAGGAAGAACAATAGAATATTTATAATAGAAATAGAAATTCTAACAACGTATTTTTTGTTTTTTCAACTTTTTTAAAATTTGGATTGTTATTCATTAAAAATTTTTAATTTTTAGACCATCTTCATGATTCTAATGAATTAATTAAAAAAACATAATTTATGCTAAATTCCAAAGTCAAATTTTACCAATTTATATAAAAGTTGATTAATCTATTGAAATATTATTAATTCTTCTAAAATTCAATTTTTTTGGCAAACATTATCATTTTGTTGTAATACAACTAATCATATTTTTATTCAAATATTTTTTATTTCACTTTTCTTTAAAAAAATAAATTTACCTATTTATTAAATTATAAATTTTTATTTACTATTTAAGAATAGAAAAAATTTGCATCTTCAGTTATTTTTCAATTTTCTATATACAATTTGATGTTTAAAATTTAATTTTTTTTAAATTTGATCTTTATTAGCAGAAAATATTTAATATAATTTTAATTAAATATATTGTAATTGAATATAAAAGTCATAAAATTACTGAATGTTTTAATTTTTTAAAAATACAAGTTATTCACAAATTCAAATCCTGAATTACAAAGTTAATTGATCGTAAAAGATATTCCTTTTCTTAAACAATTTTTTAACTTCAAAATAGATTCAATAATTATGAAAAAATAATTGAAAAAATTAATTTAATAAATAGTTAAATCATTGAATTACAAAATCAAATTTTAAATTGAAAAAATAATTAAAAATTAAAAAAAAATTTTAATTTTTACAAGAAAAGAAAAATTTTTAAGACATGAATTTCTAATTATAAATCAAAAATTTATAATAATTTAATTTCTTAAAATAGTTGTAATAATTAATGAATTTAAAAAATTGTTGAATTCTGAAGAAATTAGTTGTTTTTAAATTGACTGAATTTGTAATTAGGATATAAATGACACATATTTAAAAAAACAAATTTTAAAAAGAAGAAAATTTTTTAAAAAATTGAAGACAGGAGAATTTAAAAAGAAGGAAATTCAAAAAGAAGAAACTTTAAAAACAAATAAATGTAATAAGGAAGAAATTGGAAAAGCAGGAAATTTGAGAAAAAGAAACTTTTAAAAAGAAAGAAGGAAAGTAAGAAATTTAAAAATAAGGATAGATTGAAAAGAAAGAATTAAAAGTGAAATTGAAATTTAAAAAGAAAATAAATTTTAGCTATCACAGTGATTTTTTCATGTAATATTAGATAAAAAAGGTGATTTTATTTTTCATAAAGGGGATTCAGTTTAAATAAAAAGGGGGATTTTTAAATTAAGTAAAAATTATTGTAATATAAAATTTATTTTAAAGATTTTTTTTACTTTTTCTTTTAACTTCAGCTTTTTTAAATCAACTTATACTTTTTGTTAAACTTTTTCTGTCAATTACTGGTATTTTTTTTACTTTTTCTTTTAACTTCAGCTTTTTTAAATCAACTTATACTTTTTGTTAAACTTTTTCTGTCAATTACTGGTATTTTTTTTTTATCTTTTTCCGTAGTCCGTAACTTTCATCAAATTTTTAATACAAATTTTTATAACAACGCTACTCTTGTTTCAAAATTACATGAATTTTACGATATACGAAGTAAATTTCAGAAAAAAATTAGTTAATTTAACTTAGGACTTGGAAAAATTGCCTTCAAAAATGGTAAAATTGAATATAAAAAATTGTTATTTGCAGAATAACTATTACTATTTTCAAAAAGAATATTTCTTTTATAAAAATTAAAAAAATTTATTTGAAAATTGGTAAAATTGACTCTAAAAATATTTAGTAGCTAATTGTAATATTCGAAGAAAATTTGAATAATTTTTATAAAAAAAATTTATATTGAAAATAGTAAATTTTTCTATTAAAAATCGTTATTTCCAAAGTAAAATTTATAATATCCGTAGTAAATTTTATTGAAAATTAGTAAAATATACTTTGAATTTAGTAAAATTTATTCTGAAATTAATACAATTTGTCAAAAATTTCAAACAATTTGGATTTTTCTCAAAAGTAAAAGTTATTTTATATTTGTTACCGTTTATGAAAAAATTTCTAAGTTTAAAGACTCTGAGAAATAATATAAAAAAAAAATAAATTAAAAATAAGGGAAAAAGAAGAGAAAATTTATGATTGTGTATGTTTTAGGGGATTTTATTAACTTAAGGACATAAAAAGAGGAAAGAAAAGGGAATTAGGTAACAAAAGAGGACTGAGATCCCTGAAATTTAGAAAAAAATAGAAAAATTTGAAAAATGTAAACAAAACTCTTTTTTCTTACCTTATCGAGGAATTGCGACAAAGTCTTGAGATTATCAAGATGTTTACGAAGTTCCTCGCGAATATTGTCAAGTTCAGTTTGCCGATCAGTGAGTCTCACTCCCAATAAGCCATAGCGATTATTAATCTCGGACAATTGCTGTTGCACCAAGGACAATTCCTCCAGATGAAAACCATCCTGACTGGAACGTCGACTGCTAAATCCACTGCTACCACCTGGAGACACCGGACTTTGAACTGCATATGACTTTGTGGGGGAAGGTGAACGACCATCTTGTGACATTCGGCGTACTATAAAAAAAATTTAAATAAAATAACTAAAGCTTCTAAGTGTCCGTGTTAATGTGAAAATGAATGAATGAATGATTGTGCCACAGAAATTAAGCGTGTTTTCTCTATTTTGAAAAATTGCCAATTTTTCAACTAGAATTGTAAAAATTTAACTAGAACTAAAAAATAGAATTATAATCCTAAATAATTATAATCTTAATTTAAAATTAAAATTATAAAACAAATTCTAATAAAACTTATTAATCAGATTCTAATAAAAATTATAAATCAAATTCTAATAAAAATTCTAATTCTAATTTTAATTAAAACTAAATTCTATAAAAAAAAACAAAATAAAAATCTTACGTGGACTGGTAATATTCGGACGTTTCGTCGGACTTGAACTTCCCCGACGTCTGGTTGGACTGTCACCACGTTCCTTCAGCAAACTATCGTAAGCAATTCCAAGATCATTAACTTTATCAACGGTATTTCCATAATCGCGATATTCCTTTTGAATTGGTTTCAGATCCTCGATTTGTTTCTTCAAAATTTCCAAATCAACAGCAACTGGATGTAGACGTTGCACACGATTCTCAGTGCGATTCAACCAATCAATGACTTGATCGCGCAATTTTTCATAAGCGTAAAGACGTTCAGCGCGCGATTTACTCAAACGTTGCTTCTCATCCAATAAATTACTCAACTCCTTCCATTGTGATTCGAGTGCTTTGATTTTGTCGCGTATACCCGAAGCATCGGTGATGTCCTTCTTCGAGACAAGATTCTTTCCATTACGTATTAAATCCTCAAAATTGCCACGTTGATCTTCACGTTTATCGGCCAATTGGGCCATTTTACTTTCGTGCTCGGAAATATCGAGTTTCGTTATTTCGCGCGATTCTAATAATTCAATCATGTGCGAATACCATGTATCGAATTTAGCGCTTTCAGTGAGGAATTCGTGTAGTGCTTGGGAAATTTCATCGAGGAATTCACCGCGACGCAGTGATTTTTCCATGAGTTTTTCAAAACGACTTTGTACGTCTTTTAATTTTGCCTCGGTTCGTTTCGCGATACGGGCATTGCTTGAATTGAGTAAAAGATCTTGTGCGCTTGATGTTATTGCCTCAACGCTCGCGCGATGATTGTCCAAATCGGCTTGGAATACGCGTTGTTCGCTCTGTTGTTCCTCGAGGCGCTCCTTCAATAGACTGCCTGGTCGTTGAAGATTTCTAGAAAAAAAACATACACATTTTTGTTAATTTTGTAATTTGTGTGTTAAATAAATGTACACAAATATATATTTATCAGGAATACTACAAAAATTTAATTTTGTTTTTCCCTGACTTTGCTCTGATTTCCAGACAAAATTTTGACTTTTTCCCTGACCCTTAACAACATTCTGATTCACTCTAAAAATGATTTGATACTCAAAAAACTGTTCTCTTACATTTATTTACAAATTTCTTTAATTGGAAAATTATTCGAAAACATTAATAACTTCATTTTTTAATAAATATTTAGTCATTATTAATTCAAGATGACAAACTGACAAAATCATTATTTTAAATATTATAAGAATATTGTTACTGTAACTCCTTCAAAATTATTTTCATCATTTCAATTCAATTACTACTATTTAATTGTTAGTTAAAAGTATGAAAAATTAAAATTTTTATAGGTTTTAATTTGAAACCCTTTCAAAATTCAATTATTTTCAAAAATTCACTCTACAATCCTTTTAATATTCAATTATGATCTAAAATTTTAACTGAAATTCACTGCTGAATCAGTTTTTATTAGAATTTTTATTAAATTTCTCCAAAGAATTAAAATATTTTCAAAAATTGTAGTTAAATTATAGAAAAAATTCAATTATTTTCCAAAAAATTTTCATAAAATTCAATAATAAAATTTTTTATTACAATTATTAAGTAGGTATTTCAGAATTTAACTGAATCAAATTTTCCATAATTATTTTAATTCAGTAGGAGATTTAAAAAAGTTTCGTTTCTTAATTACAAAATTGGCTCTTGTGTAATTAATGAAAATTTTTTTAAAATATTCAGTCGCTTTTAAAAATATTGTCCGAGATCAGAGCTTCGAAAATTGTACAGTAAAAAATTAAATTATTTAAAAAAAAACAAAAATATATTCAATTCTTTAAAAATTATTTAGATTTGAATTTACAAAAATTTCAAAAATTGGGAAAACTGAAAAATAAATTTCCAAAAAGTAGTAAAACTAAATTACTTTAAAGAAAATAATTTTTAAAAAATTTTAAATGCAAATATATTACTTAGAATGTATTAAAATTAATAAAAATAATTTCTAAAATTTTTTTGTAAGAATATTATCACAAAAATTATTTTCTAAATATTTGAATTATTTAAAATTTAAAAAATTTAAAATTTGTTTAAATTGTAAATTAGAATTGATTCAGTTTTTTGAAATAATTAAGAAAAAACTTAAAGAATAAGGGAAAATAATTATCACGGAAATGAATAAAAGTCGAATAAATAAAACAAAATGGTTTAAAATAAATGGAAAAAGTATTTATAAACGTACTTGAATTGACTCTCGGCATTGTTGAGCCACGAGACCAAACCATCCAAAGCGTCCTGAACACCTTGACTCTTAACCAAAGCAGTCTCCAATTCCTGACATTTATCAGCGAGTGCATTGCTCAGTTGTCGATATTTATCCTCCACCTCTCTCACAGGCTCCTCCAAATGTCTAACTTCAAGTGGCGTCAATTGTCCCTCCAAAGATCTCAAAAGTGCCTCAACACTCGCCTTTGCATTATCCACAAGACGTTCATTCGCCAACAATTCATTATTCAATGCCTTCGCCTTACTCAACTGATCCTCAACTTGTTTCGGTTCACCTGATATTGGCTCGGCAATAATTCGATGAACCTTTGGCTCAACATCGCGTAACCATGCTCTTGCCTTCTCCAGTGAATCATTGTAGTCGCGTTGACGTCCACCGACGCCCGACAATTTATCCGACAAATTATTGGCGCGCGCCAACAAATCCTTATATTGGGCAGTGACAATTGACACTTCACTGCGAACCGGTGAATCTTGACTAGAAATTGGCTCCTTGTGTGGGAGACGTTGCGGTAGACTTGTTCGGAAATCATTTAAAATTTGCAGATGCTCTTTACTTTCGTCGACGAATTTTTGCGCTGCCATTGTGATAAATCGTAAATCGGCCTGATGAGCAATAACATCGCTGATAAAGTCGCGTGTTGTGTCTGTGCTGCTTGTTAATTTATCCAAATCGGCGAGGGAACGCTCTTTTTCCTCGAGGACGCGGCGCGCCTTGTCCAACCAAATTGAAAACGATGACACTTCATTTCTGGAATAAAAAAACGAATTTTATTTTCTGTCTCTACTTATTTTGTTATTTTCACTTATATTTATGTTTATTTTACATTTTTATTAATTTTTGCTATTTCTAATTGTTTTCTATTTTCATTTTTGATGATTTCTTATTTTCACTTTTTTTGCTATTTTTAATATTTTATTTTATTTTTGTTCGCGTTCTTCATCAATTTTTGCTTCTTTTTTTACTTTTATTTTCTATTTCTACATATTTTGCTGTTGTTAATTATTTTCTATTTCTATTTTTTTCTTATTTTAATGGAATGTCACTATATTTTTATTTCTTTCATTTTCTACGTTTTGAATTTAAGAGTAAACTCAACTTATTAAATATCTATTTTTATTGAAAAATAAACACCTAAAAATGATTTTCGATTAAAAATAACTTTTAGTTTTTACTTGTTTCTATTGGTTTTATTCTATTATTCTATTATTATTTTTTTCTTTGGATTAAAGATTAATTTTTTGTTTCCCACAATTTGAAAATTGTGGGAGTATTTTTAAGCGATCTTACTTGAATTTCGTGAGTTCGTCGCGAGCAACAGTGAGACGTCTCAATAAACGATCGGTGCGATCGAAAGCTCGATCGAAGCGTGTTTTAAGAGAGCGACCATTCTTTTCCAAAGTCGAGATTTCATCACTGGAAAGAACGTCACTTCCGGTGAGAACAACTTGTCTCACTTGATCCAAACAAGACGATATGGAGCGAGTGTGTGCATCTAAATCTTCTTTTATTTGCTGCAAAAAAAGAAAAAAATTCATTAAAAATTGCGAAAAGAATTGCTTCAAAAAAATAAAGATAAAAATTTTCTTATTCAAAATTGTTAAATGAATAATAAAAAAAGTTAATAAAAATTAAAACTTTATAGGAAGCATTTTTAGGAACAATTGTAAACAAATTTAAGATTTAAGAAACTAAAGAATTAACAAAAAATAAAAGAAAATTTTGCAAAAGAAAAAATAGAAAAATTGTAGAAAAAAATTAAAGGACGTAGAAAATAGCGAAAAGTAGGAATTAAGATTTGAAAAAAATTTTAATAATAAACTATTTAAAAAAATAAAAACTGCAGTTAATATTTAAATAACATACATATAGAAAATGGCTACAAATTGCAGAAAGAAATTAAAAATTACTGGAAATAGAAAATTATAGAAAGAAATTTAAAACTGTAAATAAAAATCAAAAAACGTAGACGAAATTCAAAATTGAGGCCTTGGATCCAATAACTCGCCCGACGCTCGAAGACACGCGCTAATACCAGTCGGGTAGCAGTGAGTGGCCCAGAGGCGCTCACTGCTCACTGACTGGCAGTTGCGCGTTCCTCCGAGCGTCGGGCGAGTTATTGGATCCAAGGCCTCAATTAAATTAATTAAACTATTAACCTTCATGATATTAATTTGATTTCGCAGATCCTCGATATCCTCCTTGACAACGTCCTGATTAGCCAGTTTATCCTCAACATCGCTGATCCACAGAAGTAATTTCGTGAGTTGTTCGTCACACAATTTGTATTTTTCCTCAACCGCTTGCTACAATAAATCGCAATTAAAAATACAATTTAGTAAAATAATTCTTCAAAAATTTCAAAAAGATAAAAAAAATAAAGATAAATTTCCACCATCTTACCAATGGAAGAGCTACAATTTTTTTTTTTTTTTTATGAAGAGAAAAAGAAAATAATTTTATATAGTAAGGCATACCTCATACATGCAAGCACAAACACACGAAAAAATAAATAAAAACGATGTCGTAAAATATAAAATTATACAATAAAATGATATCAGTATAGCTTTAATTTATCTGCAAGGACTGCACAATCATGTATGTGTTTTTTCATATGCAGTCAAAAAGCATAAACAAAAAACATACAAATTTATGTTTTTATAATATATATAAAAATATAGAAACGCTGTATAGAAGCCACTTGTATTTTTTTTTTTTGCAAAGGACTTCATTTCACAAGCAAATAAATTAAAACGCACAATCGTGATGGAAGTGACGACGATGATTAACTTTTTTTTTCATTCTTATAAATGGGAGAAATGTAAAGTATCTGTTTTTTTGTAAATAATATATAGAAGTCTTGTAGAAATATTTTTGTTTTTAAATCATAATAACGAAAATACCTGAAAACATAAAAAAGTTTACACACACAATTAATAAGAAAACATAAGAAAGTATTAAGACAATTGGATTGAAAAAGTAATTGAGAAACAATATCATTAGCAAACATCTGTTAAAAAAAGGTAATAGAGACAAATAATTGTTACAGTATAACGAAGTTGTAAAGTTAATAATTCGATTTAAAAATTCTTTTAAATTGAATATTATGTTTTATTAACAACGTTAAGGACTCGTTAGATATTAAAATGTTGACAAATGAAAAATTCCGTTGATTTCATTTCCCGAATTTGTTTTCAATTTCAAAATTATTAACATTCAATTTTTTTTTAAATGTAATTTATCATTTTCAATTAGAAAATTTATTCGAATTCAATTTTTCATCTAATTCAATTCTGTTCTATTTTATTTATTCAACATTTCAACCTAATAAATTCTATATTTCTATTTAAATCTTTTTTAATTTCATTCCATTCAATTCTAATTTAAACATTTATTTTTTAACTTTAATCTATTCTATTTTTAGTGACATTTAATTTATTATTTTTCTTCACTTTTTATTTTCTATTTTTAAATTTAATTTTTAATTTTTAATGTCTATCTTAATTTTTTTCTCAGTATTTTCATAATTTATTTCACAATTTTTAAGAACAATATTCTTTTTTTTCACATTCAAACTTTTAATTTTTTTGTTAAATAATTTATTAACAAATAAAAATTTAATAATTGACAAATTTATTCATCTATAAAAGGCAAAATTTTTCATTCAACTCTCTCCAAAGATTTTTCAAATCAAAATAAAGAAGAAATTTCGTAATTAACCCTCTCAAAAAGATGAATAAGGAAGAAAAATAAAAAAAGTAAAATAAGAAATGAAATTTTTTCAGGCAATTAGAAATAGGAATTATTTGAAAAAACTGAAATTTCCCAAATCAAACCATGCAAAAATGAAAAATGATAAAATGCATTTGATCACTAGAGTAAAACAATTCTCTAGATAATACTTTTGTAATAAAAAAATTAATTTTCAAAATGATTACCTATTTTCCTTAAATTTTTACGAAGACTAATTTGGCCTTTGATTATAAACGATCGAAAAAAAATTGAATACGGAATAAAAATGATACAAATTATTATTATTGTTATTATTAGATAATAATGATAATAACAATAATAAAAAAATAAAACTAATAATAATAATAATAATAATAATAATAATAATAATAATAATAATAATAATAATAAAATAATCACAATAATATTAATAATATTAATAGTTTCGTGAATAATTCCGGGAAAATTCAAATTAATAATAATAAAATGAAAAAAATATTATTAATTATTATAATTTATTAATTAGAATTATTATTGTAATTATAATTTATTGGTTACTATTATTATTGATAATAATAAATTAATAATTTCAACATTTAAAAATTTTTCTCAACTAAAATCGTCAACAAAAAAATCATCCTTAACATAGTTATTAAAACATAATATTAGATTACAATATTTATCAAAAGAAACTTAAAATTAGAAAATTATATAAAAAAATCCTTGAAAGAAAGGGCTTTTAACTAATAAATTAATACTACATAAATATATAAACTTATCAAATAAATAAAAAAAAGGCCGAATTAGCATTGCTGATGCGATAAAAAACGATTTTTTGATTCATGAATTTAGTAGAAAAAAAATGGAAAAAAAATACATAAGCGATGTTGAAGAAATATTTTTTTTTGTTATGACGTGTGCGGTGCGTTTTATTTTGTGGCCGTAGATTTTGTCGGCCAAACTACGCCACGGCACAACACGAGCAGTTAGTGTCAGTAGAAGTTGATCATTATAGCCCCCATACGTTAAATGATAATAAGCACGGAGATGTAAGTGTTGTGTGACATGGGAACACTGTAAAAACGAGACAAAACATCATAAGCCAGCATTCGTTTTGATTAAAAATAAAATATGTTGTTTTTTATTTAGAAAAAAAATTAAATAATTATTTTTAAAAATCTAAAAAGAAGATTGAAGAATATTTCTAATCTATTTGTGCAAAGGGAATTTCTATTTTTTTATTTCATTCCATGTGAAAGGGAATTAAATATGCAAAATTTAACAATATGCAATAATGAAGAATTATAAAAATAATACTAAACAATATGCAATAATTAAATAATTAGTTTGAATAAGAAGGGTAATTAAGGTTCTTTTATAATATTACACAAAAAAGATTTCGATAATATTCTAATATTGAAAATAAAAATAAAATATTGAAATTAAAAACTTTATGAAAATAAAAAATTAAATATATTTAAATTTATTAATTTATATTTATTCTACACTCTACCCATTATTATTAATAATAATTTTAATATTTAATTTTCCACTTAATTAACATTAATATAATAACTAATTAGCGACACGCTGCGAAGAAACCTAAGAATTTAATAACAGATTCTTAGGTTCCTGCCTTTGGAGCGCGTCACATTTATTAATGTTAACATTTCAGTTAATTTTTTCACATTAATATCATAATTAATTCATTAATGTTAATTCAGTATTTATTTACTTTGTATAACTTTTGATTCTTTTACTTTTTGATGGATAAATTTTTTTTCAAATTAGGTCAATATTTATAATTTTGAATTTTGAATTATATTAATCAATTAATAATCTCTTTCATTATTTTACATATGGATTTATTTCAGATTTGAAATTTTTGCTTTATTATAATTTTTTTTTATCAAATCGTCCCCAGGCTGAGATTAAAAATAATGCATGAGAAAATTACAAAAACGCATTCTCTTTGATTAAAAAACTCCTTGTCCACAAATATTCTTATTTTATAATTTTCAAATTCATTTGTTTACAAAATTCAATTTCAAGAAATTTCAATTATTCGCTATTTCTTCAGTTAAATATATATAAGAAAATAAAAACTTCAAATAATATGAACAAATTCAATTAAACTTTTTCAAAAAAATCAATTTCAAAATTTAATTATTTCTAAAAATTCACGTTATATTGCTTTTAATATTCAACTAGCATAAGATACGCGCGCAAGCGCGCGTGCATGTTCTAAATGCATTGTTGAATAATACACTTTTTTAATTATTTATATTTTTAACAATAAATGAACTTTACAGATTTAAAATTGAATTTTTTTTGAATAATTTAATTTTTGAAAAGCTATAAGGAACCGCAGAACTGCGATACACCATCTGGTGACAAAATATTTAACTAACGCAACGGGGTCGAATTTGACATTTTATATGGAATAATAGCAAAAAAGGACGCGCGCGAGCGCGCGTGCATTTTTATTTCAACGTTTTATTTAAAATAATTAAAATTTTATTTTTTTAAATGAATTTTAATTATTATGACATCATAATGTTTCAAATACATTTAAATAGTAATTTATTCAATTAAATGTAAACTCTTAATTATTTATTAACTGAATTGACGAAAATCAAAGTCAATTTTTGTTAAGGCATTAATAAGGAAGAATTACAAATTTTAGTTTGATTTTTTAATTTATTTTTATGCAAATGCGAGAAAAAAAAAACTGAAACAGTAAAACTTTGATTTTTAATCGTTTTTGCATTAAAAGATAACATAAAAATAAATTAAAAAATCTAACAAAAATATGTAATTCTTCCTTATTAATGCCCTATCAAAAATTGACTTTGATTTTTGATTTTCGTCAATTTAATTAATAAATAATTAAGTGTTTACATTTACCCCGAGAATTCGAAAACTCGAATTCTTATTCAGAAAAATAAAAAAAACTTTTTACCAAGTTGAATGAAAATCTATTAAAATTTGTTTAAGTTATTCAAGTTTTTACATTACTAATTTCGTAATGGTTGATTGTTTTTTATAAGATACATTATCAGTCAACTGGTTGATTTACTATACGTCTACGAATAATTTGTTTTCAGTTTTTCCATCCCTTAAGACAGTAGTACACTGTAAAAAATTTCGGAAATTTTTCCAAACTTTTGCATGGGAATTTTCCTAAAACGTGTTTAGAAAAAATTTTTTCCCAAAAAAATGGTAATTTTTCTGAGTGTTTGGAAATTTTTCGATACGAATTGAAATTTTTCTAAATTCTGTTGGGAAAGGGATTTTTCTAAACGTTTTAAGGAATATTTACAAATTTTTAGGAATTTTCCTAAATCTTTAAAGGAATTTTTCCAAATTGTGGGAAATTTTTATACTTTTTATGTGAATTTGCTTCCTCAATTTTTTTGGGAAAATTTCCAAAATTTTTTTTACAGTGTATGCTTGAAATAACTTGTTTCTTAAACCTCGCTTAACTACAGAGGTGTTTACATTTGCCCCGAATTTTAGGAAAATTTCAACATCTCGGGGTAAATGTAAACATTCAGTTTTAGGCGATTCAGGTGCATCAATATTTTTTTGTACCTCATAAAATTTTTCTAGGGAAGTAAAGTAACAAGTTCATGCAAAAGAAATCCGTCCGTTTTACCTTTTAACAAAAAAAAACTAACGTTTTTTGTGAAAAATAGATATTCCGTTTACATTATTACCCCAAATGACCCTATTCCTTTAAAGAATTTTATTAATATTTGAAAATAATTAAATTTACGTAAATAATTTTATTGATTTTCAAAGTTTATTGAATTCCTGGAAAGAATTTTATTAATATTTGAAAATAATTGAATTCCTGTGAAGAATTTTATTAATTTTAGAAAATAATTGTATTTTTGTGAGGAATTTTATTAATTGTTGAAAATAATTGAATTCTTTCCAGGAAATTTATTATATTTGTGAAAATGTAATTGAATTCTTGAATAAAAAAAATTAGTAAAATCTTCACAGAAATTCAATTAATTGTAAAAATAAAAAAATGAATAAATAAATAATTATAGAAATTTTTTCGAAATATTTCAATTATTTTCTAAAATTAGTAAAATTATTCGTAAGAATTAAATTATTTGCTCAAAATTCAATTATTTTTCTAAAATCTGTAAAATTATTCTAAAATATTTGCAAGAATTCAATGATTTTGAATACATTAATTTTAAAATTATAAAAATATTGAAAAAGAAAAATGAATTGTTTTATGTTTTCATACAATTTTTCGAAATAATCAAATTTTTTTCTAAAATTTTAAAGTAATTTTTTTTTGCAAAAGTTCGCAATATTTTTTAATAAAATTTTAATATAATTTCATGAATGAATTCAATTTTTTTAAAAACTTTTATAATATTTCTCGAAAGAAATAGAATTATTTTTTACAATTTCAATAAATCCTTCAAAACAATTCAATTTTTTAAAATTTTTAATAAAATTCATTCAAATAACTCAATTACTTTCGAAAATTAATAAAATTCTTCTCAGGAATTCAGTTATTTTCAAAATACAGTTTTAGTAAACTTGTGAATGATCAAATATTTAATTATAATTATTACCTGACACAATAATTTTAAAAAGTTGAAAAAAATTGTTTCTTTAATTCATTTATTTTGAAAATTTTCATTTAAAATTATTTTAGAAAAATTACATTTTTTTTATAAAAGATTTTATAGAGATTCTCCAAAAAAATGTAATTATTTAGAAAAATTCTAATAAAATTATATAAAAGAATTTAATTTTCAATGAATAATTTTAATAAAAGTTTAATTGTAAATTGATTATACTCAATAAATAAAGGAATTTTTTGTTAGAATTCAATTACTTTAATTGTTTTCCAATTATTTTAATGAAATTCCTTGAAAGAAATTGTTAATAAATTTTAATCACTTTAAAAAATTCCAATTAAAATTATTAAAGAAATTCAATTATTCAAAAAAAAAAAAAAAAAAAAAAAAAAAAATTGAAAATAATTCTTCAAAGAAATTTAATTAGGGTTTTAAACATTTTTTTAATTTTAATTTAATAATTCTTTGCGAGAATTTAATTACTGAATAATAAAATTTTTTGAAGGAATTGAATTATTCTGAAATTTTTTGCAAGAATTCAATGATTTTCAATACATTAATTTTAATGGAAATAATAAAAAATATTGAAAAAGAAAATAATTAAAAAAGTTGGGAAACAAAAAAGTAACTAACAACCAACTTCATACTGCGAACAGAACGAATGAAAAACCACAGAGATTAATATAGTTAATTAATTATTATTTAAAATTTTAACTGAAATTCATTTTTAAATCAATTTTTATTAGAAAATTCTACTAGAATTCAATTATTTAAATACAAAAATAAATAATTTATTGAATAATTGAATGTTTCTTAAAATTCAGTCCCCATAAGGAATATTATCAACAAATTTTTAAATAATTGAATTTTTTCGACGAATTTTAATAAAATTTTTAAGAATAATTACATTTTTCGAGAAATTTGATTAAAATTGTATTAAAAATAATTGAAATTCTGTGATAAGTTTTATTATTTATGAAAATAATTGAATCCCTAAGAAGAATTTTATTATTTTTGAACAATATTTAATTTTTGCGAAGAATATTATTACTCTTGAAAATAATTGAATTTCTGCAATAATTTGTAACTTTTACAAAATTAAATTTTTTTTCGTGTTTAACTAAAAATCTTCCATAAATTCATTATTTTTAATAATTTTTAAAAAAGTTCTTCGAGAATTTGCAAATTCATTTGTTTACAATTCAATTTTACAAAATGTTAATTATTTGTAAATTCTTTAATTAAATATATATTAGAAAATAGAAACTTCAAATAATTTAAAAAAAAAATCCGCAATTAAACTTTCTCAAAAAAATGAATTCTATAAAATTGTTAGTTAAAAATATGAAAAATTTAGATTTTCAAAGATTTTAATTTGAAAATTCACACTCTAATGCTTTAAATATTCAATTATATTGTAAAATTTACTGGAATCCATTTTTAAATCAATTTCTATTAGAAAATTCTACCAGAATTTAATTATTTAAATACAAAAGAAAACAATTTATTTATTTGCATGTTTCTTAAAATTGAATTCTCATAAATAATTTTATCAACAAATTTTTAAATAGGTAAAAAAATTCTTTTGACGAATTTCAATAAAATTTTTAACAATAATTTCATTTTTCCAGAAATTTGATTAAAATTTTATTAAAAATAATTGAATCTCAGTAAAAATTTTGATTGAATTGAGAAAATTTTTTGAAAATGTAATTGAAATTTTGCCAAGAATTTTATTAAAATTTTTGAAAATAATTGAATTTAGGAGAAAAATTTTATTATTTATAAAGATAATTGAAATTATGACGATAATTTTTTTAAAACTTTTGACTATAATTGAATTTCTACGAAGAATTTTATTACTTTTGAAAATAATTGAATTCTTGAGACGAATTTTAATAATATTTCTTTTTAAATAATTGAATTTTTTTGTGAAATTTTATTGAAATATTAGACATTGAAAATAATTGAATTTTGATAAATTATTGAAATAAATTAAATTTCTACGAAGAATTTCATTATAAATTATTTTGAAAATAAAATTGAATTGTTAAAAAGAATTTCATTAAAATTTTTGAAAATAATTTAATTCTTTCAAGAAATTTAATTAAAAATATATTGACAATAATACATAAATTCTAATAAATAAATTATAGGAAGGCTTTTTAAAATAATTTAATTCCTTTGATGAATTTTAATAAATTTTTTAAGAATAATTACATTTTTCGTGAAATTCCATTAAAATTGCATTAAAAATAATTGAACTTCTGCGATGAATTTTATTATTTATGAAAATAATTGAAAACCTATAAAGTTTTTTTTATTATTTTTGAAAATAATTGAATCTCTGTAATTTTGATTATTTATGAAAATAATTGATTTATTGCGAAGAAATTGCTAAAAAATTTGTAAATAATTGAATTCCTGTAAAATTTTTATTATTTTATGAAAATAATTAAATGTTTACGTAGAATTTTATTAAAATTTTTCTAAATAACTGAATTCTTTTGGAAAATTTTATTAAAATAGTAAATGTTAAAAATCATTGAATTGGGGAAAATTTTGTAAAATTATTGAAATTTTGCCAAGAATTTCTATTAAATTTTTTGAAAATAATTGAATTTCGGAGAAGAATTTAATTATTTCTAAAGATAGATAATTGAAATTTTGACGAGAATTTTTTTTTAAATTTTGAACATAATTGAATTTCTGCAAAGAATTTTATTACTTTTGAACTTTTTTACTTTTCCCTTTTCATTAAAATAAAATCAGAAATGAATCCAAATAGTCGAAAACGAGAAACGAAACAAATGTAGATTATGAAGTGATTAATATCAGCGGTCCATGCTGCGGGACCATGCCAAAAAAGCCTCCAAAAGAAGAAAAAAAAAGATCACCAAAAGTAGATCAGCAATAAAAAAAAAAAAAACTTAAAACGCAAAGAAAAATGGGTTTCATTTAGAGCCAAAATTTGAAACTTTTCCAATCCCAAATAGCAAGCTTCTTATGACAAAAAAAGAATGATGACCATGAGTTAAGAAACATAAATAAAATACATGACTTACCCGAGCTTCTGCTGCGAGTATAAATCCGTGCTCCATTCCCTTGATGAAATCCAAACCTTCGCCATGATCCGAATTATCAAAAATCTTTCCCCCAATTGGATCGACCTTCCCCTCATTAATTGCCTCTAACAAACTCAAAATATCACCACTAACTGGATCCTTAATCACGGTTGTACTCGGATCAATCAAAAGTGAATCTATCGCCTCTGTCAATGTCAAACGTTGACCATCGACACTATTCGCGAATGGATCGGAAAATCTACCACTCTCCGGATCGTAGAGACCGTATTGTAATGTTTCGATAAACGAAATTCCCTGCTTTTGGGTTACTAACAGATCGAGATCAATTGCCTTCGATAGGGTGTACAATCGGGATGTTGACGTGTCAAGGACATTTCCCTTCTCGGCGTCCATCATTCCCTTGCGGAATGCTTCGGGAAGTTTTACTAGTTTCTTCTTCTCGGTGTCTTTGATTAGCGCCGAATCGGGATCGATTGCTCCGGTAGTGATCGCCTCTTTTAGGCTCAAGACTGCCTTTGTTCTGGGATCGGTAAATTTACCGGTTTCAAGAACCAAGTGACCATTGTCAATGGCGGTGGGGAATGAGATCGGTTTGTTGAGGAATATGACAAATTTCTCGAATTTCAGACAGTGGGGTTGTTCTTCGATTGGGATGGTTCCCTTCACCGTGGGATCGATTAGATGATTTAGGGCCGCACTGACAGGAATGTATCTTCCACTCTTGGGATCCTTCACGAACGATGTGTTTGGATCGATAAGTTTGTCCCTAATCGCTTCGCTTAGGGTACACTCCCTTGGTCTTTCGATTTTCTGCTGATCGTCCATTTTCGGGTGTTCTACACTCACAAGAAGACCTCTTTCCAAAGCGATGTCGTACCTGTAAGTTCGGTTCGTCTTACGGTCGAGGACACTACCGGTCGTGATGTCGATTGTCTGATCTTGAATTCCTTCCAAAAGGGTCTTTAGTTGTCCGGTTGTTGCGTCCTTCAATGCCGTTGTTTCGGGATCGATTAGACCACTTTCTAGGGCTTCGGACAAATTGTAGATTTTGTTGGTCAACGGATCGGTGAATTTGCCGGCGGAATAGATGTGACACTTGATGGCTTCCTCTAGGGAGAGGGGTTTTCGGTAGGGGACGATTAGACCCTTCTTTCGGGCTTCTTGAAGATTTAGCACTTGGGGAGAATTTGGAATTTGGTAGGTTCCGCGGATGTTGTCCACTAGACCGGTGGCGATGGCGTCCACCAAGAAAATGTATTGATTGGTTTTGGAATTCTTGACGATTGACGTTTGGGGATTGATCATCTCTTGGCACGCTTCGGAGAGTAGTAATTTTTTGTTTGACGACGGATGGATGAATTTGCCGTTCGATGGATCGTACATGTTCATTAGAAGAGCGTCGTAGAGGGTGAAATTTGTCGATTCGATGTCTATGATGAGGGACGTTTGCAAGGCGGTAGTTAGCGATAGAGTGCGATTGTTGGTCGGGTCTTTGAAAGTACCGGCACGGCGATCGATCACGCCGGCTCGGCACGTTTCAGCTAATGACAAAACTCGCTCCGTTCGCTTGTCGTAATAGCAAGCGAGGACTGGATTGATGATACACTTTCTCATCGCTTCGTGTAGTGTTAAACTCCGACCGGTGCTGGGATCGATTATCTTGCCTGTTTTCTCATCGTACAAACCTTGATGAATTGCTCTCTGCAACGAAACGGCGGCTTTTTTGTCAATGATAATGCCCGTGTGATAAGCTTCGACGAGACTAATTTCCATTTCTTCGGGATTTTTCACTTTGCCCGTTCTTCCATCAATGTAGCCGGTTTCGATTGCCTCCATCAAGGAGATCTTCCTCCACACTTCGGCACGCGTGTCCTTGACAATCACCGAATCAGCGTCGATCAAATTGTTCCGTATTGTTTCGATCAATGTCAAGTGATGTCCACTCTGTGGATCAAGGAAAGTTCCACTCTCATCCAAAATCCCTTTGAAAATCGCTTCACTAAAACTCATTGGTCTTCGGGTCTCTAGGAGAATTCCCTGCTCGAAAGCCTCATGGAAATCTATCGGATGACCCCGACTGTTGGTAACGGTGCCCGCTTTTGGATCGACAATCGATTCCTTAATGGCTTTTCGGAATGTGATAACTTCACCGTCACCGTCTCTAACGATCGCCGAAGCTGGATCTAGAACACCTTTCTGTATCGCTCGATCCGTGGGTAATTTCTCCTGTGTCTCCGGACTGGTGAATTGACCAGTCTTTGGATCGTAGAATCCTTTAAATACAGCTTCGGGTAGTGAGATTTTGCGTTTTGCCGGTACGACTAGTCCTCGATCTAGAGCGTCTGTTAAACTTAACGGAATACCGGAAATTGGATCTAGAGCTGTGCCACTCTTGGGATCGATGACACCATGTTTGATTGCGTCGTTGAGCGAAATTATGTTACCACTTCTTGGATCTTTTACTGAAGGACTGTCGGGAGTGATGATGCCTCTTGCTATCGCTTCCTCGAGTGTGAATCGATCGCCATCGATTATTAATCTTCCGGTCTGGGCGTCGTAACACTGGTGTGCCAGCGCCTCCTGTAGCGTCCAGGGTTTCACCGTACTTAGTATGTAGCCCTTTTCAAAAGCCACGTCCAGCGTCATTGAATGGGGATACAACAGGATACCCTTTTTCAAGTCCAGAATATCCAGTTCCTGTGCCTCTTGAATCGAAACAGCTTTGTCCTGTTTTTCGTCCTTTATTTTTACCATTCTTCCATCGACGAATCCTGACGAGAGGGCTTTCGCGACCGTCAATTCGTCGCCTGTGGCAGGATTCAGAATGAGACCGGTTTTTGGTGAATAGTATTCTTGAACGATTGTGTCGATAAGTGATGGAATGAAAGGCGTAGTAATGATTAGACCCTGATTAAGAGCTTTGTTTAGAGGTAGCAAAGTTCCGTTCTTGGTGTCACGTAATCTTCCCGTAAGGGGGATGATCAATTTAACGGTCAAGGCGTCGTCCAAAGAGAGGAAGGAACCCGCTTTTGTGTCTTTGCATTCAGTGATAAAGGCGTCGACAATTCCTCTACGAACCCCTTCCTCAATGTCGATAAATTGATTCGCGAATTTGTCGAGAATTTTACCAGTCTCTGGTTCATAGAGACCGAGATTGATGACAGCTTCTAGGGAAATTGGCTTTCGCTGTCTCGGCACTAAGAGTCCCATCGACATTCCGGTATTTAATTCGGTCTCCATTTTCGTTTCACTATTCACAATAGTTTCTCTGGTGAGGTCAACAATTCCCAAGTCAATTGCTTCGGTTAGGGGGATTATCTCATCGGTTAGAGGATTTCTCACACTGATTGAATCGGGATCAATCAGATCGTTCCTGATCGCATTGGCCAAAGACAAAGTATTTCCGGAATTATCGTAAACGTCGCCAGTGATTGGATTACAGCCGCCACTTTCGATGATTTCTTCAAGTGACAAAAGTTCGCTGCTGGTTTCTGTGGGATTTTCCGCAATCCATCCAAGACGAACTGCTTCGAAGAAGGGGATCTTTTTGCCACTTTTCGGATCAACCATGTAGCCAATATTGCGATCAAGCAATGGTCTTTCGATTGCCTTTCGAAGTGAGAGGAACTTATCCCCCTTGCTGGTTATATCCCTAACTTGCACATTATCCGGATCGAATATTTCCAAGGATAATACAAATTCATTGAAAGAGACCAAATTGCCCGTGGAGGGATCCGCGAATCTCTCGGCTTCCAAATTGTACGCTCCTAATTCGGCCAAGTTCTCTGGTGTAAGTTCCTTGGTGACTCGAATTCTCAAACTCTTGTCTTCCAGTAATTCCACTTTTGTTTTGGAGAAAATTTCTATCGAGTCCGTTAAACTGATTTCGTGTTGTTCTAGACCGGTGTGAATTGTCGTTTCCGGTAGTTCCTTTCCTCGAATGAAAATACGACACGTTCTCGGATCGATTCGTTCGTTTTCGATAGCCTCCTGAACTGTCGTGACTATCGTCGACTCCATTGCTTCATCTAGGTCTTCAGACTCTGTTGATGTCGATAAGTTGTCTGTTAAGTTTTTAGCTGATGTTTTACCCTGCGGATCTACTTTATCCAAAGACGGTAAATCTTTCTTATAGACTTTTCTACTTTCTGGAATTTCCTTTTCTGAACTAGACCTCTTGGAGTCTTTTGGACTTTCTCGCTTAGGAATCATTGCTGAACTTTTATCCCCCTTGTTGGTTTTATCCCTGACAGCGTCAATTACTGCCTTGCCGGCTAAAATAGGTGCGGCGACAACGGCCAAAAGACCTAGTTTTGCAGCATCTGCAACAGACATCGAACTACCGCTGCTAACTTTCATTTTTCCTGTTTTTGGATCGAGTAGACCTTTCTCTATCGCCTGTTTGGTGGTAACAGCTTCAGCCGATTTCACATCGTAAACGACCGAATCTGGCTCAATCAGACCGACCTGAATCGCTTCTGAAAGATTGTAGTCCTTCTTACTGACGGGATCGTGGAACTTTTCCGCCTTTTCGTCATAAATTTGTTCAAAAGCCTCTAAAACTGTTAGGGGACCTGAGATGATTTTCTCATGCGGTAGTGCGGTCTCCAGTTTTCCAGTCTCAATGGCTTTTGCGATTGGTATCACTTTTCCAGAGTCGGGATCTGTAAATACCCCGGTTTCAAGATTTACTAATCCTTGTTCAACGGCGTCAGTAAATGTCACTACTGTATCTTCGGTTTCTTTCGACTTACGAACGATTCCTTTCTTCTTGGCCTCGTCTAATGGAAGGATTTTTCCAGTACTGAGGTCCTGCACTTCTGTGGGACTAACTAGAGCAAAGTTTGGCGCTATTTGAACAGTTTCGGACGTTTTTGAATGGTACGAGGTTATTGTTTCCGTGACCGCTTTTATCGTTCCGATATTTTCAGTTTGGGGTTTAATGACCAAAACACCGGATTCAATGGCGTCGGTAACAGGTAATTGTTCTCCTGTTTTTGGATGTTGGAACACTCCTTTATCGATGAGAGAGGAGTCGAGGGCGTTATTAACTTCGGTGCTGTCTGGTGCCTCAGGGAAAGGAACGGTCATGATAAAGTCGGTGTTAATCGCCTCCTCGAGGGTCAATCGTTCACCGGTTACAGGATGAATGACTTCTTTTTTCTTCATGTCGATGAGACCGCGATTTAAGGCAACTGGGAACGTCATACCGATTGGAGGAATTTCGGATAAATTCCTCCTCGAATCGTTGGTATCGAACACTTTAGCTTCGATGGCTTTAATTAAGGTCATGTCGCCATTCTCTGTCTTCACTACCGAATTCACGGGGTCAATCACATTGCTTACGATAGCATTCTCAATCGTTAGTTTCTCTCCCCTAGGATTGACAATTTTAGAGTTTGGATCCAGAATTTCGCAAACTATCGCATCCGTCATTTTTAGAGTCATTCCAGTTTCAGGATGAATTATTTCCCCTTGAGGGTCGATGAGACCTTGTTTGTATAAATCCGGAATGGAGATACTTTTAGCTATCGGGACGAACATATCACCACTCTCTGAATCTAGAATCCCTCGCTTGAAAGCTTCCTTTATTGTTAAAGCTTCTCCGGTCTGTGGATCGACAATCTTTCCTCGATTCGCATCAATTTTTTCACTTTTGATAGCCTCTAGCAGTGTTAACGGTTCGCCATCATCACCGGAGAGTTTTGTTTCCAATACTTTCGCGGTCTCCCTATCCATTAAACCGGACTCGGATGCTTCCTTCGGTCTGATGATCTTCTTCCTCATCTTTTGGAGAACAATTGGTTTCGCCTCGTCTTCAGAAATTGCTCTCCCGATCGTGACTTTGAATTTCGGTTCGGTTGTCACTCGGGCTCTTGTTTTCTCTCCTAATGATAGAGGCACTTCGGGTTTCACTAGACCTCTTTCGATGGCAACTTCGCGAGGGATCTTCTCGCCTGTTCTTGGGTCCTCGATCATGGCTTTCTTGACCGCTTCGACAGCAGCTGCTGCCGCTACTAAAGGAGCGCCTAAAACGGCAACGAGACCCAACTTTGTAGCGTCCGCGAGTGACATTCCTTTGCCATTCTTACCCTTATATTTTCCCTGATCGGAATCTAGGATCCCTTGTCTAATTGCCTCTTTAACGGGTATTTCTTCACCAGATCGTGGATCTTTAATGACGACGAATTCCGGTTGTAAGGCTCCATCGTTGACAGCAGTTAAAATATCGGCAGACTTTCCCGATTCGGTGAATATTACCAATGCTGTCGAAGGATCGTAAATTACTCCCGGTTTTATCTGCACTGGGTCTAGGAGATTTCGCTCCTCCGATACGTTGACTATCGCACTCTTCGTCGGATCATCAATTGTCGATATTTCCACTTTGTCCGGTTCGCCCGTAACTTTGGTTATTTGCAGCAATCTCGGGGAGGAACATTCGACCTCGACAATTCTATTCTCAAGAATAACGCACTCCCTGTTAATGGCTTCCTTGAGTGTTATTTTCGCCGGATTGTACCGACCTTTTGAATCTAAAACCCCTTGTTCCAGACTCTTCAGGAGAGAAATAGTTCCACGATTGTTGGGATCGATCACAATTGCAGAATTAGAATTGATAATTCCCAATTTCACGCACTCTTGGAATGGAACGAGTCTATCTGTACCGGGAATCATGCACATACCTGTTTCTGGGTCAAGGAGTTTTCTCTCAATTACTTCGGCTAACATCCAACCACCTGGTGGTAATTCAAAAGCTTCCTGTTGGATTAATTTCGTCTCCTTTTCGGCACTTGAGTCTTCCCGTTTTGGGTCGTATTCAGTTTCTCTAATTTCTAGAACCGTTTTGTAGACTCCACTTGAAGCTGAGGGAGAAATAGACACTGACGTCTCGGAAATTATGGAAGATTCACGATTTGGAGAAACGATATCGCGGGTGATGATTGTCGTAGTCGTTCCAATGGCCCTTGGCGATGAATCGATTATCGTTTCGAATGTTACCTGTTTCGGTTCCTTTGTTCTCTTGTCCTCGCCGAGTAAATTTTGGCTAATTGCCTCCTGTACGCTCATCACTCGACCAGTGTCAGGATCGCGGAATTCGTCCGTTTGTTGATTAACGAGATTCCTTGCGACGGCTTCCGAGTATGAGAATTTATAGTCCCTTGTGATTTTCTCGCCAGTTTCGGTGACGGTGACGTATTTTTTAACCGTCTTGGTCATTGTTTGGGAAGTGACGGTAATGTTCATTAGACTGGCTAATAAGGCAGCTCCATCGGGCGTGATTAGACCGCGTCTAATGGCTTCTTTTAAAGGCACAATTTTTTTGCTACGAGGATCGAGTAATTGACCCGTTTTTGGATCGAGAAGTTCTAGTAAAACTGCCTCTATGACACTTACTTCGCGTCCGTTTTCCGTGACACCGATTCCTCGATTTAGCATCTCCATAACTTCGGGTCGAGCGTGTCCCTCGTCTATTGCTTCGTTTAACAGTAAAGTCTTTCCGCTTTTTAAGTCCGTCACAAATGATCCACCGGCTTTTGGACTCACAAGTCCTTTTAATAGAGCCGTATTCAAACTGATCCATTCCCCAGATACCGGATCCTTAAAACCTTCGATATCGAATATCGACTTTTGCGCAACGGAGATTATGAGCCCTCTATCGACGGCGTCTGGAATTGAAATCAGCTCTTCTTTACCATCCTTGTATTTACCATCCGGTAGGATTATTCCACCAGCCAACGCTTCGTCTAGAGTAACTTTCTCGTCGGTCCTATCGTCCGTTATCGATTTAATCCTGTCGGAATCTAAAACCCCGCGGGTGATTGCTTCTATAATTCCTAGTTTTGTCTGACGGGCGGGACTGGCAATTTTTCCAGTCTCATCAATAATCTCGAGATCGCAGCAATCTTTCAGAGTTAGGGGTTTAACGATCATTGATCTCCTCCTTGCTTCTTTGAAAGTTAATTTCTCCATTGACTTTTCGTCGAGATATTTGCCTGATTTTGGATTTAGTAGACCTTGATCGATCGCTTGCGCAACCGTAATTTTTGTGTCGTTCCGCGTGTCGACAACTTCCCTCACTTCTGGATCGATGATTCCGATGGCTATTGCCTCGTCTAGGAGATGTGTATCGCCGGTGTTTCTGTCCATAATTCGCCCTTGCCTATCGTCAACCAACCCGTGAGAAATTGCATCGGATAACGCGAGGGAGCCCTGACTGATATTCACATCTGTACTTATTCGCGTCAAATAACCGCGGGAATACGCTTCGGCGATGGAAATTCTTTCGCCACTCGCGGTTATAAAATGCCCCGTTTCTGGATCTAATAAACCCGTGTTCATCGCATCAGCAACGCTAATTCCACCTGTTGATTGATAATTTACCTTGACACGATCGTCTCCTCTTTCGGCGTCGAGAATTTCACGTTGTATCGCCTCGAGAAGTGAAATACGACGACCGTCGTCGGTGATTCCGCATGGTCCTAATAAACGTTTCGCGAGATCGTCATCGATAATATTTAAATTCGCAGCCTCCTTGATGGTGACACTTGTCTTGCCATCGATTGAGGTTGATATACGACCGTTTCGAACGTCGAGAATTCGAAGATTAATTGCCTCGCCGACGGAAATTATTTCCTTTGTCACGGGATGAACGATACCCTTTATTTCCATGAAATTTTCACTAGTCCCCTCGGATTTGTGAATCTTGTTGAGACTCCTAATTTCACTAAATTGCTTACTACTAGTGGAACAATTAGCTCGCGATGCATCGACCTCGGATGGCGATTTGATTGTCTCGCCGTTTGTTCGATCGTACGGCCTTTTGAGAGGCGACGACGACGACGATTCCCTCGATGACACATGTTGATACTCACTCGAATATGTCGTTGCTGTTGATTCATGTCGTTCATATCTAAATTCGTGAGGAAAATTCGAAATTGTTATCGATATCTCTCAGCGGGGAAATATATGTTTATAATCCTAATTTTACTTTTCAGATGATTTCAAAGTATTAAATTATTATTAAGTGAAAAATTTAATTAATTAATTTATTAATTAATTTTTTATTAATTATTATTCAATAGATGAATTTAGAACGAAACAAAATTTTTGAATAATTTCCTTCTGGTTCAGGGTTCAAATATAAGAAATTTCATTGAAATAGTAATTTCAGTTCTTTTTAAATTTGAAACGATATTTCAATTCAGATTACGTTTGAAAATTGCAAATGAAATAAAATCCAATTCCTATTTGAATCTGAAACGAAATTTCGACTACTAACTTCGTAAGAAAATACAAAAGGAACTTAAAATTAAGTTCCATTTCATTATAAACAACAAACGAAATTCTATTCTCTTTGAAAACTGAAGCTGAAAAAAAGCTTAAAAATTCAAACTAAAATTTTCAAATAAATCAAATTTATTATAATCGGAAAAAATTGAAAGTTCTTAAGACTCACTAAGAAAATTCGAAGTTAGATTATAAATTAAATTCAATTTCAATTTATAACAAAATTAGATTCTTTTCAACAATTGCAGCAAATTTTCTACAAAAAAAATTCGGATTTTCCATAAGAAAATCCGAAGCTAAGTTGAAAATTATATTTAATTCCTTTTGATAATTGAAGCAAATTTAAAAAAAAAGTCAAATTTAATAAAATCGGAACAAAATTTAAAGTTCAACAGAATTTAAGAAAATCCAAAGATATATTGAAAAATAAATTCAATTTCTATTTAAATTTGAGACAAAACTCGCTTCTTTTTAAAAACTGAAGAAAAATATCAAAAAATTAGATTTGAAATTCTCAAAAAAAATACATTTATAAAAATCCAAAATAAAATTTTAAATTCAATTGATTTCGTAAAATAAACCAAAAGAAATTTCAAAATTCAATTCGATTACAATTCAAAAGTTTCGAACGAAATTTTGTAGTCCCGTTTTCAAAATTGTTAAGAAATTTCAAGTCTAATAGATTTCGTTTTAAAAATCGAAGCAAAATTGAAAATAAACTCTAATTCCAATTGAAAACTCAAAGATAAAATTAAATTAGATTCTAAATTCTTTAACAAAATACAGATACGAAATTAATTTCTTCTTAGTAACAAATTGAAATAATAAAATCAAAATTTTACTTGATATCAAAATTATAAGCAAAATTAAAAATGTATTTTAAATTTTGCATCAAATTTCAATTTCAATTATTTCAGTATTAAAAGATAACCAAATTAGATTTTTTAATAAAATTTAATTAAATTTATTAATTATAAAGATATAGAATAAAATTAATGATTACCTTTTATTATAGATTTTAAAAGAATTTAAATTAGACTTAAAATTTCATTTTTAATTTAGAGCTGAATTAAAATAGTCTTTTAATTTCATTCCTAATTTTTATGAATTGCATAAAAAGTTCAGTTCCATTTTCTTTTTATTGATATATTTAGATTAAAAAAATTTGAAACAGAATCTAATAGATTTTCGAGTCAAGTTCGATTTTTAATTTCATTTTGAATTTTGAACTCATAATTTATATTTCTATTTCGTGACCAAAATGGAATTAAATTAAGTTTCGGAACCGAGTAAAATTAATTTTTAAATAAATTAAATTTAATATTAAATTTTAAATTTAATAAATTAAATACAGAATTTTTAATTAATTAAATTAAAATAATATTAAATTGTAAATTACTTAAATTAAATATTAAATTTGAATTTAATTCAAATTCCAAATTTAAAAAATATTTTTAATTCTATTTTGAGTTTAACTTCCTATCGCATTGCATAGTTTTTGAGTAAAATTGTTTTTCAATTTCATTTCGGCATAATTTCATCCTAAAAACAAATTTAAAATTTCAATTTTGTTATAATATTAAAATGGAATTTTCGAATTCGTATCAGAGTTTAAAAAACGAAATCAAATAATTTTCAATTCCGTTTCGAAATTTCTTTGAAATCTTACATTTTATATTCAATTGAAAAAAAAATTTTTTAGGTAGGTACCGGAGTAAAATTTTCTTCAAACTAATTTAATTTTTATGAACTAAAATTTAATGATACACAAGTTTCATGAACGTTCAAATGAACGAATAACTTTTTATTAAAAACATTTTCACAAATTGCTGATATGATTGCAATAAAAGTTAAAAAGCTAAATTTTACATTTAGAAACTATAATTAATTTTTTTTATACTGCCTCAAAATTATTGTAATAAAAATTTAATTTGAGGAAGAAATAAACAAAATTTTGTTCATTTGAACATAGAAAAGTTTAGAATCATAAAATTTAGAATATTTTTTTTAAATGGGGAGGGAAGGGGGAGATTATTAATAAAATAAAACTCACTGCGATTCGGTGAAATGTGTAGTCGTTGATGTAAATCGTTCCTCGCTCGTTGTACTCTCATAAATATTGAATTCAGTTCTAAAAGTTCGTAACGGTCGTTGTTCTTGAAGAGCACGCTGAAATAACAATGAAAAAAGATATTGTACCGTAAACATTTTTCAAAAAATATAAAATCTCCTTAAAATTCAATTTTTCTTCAATCCATTTTTTTCACTTCTAATAAAATTTTCACTTAAAATAAAAAAAATTCCTTATAGAAAATAATTTTTCTTTCAATACATTTTACATTTCAATGCACTTTTATTTATTTTGCTTTTTTCGTTTTCTTTTTCGTTTCATCAAAATGAATGAAAAATAAATTCAATCCAATATTTTATCACTAAATAACATTTAGTTTTTCAAAATAATCGCTAAACAGTCTTCTTGACTCGAACAAGTTAAACTGACCAAAAATCCATTTACTAGCCGAGTAACCTGTCAAAGAATGTTTTTTTTCTTTTTATTTTGAAACAAAAACTTCCGACGGGTAAAATTTATCAAGCGTAAACTAGAATCGTGGGCGCGGAACTGCGGTGGAAGATTAAAAGAGATGCAAAAGCACTTTCAACGAGAGAAACAAATCCGAGTATAAGCGTTATTTGAGACCGGGAGTTGAAGAAACCAAAGGTGAAATTTAATGTCATAAACTGTGAGATAAATTTCCCGGAAAAAAAAGATAGATTATAGGTACAAAAAAGTCAAGAAGAAAAATGAAAAAGAAGCTGCAATATACTTTTTATCCACGGAAAACTGAAACTGCGCTTGGCAAATCATTCATTTCGAAAGGATCTTCTAAAAATACACGTATTCGAAAAGTGACTGTTGCACAGAAAATATATATAAAATTCATTTTAATCGCCGTCGCGATTTAATTTTGGAATTTATTTTTTCTCATTTCTCCGACTTATTTTATTTTAAAAATTAATTAATTTTCATTTTTAAATTTATTTTATTTTGAATTTTTTTTCACTTTGAAAAATTACATTTTTCATTCTGTAAATTATTTTTCTTATTTCGAAAATATACTGTTTTTATTTTCACAATTTTTTTTCTTTTTAGTCTTTTTCTTGTCATAATTTGCAAACTAATTCCTTTAAAGTTTAATTCATGTAAAATTTTATTTCCAATAAAAAATGCACCAAGGTAAAAAGTACCTTGGCATTTTACTCATGTAAAATAGTATATTGTGCAACAAGTACAGAAAGAAGCTGTTTTCCGACGAGTGCAAAGTTTGCTGTCCCGAGCGAAGCGAGGGCAGCAATTTGCACGAAGTTGGAAAATCTTCTTTCGTACGTGTTGCACACAGTACTTTGTGCAACACCTTTTGGTTTTGATAAAAAAAGCTGTTTGGAAACGCTAGTTGACGCCAACATACGTACTGTTTAGCAGGGTTTGGAACGTATGTTACCGCACTTAATATTCGTGGTTTTTTACACGTATATTACTGTAAAAAAAAGGTATTCTACAAATAGAAAACAAATACCTATGTATATCACCAAAAAAACCCAAAAGTTTAAGAACTTTGCCGCACTAGTGCAGCAAAGTAAGCACTTTGCCGCACTAGTGCAGCAAAATAAGTACTTTGCCGCACTAGTGCAGCAAAGTAAGCTCTTTGCCGCAATAGTGCAGCAAAGTAAGCTCTTTGCCGCAATAGTGCAGCAAAGTACTGTTTTGCGCCTACTTTACAGGCATGCAAAGTATTACTTTCCTTACAGGTGTTGCACAAAAACATTTTTTTGTATTTTAGCAAATAAATAATTTTTTATTTTCGTATTTTTCTGAAATAAATAAATAATTTATTTATGCCTGTTTAAAAATTAAAACCGATAAAAAAAGTAAACTCGTAAAATATTTGTTGACAACAAAAAAAAATTTAATTTTACAAAACGAATTTACAAATAAAATCGAAAATAATAATTATTTATTATATTGTTTATATTGTAAATAAAGATAATTAAAAATAAAATTCTAATTTTTCTAACAAGATTTTATACAGCTGTTCAATAAATCAAGATTTTTAAATTGCAGCAAACAATTATTTATCATTTAGTCATAACTAAAGCAAAAAAAGGAGAAAAAAACATTCTGCGATCGCAAAGAATAAAAAAAGTCAAGGTTTTCTGTTTGTAAACAGTTCTCCTATTTTCTGCTTTTTTCTCACTTTAATAAATGAAATAAAATCTAGTGTCAAAAAATTTTGAATGATTTTGAAATTTTTGAAACTTTTATGAAAGTGAAGTTTTCGGCAAAAATTAAATAAAAAACAGCGTTATTTTTTATTAGAAAAATATAGAATTAAGAAAAAGAAATTTAAATAAAAATATTTAAACTAAAAAATAAAAACCTAAAATCAGTAAGAAAAGTAAAATATTGAAAGCAAAATATTTAGTAAAATAATGATAATAATCATCGATTAAATTAATTTAGTAAAATTTTTTACAAATTTAAGTCATTTTTCACTAAAACTTTATTAAAAGAATTTTTAACTTCTAAAGAAAAGAATTTTTACTGAAAGTTGGTGAAATTTTCTACTAAATTAAATTAGAAAACGAATTTTCACTATTTTAGATTTAGAGAGATTAATTAATAAATTCTACAAATAAATATATTGACAAACATTATTTTCTAATTTTAATTTTAATTTTTAATTTTTTTCAATTAAAAAGCAATAGAATTTAGAAATTAAAGAACTCTAAATCTGAATGAGGTAACAAATTACAAATTTTAGTCATTTCTCACTAAAACTTTAGTAAAATTAACAAAAAATTATTTTTAAAACATATTATTTATTTTTAATTTTAATTTTCTAATTAATAGCAATAGAAATTAAAGAAATTTCCAAGTATGAATTCGAGAAAAGTCGTTTACAAATTTAATTTAATAGCAAAAATTTCGACAAATTTTAATCATTTTATATATTGACTAAGTAAATAAATCATTTTTCGCTAAAATTTTAGTAAAATAATGTCAAAAAATTTTGAAATTTTCGAAACTTTCATGAAAGTAAAGTAATATAAAAAAAAGTTATTTTCTATTAGAAAAATAGAATTAACAAAAAGAAATTAAAATAAAAATATTTAAACTAAAAATAAAAAATGAAAAAGTGACGAAAGTAAAATATTAAAAGCAAAATATTTAGTAAAATAAATAAATTCACTTTTTAGTGTTAAATAAATGAATACCTAAATAAAAATATTTTAACAAATACAAAAAATTTGTTTATTTTTTAATTATTTATTTAAAAAAAATTAAGTATTTCTAATTTTTTTGTCTAATTAAAAAGACAATAGAAATAAAATACTCTCTTAATCTAAATTAGTGAAAAAATCGTCTACTAATGTAATTTATTAAAAATTTCGACAAATTTTAGTCGTTTTTCACTAAAACTCTGTAGTAAAAGAATTTTTAACGTCTAAAGAAAATAGTTAAATTCCTCTAAAAAGTAGTGATAATTTTTACTATAATTTGAATTAGATGACAAATTTTCACTAATTCTATTGAGATCTCATTAAGATTTAGAAAGACTATAAATACCTAAAATTTAAAAATATTTACAAAAAATCATTTACAAAATAATATTAACTTTTAACTTTTTTAACGAAGCTAAAAAAATATCTTCAAAAGACAAAAATGATTCTGAAATTCGACGTGACCGTGAAAAAATTCTATAATTGGTGTGTAACATTTATTGACTCGAGCAATACTTAAGCAAAATGCTGCCAAATCTCCTCAACTCTATACATATAGAAAACGAAAATTCCTTCAAAGTTCCTTAAAACAATTTTCTTATCCGATTCAAAAATGCTTCCCAAAACCTTAGACCTTTAACCTATATTGTAATGTCAGTCAGTCTGAAATTGTAGTTGTACTTTAATTGCCTTTGCATTTCACCTAATCGTTTACACAACTTTTTGCCGCGCCGTAAAAGAAAAGAAAAAATTACAATGCTCGATTTAGATTTCTATTTGAAAATTGCCAACCAACAGTTGTATGTATATATGTGATAAATGGAAATAACGATTTAAATGTAAATTGTTCTCATAAGAAGAAAATTAATCGACTGTTTAAAAATAGATTCTGACATAATCTTCGTTAACTTGTTGTATAGCCGCGAACATAGCACGACGACTGTCACCCATGAACTTGAAAATTAAAAAAATTTTTTACACAACTCCTGAGATTTGGAATTCTGACAAATTATAATTATTGCGAAACTTTCGACCAATTATTATTTTGGTTCAAGTTCGTCGATATTCACAAACGAGACGAAAAAAATTTAATATTTTAACGATTTTTGAGAAAAAAAACTTGATAACATTTAAAATATTGTTAGCACATTTTTAATTTAATAACCAAATTATAATTAATTTTTAATTAACTAATATTTATTATTAATTTAATAATTCAATTAATTAATAGAACTTAATAAAATCAATTACAGAAAATTATTAATAAATAATAATTACTATTATTAATTAATATTTCAAATATTTTTACGACTCAAAGGTAACGTTTAGTTTCAAAATCTTTTTCTTTCTAATTTCGTAAAAGTTTTTGTAAAACTTTTCATTTTCGGTTTATGCTAAAAAAAATAAAATTTTCGCTTTTTCTATTTCAAAGTTAAGTTTACTAAAGAAAACATGTAAGTAAATAAATAAAAGTATAATTGAAAAATAAATATAAAATAAAAACTAATACTGAAAATTAAAAAAAAATTGAGGTGAAAAAAGAAAAAAATTTGAAAATGAATAGAAAATAAAAAAACGAATGTCAAAAATTTATAAAGAAAGAAAATAAATAATATAATGAAATTTATATTTGAGGATGAAAAACTTAGAAAAAAATAAAAATAATAATTAATATAAAATAAAAAATTAAAAACTAAATTAAAAACAAAGTAAATAAAATTGTTGATCAAATAAAAATTAAAAATTAAAATATCGACGAAAAGTGAAAATTAAAAATTAGAAATAAAAGTATAAAAAAATACAAAAATTGGGTTCGTTGAAAAGTTTACTTAACAATTGAAATAATTAAAATAATTCTTAAAAAATAGAAATAACACGAGAAAAAATTT